TCAGATTTATCAACAACTAGGATTTTGCAAGGAGGGGATTCACTAGATTCACATAAGACTCTAGCATTAGGCCTCTTTAAAGCTTGTTTACAAAGAGTACTTTCGGATTGGTGCATACATTCATAACTTTTAGACTTAATACCTGGGTTTGGAACAGTCTGGTCAGTTAGAAATTCAGCATGTTTCAACTTGTTAGACTCACTTAATTGAGTAATCTCTTTTGCAACTAAAGGGGCATTTGAAGCCTGGAAAGCCATCTTAAGATCATATGGCTGATCAGCTGATGGAGTCTCTTTAGGCAAACATTTCATGCAGTTAGGGTCGTAATACATCGAGGGTGGTATTCTATCAGATGGGATCATTAAAGGGCTTTGCAAAGTCTGTTCTGACAGTTCAACACCATATGCTCCCTGAAGCATGTCACCTTCATGAGGTGTCAGTGGCATCGGAGCAAGGAATGGAACCTGGTAGTTGACTTGCACATCCTTTACTACTCCCACTTTGCTAGAATCACCTAACAAATCATAGTTTGGCTTTGTATTGCCATTTTTTCTCTCTTGTTTGACATTTAATGGGGACCTCAGTGTCAAATTACGGGAATGAGAGAAATCTGGGGTCTTTGGTCTAAATGGAGATTTTCTTTTTACCAGGATCTTGCTTGCTGCAGGAGATCCTATTGGCAAAGTATCATCTTGTGCCAGTTTCAAATCTTTATTAAGATGTTGATGGCCCAAAACCACTTCTGAATCATCCAAATACCTTGGTGTTATAGACCCAAAAGCACATGACTTGGACTTTTGACATGGCATAGCTTTCATTTTGGATTTTTCTGACATTGCAAATTATTTTGATCACTTCAATTGGAATATATATTGCTAGATTGCAATATATGCAAAGTAGCAAACAATAAGCAATGGCATAGGACTAGGCTTGGGTCAATACATAAAGTATTACATCACACCGCTAGGCCAACATTTCTGTCGCGACCCTCGTGTGGTAGCGTGGTTTGAGGGTCACAAACAGAATACAGTCTAGGAATCAATAGTTTGATTATATGTTTTCATTCACTTAGTTTCGGAACAAGTTCAAGTAAAAGTTGAAAAGTGTATCCCCTATTTAATTGAACAACATCTGTGTTCACAGTACCTAACAAATGGGATAAATGGGGATAAATATATAGGGGATAAAATTGGGATAAATTTTGCTATGAAAATTTACGGGATAATTTAGGGATAAATTCTGGGATAAAAATAATTGGGATGAAGTGGGACAATTTCGGGATAACAGTTACGGGATAACAATATCTAAGTATAGGCTTAGTTAGATATCTCAGTGTTCAATGTAAATTTTATATTTCATAAAAGCAAATGGCAACAAACTCAAGATTCTGAATATGTCCAGTGTTAAATTGCATCAAATAAGTATGAAATTAGGGCGTGAGTATGACCAGGTGGAAGTCAAGTTGCAACCACTTGAGGGCTACAATGGGCTTCAAGTTGTCACTTTTCACAATTAAAGTGGGAAACTTTGTAATGCTTAAAGTAGGGCTTTTTCAAATCAGGAGTCTGTCAAACTCATCAGGGGATAATAATACTAATTCACCATTTTAACACACGAATAACAAAACAGTGGAAGTAAATGGATTTTTATATAATGTATAAAAACGACTCTATTTCTATTACTAATCTATGTGAACATTACAAAATCAGTACAGTCAAATGGTATATCAAAAACACAAATGGTATCTCATACACAATGCACAAAACAGCAAAGTCAGTGGAAGTTCAGTAAATCAATTTGCAATAAAGCCCAAAATGTGTTTCTTTCCAAAAATGTAATCAACAGTTCCGTTATGTATGATCTCTAGTGGGATTGAAATCACCTTCCTATACTACTCACATGAAAAGTGGAACGTAGTTTTCCCCACAATTAGCAAACAAAAGGGTAAGGTATTTAAGTATTCTTGCATAAAATCTGTCTATAATCGAAAAACTATATAGAATATAACTAACATAGATTTAGACCAGATATGGAAACTAAATGGGGAGGGGTAGATGGTAAACACTGACTAGAACCCCAAACAAGCAAGCGCAAGGCTAAAAGACCCCAAATGGAATCTATACCAACTCAAGCTATGTAGTCAGGGGGTGGTCATAGTGTCTAGACAGCATCTCAAATAGGCTTAAAGCCTTATGAACTGGCTTCAATACTGACTTTGACTCTGCAAGTACTGTGTGCAGAATCAGTGATCAGCTGTTTGATTATGGTCAGACAGAACGCTCGGGATCCCTTTTAAAATACCCAGGCATGAACATACACATACAAAGATACAAAAGTGTGTTTTCTAATGGGTCAATAAAAGTTACTTTGGCAAATACAATTAATACAGTCTCAAGTTGAATGTGGGGGGGGGGGGTCATAAAGATTATTCAATGGAACCCTAGGAACATTGACTCTGGTTTAGAATAAGTTACATCGGTTCCTTAAGAACATAACTTTACGTACACCTTGTCAAATGTTCCATAACAATCCCGGGACCTCCCGATTCTATAATTGTTCAAAATGTTCTCTTTAAATTCAGGTTTATAAGTCAAAACAGATATATAATATGAGGAATCATTCCAAGTTAAAGGATCTAGAATAGTGAATGATGTATCTACTATAAGCAACAATCTATAGTAAGGCCAGACGTGTAAAACTGACTAGAAATAAATACAATCAGTGTTTTTGGTATAACATGTATAAGGGAGGGGTTGTAGTAAATAGTCTAAATAGTAATGGGAAGCCCAAAGAAGCCAAATGGGCTTGAAATGGCTTGCCGTGACCTTTAGGGGGGGGGGGAAATTGTGGTAAATATATGGGAAGCTCTAATAAGCCAGTTGAAGCCAAATGAGCTTGAAATGGCTTGCCGTAACCTTTAAGGCTTGTCGGCACACAGTGACCCCTGTTCTTATTGACGTTTCTCCAACCAAACCGGCGGTGAAAAATCACAGACACGGGTACTGGGATTTAAATTAGGGAGTGGGTGATAAAGCCCAATTACAGTCAATTATCTGAGAAGGAGCTTTACTGTATAAGCGGGGGTTATTGCCAGTATGAAATAAGACTGAATCAGTTCAAAGTTCCAGCTGATCCAAAAGACGCTAGAAACTTTATATAATCCAAATCAACAGTAGTCCTTTAGCAATTAATCCCCTAAACAGTTTTAAATGAGTGTTTATACATGTTATACACGCTAACTGAGATAAAAAAAATAAAAGAAACTGCAGTGGTTAATTTAAGTCAAAAACCTGTCAAAATTACAATAAAATCAATCCAATTACCTTCCCCAACTTGTTCACCTAAGTTGGTATATCTGTGTTTATATAAATATCCAGTTTTGAGTTGCGATTTTGAATGTTATAATTCCAAAAAGTTATACACGTCCGGCCCGTTTCAATGCAATGGAGAGAGTCCCCAGACAAGACAGAATCACTGAGCTAAAACAGCTGATTTCCAGCCCAGCCTCGTTTTGGATAAAAGTAAACAAGCCCAGCGAAGTTTGGCTATCCCTTGAATGAAAGTTTACAGCACAGTTGCTAACATGAAACTGACCAGTTTATAGTAAAAATTATACGCTGTCATTACTCTACACAATTATGGCATAATATATACAAATATAAAGTTTATAGTTACATGATAAAAACAAGTGAGGACCCCAATTCAATAGATCTTGAATGAATAACATTGACACTCTCAATTTTAGTCCAGGGCAGCTGCCTGTCTATATCAACAACCCTTTTGCAAAATCTTAAAGAGTTCTACATATATTAAATATAACATAAATTAGAGTAACTACAAAAAGTAAGTGCAAAAGTGAAACAAAGTGACAATCCTTCAAGGCAATCCCATTACCATGCTCAAAGTAATCTGAAGGATTGTCACATAATCACTCATGAAGTGCATAGGTGTATATCTTATATATAAACGCCAAATCAGGTAACCTTTTTGTCAGACAAAATCCATTTGCATTTCACGCATCTCTAAATCTTATTCAGACATATTATTAATTAATGAAATAAAATAGTATAATCTTTTAACTTATGAGTGTAAAAGTTGTTTTTGGAGCATTTTTCGTATATACTATTTTCAAATGTCAAATCTCATTTCTGCTGAAAACAACAAATCTGACTCATGTCTAGCATCCTGAGGTCACTGCACTGAATGACCTCAATTTAGCCTATGTGGGTCGAAACACTATTCACATATACCTAGGAAAGGTGTGTCCGATTCCGGCCAATCCGAACACAGTATTTCACATGACAGCAGTGCATGAAATAATCAACAATGCATTTGTTGTGTATAGTAACTAAGGTGAGGCGATTGAAATTGATGATTTGCAAAAAGTTGTATTGAAAATATGTTCATTTAGTGATTTTGTATCTTCTAGGTGATTTTGTAGAAAATATTTTGCAATGTTTAAAGAGAATTTAAAGACTCGGTGCATTGTAGCTGCTTCATTCCACTCTGGCCTTGTTTCCTAAACTTTTGGAAAAGATTTGGAAAGATCACCTTCATGGTATGATTCAGCAAACAAATGCACTGAGTCCGGGGCTTAAATCCTTTAATCTTGCATTCGCGAATGCAACTAACGCCTGTCGGCTATTGGATTGACCTACGATTATATGACCAACCATTTAGATATGAATGGAATAGTTGCAGGTAGTATTCATATTTAAATGAGTTGCCTATAAAAAGTAGGTTAATCCGTTAGCCGACAGGCGTTAGTTGCATTCGCGTACAAGCTTAATATTTTCCAAAGTAGTATGTGACATTAAACCCATTATTTCTTACACATTTATTTATGTAAAAACCTACAGATATTTAAACCTTTACACACAATCCGATTCATTGTTTCATAAATATTAGTCATCAAAAATATTGAGACGAGACGAGACAGACAATCGTGAAATGTTACAATTTTCTGAAATCTAATTGTTACAGAAAAAGCCTTGTCATACCTTAAACGTCCTCGGGATCCTATAGATCGTTGTTGAATGATGTCCATAGCTCCACTATTATCCTTTCAAAACAGCATCTTGAAATCCCATCTTTACTTTCAGTCTCACTTTCAGATGATGCAATTGATTAGGAAAGAGGAGTGAATTAACCATAGTTCATAGTTGACCTTTTCTTTTGGTTTCGTACAAATATTCCATCATCTGTTATCTAATTACTTAGATACATATCGATGTGATGTTTAATTCATATGTTTCTTTATCGTGATGCAGAATGACAAGTCATAATATTGCTAAATTATGCCAGAAACTAACATTTTGTTTTTCGACCAATCTGTGACGGTGGCATTGGCCTAACCAATAAAGTACAAGCTTATCTTACATGGAGGATATTATGTGCGACGGGAGGTTATTCCCTGTGCTAGTTCCGCGAAGTATGATTCACGAGCGAAATTCGAAACGGGGAATCCCCTTCCAAAGAAACCTATGCTTAACAGGGGCGTATCCACAAATACATGCGAAAGAAAAGGTGAGTTGAATGCATAACAATAAAATAACATTAAAGGTTGTATATAACTATTAATCTGATTTTCACTCCTTTTTTAATTGTAGAACACTCGTCTCGATATTTTTCTGTAAAATTCTGGTGATATAATTACCTCCTGCCTAGCTACATCATATGCCGATACTCCTCATAAGAAGAAACTTATGCCCGTGTTTCGGATATTTAGCGTGGATCTAATGGGGTAGTTGTTCCTTATAACGAGGCCTTTGAGCTTAGGTGACCTTGGCATCATGCAACTGTCACCATGAACTAGCTAGGGTAATATTCATTTCAATGCAATTTACTGACGTCAATCAGCATTTATGTCATGTAAAAGCCTAAAAGGGTACCTCTTCTGAATACTGATATTAATGACAAGTAAATGAAGATTTACTGTCAATGGCTTCAAATTCTGGTCAAGCCTGCTGCAAGCTGCATATTTTATAGGATAATATTATTTCAAAGGGAGACAAGACATTAACATGACAAAATGTCACCATCCAGTTGCTCAAATCTGAAATCTAAAGTCAGATTTGAACTTCTGAGAACTTGTAAATGATTTTGAAAAAAGATTTGGTCAATTTGAACCCTTCTACCTTTTTAGAACTTGAGAAGGTCATTGAAGGTCAAATCTCAGTATAAAGTGAGATTTGAGATTCTGAGAACTTGTAGATGATTTAAAAAAATTTAAGTCAGTCGTATTTTTATCCCATCGAACGAAGTTCGGAGGGATATAGGGAACGCCTCCGTCCGTCCGTCCGTCCGTCCATCCGTCTGTCCGTTGGCCCGATTTTGTTCATATTTTGTATACATATACCCTATGGGGGTAAAAGTTCTACTCGAAAGGCGATTTTTAAAATGGCTGCTCATTTAAAAATGGCGGCCATTTTAGTGCCGATTTTACAGTAATTTAGGTGCAATATTTGAAACTGTAATAGCAATATGTTTTAAATGTAAAAAATTATATAGGACATTAATAAAGCTAGAAAAGTAGATATTAAAGACGCACATGACAGCCATCTTGAAAAATGGCGGCCTTTACTCGTTATTTTACGATTTTTGCTGTGACTCGAAAAGTAGAGGAGCGATTTTGTTCATATTTGGTATGTGAATACTATAAGCATGGCACACTGTCTAATGACAATTTTGGTAGAAGGCGGCCATTTCGAAAAATGGCTGCCATTTTTACTATATACTTTGTAAAAATACCAGCCATGGCTGTTCGATGGGATTTGCTATACGTTTTGGCGTTGCTGTTGTCTAGTTAAGCTATTGAAAGTTGTAAGAATTTTTTACCGGACGCCGAAAAAGATTTGGTAATGTTTGAAATAAATACCTTTATGACTTTTTTTACCTTGAGAAGGTCATTGAAAGTCAATTCTCAACTCTAAAGTCAGATTTAAACTTCTGAGAACTTGAGATGAATGATGATTTGGAATGAGATTTTGAAAAATCGCCACCCGCCGACCGCCACTCGCAGGACGCCAACTGCCGTCACAAAAAAACGGAGACCATAACAATATGTCACCACTTTTTGGTCGTGACATAGCGAGCCATATACAAATATGCAGGGATTAACTATGAATATTATCAATATAATAATATTAACACATTGGATGGAGTTCCGATTCGATTTTTATTGGTATTTCCCCATTAATAATTCTCAATTAAAAGTACGTTAACATTGTTGAAGAGGACTTACTAAGCCCCCTCTAGAAATTGGATTGTATTTTTATTTGTATTACATTCGGAAGTATGTAATTTGAAAAAATACTCGTATTTCTATTTTTATATATATCTAATAGTTCTCACACTTAGAGCAAAATATTTCATTCATGGATAACATTAGTAAATACGATACAATATTAAGCAATAAATAAGTTAATTTTTTCTCTACATAATTTTCAATATGTACAGTTTAACATTAACCCACGAACAAGTCCATCATAACACTTGCACCATATTTTACAGATATTCCTTCTAATATTGACAAGGCGGGCGAAAAATTTAGGCATTTGGAAAACATTAAAGTGTCTCACATATTCGATCAAAATTTGCCATGCAAACATGTTAGTCTACTTTACTGGCCCCCCTTGCTGTAACAAGGAACCCAAAACACATTAAAACGTAAACATAAACCAATTAGTCACTCACTATGAAAGTGAGGGGTGCATGGACTAACACAATATCAGTGGTCATTTACTGTGTCAACTTAGTAACCCTTGCATATCGTGCTCACTCAAGTATTGAATAATTTTTTATGATCTAAATGTTTGTGGTTTATAAAAAAATGTGATATATTTTAGTTAGAAATACATTAATTAATATTTTCATTCAAACAGCACTAGAATGCGGGAAGAAAGAGCAATGGTGACAAAATGCAGACAGAATTTTCCGTAAGGGTTTCAAACATTTCTGGACACAATCATACATGTACTTCATGTGTACTGTTATTTTTAGTGCTGTATTTATAGATATAATTTCACGTATTAAAATCATATTTTCCAGCAATGACTTCAAATCCGGAACCACACCCATATCACATTTTCTTCAATAACTCCAAACATGTGTAAACATTGACCATGTGCATATAAATTCAGATTTCACGAGCTCTTTCCTATTCGAGTACCTCATACACCCCTGCATGGATTTGAGTTGGATTCGTCTTTTATACGTGAGCCGACACACTCGCAAACGCTGATTGGATAAAGATTGCGAGAATCTTTAAAGTACATTTTTCACTTCAAGATACCTTTCTCGAGCAAAAAGCAAATCTTTTCAAGGAATGTTCATCTCTGAGTGAATATTGTGGTGCCAAAAGAATAGGCTAAAGCTCCAATACAATATGCAACTCTTGTTTGTATTTGCCATTTTGCATTGTTGTAGCGTATTATTGAACAAATCAAACTGCAAAACATTATATACCCAGCAATACAAGATGGCAAAATCTATTAATTTTGTGGTATTTGGGTTTAGAAATACAGCTTATATTATTTTAATTGTCTTGCAAGATGGCAACTCGCTGGGATGAGTAAATACATGTCCATTTACGCTTCCTCGCTAATCTTCCAAGGAACTTTGGACCATTTCTTAATGTGCCTCAGACCTTCCTCTCCATCTATAGAGAACATCACTCGATTGGCGGTAAGTAGATATCCCCGAAGACGATTCCCATACGTGTATTCCTTTACTATACCAAGTTCAGTCTGGCAGGCATTGCACACCGATACACCTGATAAATAAAAAATAAATCAGAGTAATTTTATGGGAGATTCCTGATGGAATATAGATTTTTCGTGGTTCTGACTGAAAACGTGCAAATAAAGGGAATAAAAAAATAAAGAAACATTAATGGCTGGATATATTTCTGAATTATATACTGTAGGTAGTCTCTTTTGAAAGTTAAAATATTTGCTTCATGTTAAAAACGAAAACATACATATCTAGATGGTATATAAAAAAACTCTGTAAAAAGATGTGTGTTAAAAACTAAGATGATATAATTACGCTGGTTCTAAAAACTCACCAATGTGTGTATCGGTTCTGAATTGTCTTCCCTTTCCTCTTGCTTCAACTTTTATCTTGTTGTTGATAAAGTATTCCGAAACACAAATGTAATCACTCGTGCTCTTTCGTAGCAAATCACTTCCCTTACATAGCTCTTCGTCGCATCCTTTGTGGTACAGCGTAATTGAATGCGGATCGATGTTATACAATGGGTCCTCATTCCTTCGCTTCTTATTCCTGTACACTTCCATCATTTTGTCCTGCAACATTATTTTCTTTGAAAATTAGTTATTCTGTCTATAACATTAGCATTCTATTTAATTTGGGACCTACTTAATTTTGGTCATTTGGTCTTTTTTAAAATAAACCAAAGAAGTATCTACAAATTGAGGAAATTCAAGGGATCTTTTCTCCACAAAAACCGTTCACCCTGGCATGTTAAATAAATAAATCAGAGAATGGAAACTTGAGATGGAAATCCGAGGAGTCCATTCCCAAAAACAAATATAAAAGCACTGACCTGGGCCCTTAATATATCTCTTCTCAGTACACCAGGGTCCTTGTTGTCCAACTCCTTCAATGCCGCCTCCATCTGTTCAACCTTCAATAAATTTGCGTTTTCACGCTTCTCATTGGTTGATCCTTTCGGAACAATAAGGTAACATCGACTGTCAACATGCCTAGCTCGTCCCTTTCCTTGTACAGATCCTATCTCGTTTGAGACAAAGTTGTAACGGATAACAAAGTTGCACTTTGGAATATCAAGTCCCTCTTGCACAACATCAGTTCCAATAAGAACATTTATCTTTCCTATAAGAACACACATAACATTATATAGTGCAGATCATATATATCAAAATAATTATCCTTTCAAAATGTGGAAGTGAAGTATCAGTATTAGACTCTTAGATAAATGGAAGTCTTCACACAATTTTACATCACGAATGTTTGAAATATTATGTTCTTTTCAACTTGGCTGGTTAAATAACTTTCTGATAGATTTGGTCGAGAATTATTCGGCGCTGGTGCTTTTCAAGCAAGACTAGTATGACGCGATAACTTAGAAGTCGGGATTTCGATTCCCATGTGCCTTATGTTGGGATTATAGGAATCCAAATAGAAACACACCATCTCTAAACTGATCTAATATGTTCATCTGCCGCCTGTCCGTTTGTGAGTCCTCGTTAGCCTTCCCAACTATTCTGTCAACGTGAACATCCGGCATCTTCAAAGATCTGATGAAATCTACCAAAGCAATCGTATACGATTTTGTCCTTGCAAGAATCAGACCTGATAATGAATAAAAGAAAACAGTAAAAAGCAAATATATACTTGAAGGACAAAGTAAAGAAAAATTATTGACCACGTGGACCATCTATAAAGTAAAACCAAAGGAAAAAGTAAACAGTTATGTAAAAATAATAATTTGGAAAGCAAATGGATAATGAATTGCAGATATTATTTAGTACCTCTAGATTTTTTATCACGCATAAGTTTTGCGAGTAACTCCCTCAACTTTTGGATCATGGGATTCGCACCAATGAACTCCTCATCACACAACGCCTTGAGATCTTCTCTCCGTTCTTCTAGACTCTCTCTTAACTCGTCATCCCATACCTCTGGAGATTTTCTATGTGGACACAACTCGTCCGCCTCGTCATCAATGACCCGTAGACCGTCAATTCTCCGAAGTTGAATGGTTGTCTGGATCACCCTTGTGTACATGACTAAGTAGGACGCCGCAGATGCATGTTCCCAATTCTTCTCTGTCTCTGCACCTTTTTTAAGACCAATTGCCCATCCCTCATATCCTTCTGACCCTCCTTCGTGATTGCACGAAAATTTATATTTTTGACATATCTTATCCATTAGACCTTGAACGATTTTCAAGAATGGATCCTTTGAGTTACGTGGTGGAACCGCTTCAATTTTGTCCGTCTGAAGTGGTGGTCTATACTTCTTCAAATTATCAAGATATTTCTTTTCTCTAACATGCGTAACGGATTTGCAATCTAAATTGGCGCACATGTTGATGCAGTGGTCAATTGGTCTCTCATTTTCGCCAACTCCAAGAGTAGCAGTAAGTCCTAAAATTTGGGGGAGGGAACCCCTTCCTTCGATGGGTTGACGTTCCTTCTCTTGCAAGTAGAACTCTTGCATAATGACATTGTAGGGATGGCCCTTCGTCGTATGGTGGCACTCATCTATGATGATAAAATCTAAATCAGTTATCTTGAGTCGTCCACTTTTTAAAGTATTCACTAACACTTGCGCGGTCATAAACACGACATCGCGTGATCTGATTACCTCAAACACATCTGATTCTTCATCTATTGTCGCTAAAACCCCCTCGTCGAATTCCAAAAGCTTGAAATTGTTCATTTGTTGTTCTTTCAAATTCCTGATACACACAATAAACACGGTTTTGAAATGTTTTTCTCCATTATTTATTTTCATGGCTTCTTTGCGGAGTCTGTGACATATGTATGCCGCAGTTAGTGTTTTCCCACTCCCAGTTGGACAGCATATGATTGTGTTTTCTTTTTTAAGACTAGGTGCAGCAAGATTCTCTTGATACGGACGCAGTTCAACTGTTATTTCCTCATCACTATCTGACAATTCTTCTAATGGTTCGCTTTCATCACTGCTATTTTCGGATAGTTCAATAAGATGACCTGTAGTTCCCTGTGTGGTGTCTGACAATTGAGCGTCTGGATCAAGCCCATCCCGTACAACTTTTTTAGCCAATGTTAACGAAGGGAATGGTGAATCCGGGCCTTGGAGATTGACATCACATGAATTACGTTCTGGCATTGTTAGAATGTGAAATGCTGATTGTGGAGCAGTTGTACACGTTGAGAAAACTGGTTCAGTCATATACTTGTCGTTTGTGTCGTGGGTTTGCAGCACTGCTTTGTTTGGAAAAGCATTCTTTTTATGTTGCATTTGTTCATCAGGAAGTTGAATAGGCGGTGATGGTGGCTCGGGTTCCAGTCCGGACACATGCGATATCTCAACTGAACTTGATAGCGAATCACTAGTTTTATTCTTAGAATCATTCTGAGCATTGTCTGACTTTAGATTTTCATTATTATAATTATTGAGCGGGTGATTCACAGTAATTGGTCCGATGGGTTTATCCTCAGGGGTCGTCTCGAGAATAAACCCAGTTGGAAGATTCTCACTAGCATACGAATCAAAGGATTTATATTTTGGGTTATGTGCCAAAGATTCCATCTGACTGTTCTTTGTTTCAACAATCGTAGAAATTGTGGTATCGGATTTCACTATAATATCAACATTTGGTGCGTTGCTCTCTTCCGTATGAAGCACATAAGCTGGTATATTCAGTCCATCTGTCATTTCGGCTACATCTTTATCTTCTGGTATATTGGATACACATATAACTGGTGGGTGACATGGCTCAAGGATATCAGTTGCCTTATTTAATTTAAGCATGTTGACTTGAGTATCCAATTCAATGGCTTCTTGCTTGTTGGCAGGCACATTTGGCTCAAGCCCTTCAACTGGAGTATCGTATTCAATGGCTTCTTGCTTTTTTGCTGGCACATTTGGCTCAAGACTTTCAATTGGAGTATTGGATTCAATGGCTTCTTGCTTTTTGGCAGGCGCATTTGGCTCAAGCCTTTTAACTGGCGTTTCGGATTCAATAGCTTCTTGCTTATTGGCAGGCACATTTGGCTCAAGCCCTTCAACTGGAGTATCGTATTCAATGGCTACTTGCTTTTTTGCTGGCACATTTGGCTCAAGACTTTCAACTGGAGTATTGGATTCAATGGCTTCTTGCTTTTTGGCAGGCACATTTGGCTCAAGCCTTTTAACTGGCGTTTCGGATTCAATAGCTTCTTGCTTATTGGCAGGCACATTTGGCTCAAGCCCTTCAACTGGAGTATCGTATTCAATGGCTACTTGCTTTTTTGCTGGCACATTTGGCTCAAGACTTTCAATTGGAGTATTGGATTCAATGGCTTCTTGCTTTTTGGCAGGCGCATTTGGCTCAAGCCTTTTAACTGGCGTTTCGGATTCAATAGCTTCTTGCTTATTGGCAGGCACATTTGGCTCAAGCCCTTCAACTGGAGTATCGTATTCAATGGCTACTTGCTTTTTGGCAGGCACATTTGGCTCAAGCCCTTCAACTGGAGTATCCAATTCAATATCTTTGGTTGGCATATTTGGCTTAAGGCCTTCAATTGGAGTATCCAATTCAATATTTTTGGCAGGCACATTTGGCTCAAGCCCTTCAACTGGAGTATCCAATTCAATATTTTTGGTTGGCATATTTGGCTTAAGGCCTTCAATTGGAATTTCCGACTCTACCTTTTTGGCTAGCTCATTTTTCTCTAGTTTTTTAACTTGAGTATCCAATACAAGCTTGTTGGATGACATATCTGATTCAGTGTCTTTGAATGGAATTTCAGAGTCAAGCTTACTGATTGACGTATTTGATTCAGTCCCTATAAGTGGATCATTCAATCCAACCTTATTGGTTGCAATATTGCTGAAAGAAAGTTGCTGTACATTGTCTGACTTATTTTGTCCAAGGTCATTGACTGGAACATTTTCTTCAGTTTTACAGACTAGAATATCTTGTCCAATCGCATTGACAGGAACATTTGTTTCAACCTGATCAGCTCGATCTCCTGGAATACTTGATTTGGGTTCATTTTCGGGAAATGATGTAGCGAGGGCATCACTTATTGCAACCTGATCAGCCTGGTGTCCTGGAATAGTTGATTTGGGCTCATTTTCAGGAAATGTTGTAGCGAGGGCATCACTTGTTGCAACCTGATCAGCCTGATGTCCTGGAATAGTTGATTTGCTGGGTTCATTTTCAGAAAATGTTGTAGCGAGGGCATTACTTATTGCAACTTGATCAGCCTGGTGTCCTGGAATAGTTGATTTGGGTTCATTGGCTGGTATTTTTGGTCCATGTAGTGAATTGGCTGATTTATCTCGATCGAATTTCAGCTCATTGTTTGGCATATCTGGTCCAAGTAAGCCACCATTGGTTGGAACAGATGGATTAGCTGACACTGGTTCTGACGAGATATCAAGACGCTGTGGTTGTCTATAAGCTGGCATAGACATCGCAAAGACGGCCTCTATATTATCTTCTAAAATAAAACAATATGAAGAAATATAAACAAAAAAAGAAAATACAATACCCATATAATAAAATAACCCAAAAGAACAATATCAGAATGATTGATGATATGAATAAATTTTGCACAGAGATTTATTACATGATTAAATGTATCTCACCTTTAAAGGTAATTACTTTTTGAACGAGATCATCTCTCTCAATTTCTCTCAATAGTTCAATCAACTTGTCAACGTTTGTGTCGCATATAACACCAACTTTCTGTAGCTTTCTAAACAGATCAAGTGCGTTCTTTATATTAGGGGCGCCATCAACATAGTCCTCTACTAAGTACTTTAAGTCATCAACGTTGTCATCGGTCAATTGTTTGCTCAATTTCAAAAGGAATCTTCTCAGATTTGAGGTATGACCCATAGAGTTCAATGACAAGAGAGCTGACTGGGCTAACAGTGACTGTGCCATTGTGATATCGATCAGTAGCTGCCTGTTATCATACGCCGAAGTGTATCCTGAAAAATAGTAGTTTTACTTTGATATTGAGTGTAGCTCAATAAAAATCTGTCATAGCGGGGAACGGGCCTTATTTGACACCCTGTTTAATATTTCATATAAATATGGGTAGTTATCTGAGATTTGTACTTATGATTCTATATCAATCCAATGGTAGCTGAAACTAACATAAAACATTACGTTACATTACTCAGATGGCAGTGACAAAGAGTAAAATGCCAAATATGTAAAGTATGGACAATAGTAATAATACCTGACTAATATAAAAACTGATGATAGTTGTAACTCTCCACATAACACGCCAGAAACAGAAAGAATCAGAATGAATCAGAAGTAGATCTAAATACAATTCAGATGTAATATTTCTTGAGAATCATAGTCTTCAAAATCCATGATTCCGCGACTACCTTTGTCCTCGATATAGTTTAACTTACCTAAGTCATTGGCCCTTACTCGTCCTATGTCGTCCAACTGTCCTTTCACAAAAGCAGGAACAAAAAGAATCACAACTTCACTCTAAAAGTCTGAATGATGCAAGTATTTAAAATCTCTATAAAAATATTTACATGAGTTCCGCGAAGTGGGTTTCCCAATATTAGGGGAATCCCCGTTCAAAGGTTTGTCAGGTGAAGAGTCACGTGATAACACTTAAATGATTCATCAAGGAGGATTGGCTCCCAGAATCGAAGTCGATATTTTCCAACAATGAAAACGCCGAGATGTCGTTATTTTCTGAAATTATAACCGATTATAAATTCAAAATAAACAGTTCAAAAGATTCGAACCAATATCTCAATCATTTCCTGTGAGTTTTGGAATTTTTCGTTAGGAAATAAGACCAAAATTTACGATTCAAATGTTGAAGTGAACAAAATGGCGGCTGTTGGAATCCAAATTTTGTAGCACGACATGCCCATATATGGAACAGAATATCGATGTTGCACTCTGGGAGCCAATCCTCCTTGATGATTCATGATATTTTTTCTACTATATTGATTAACTGATGCGACATCTATCAATAGCATTTAGCATTATTTTCATCCTTTAAAATAAAATCTTCGTGAGTCAACCGGATTGTTATCATCACTCATCAGTACATTGTGCACTGTACAGTATACAAATAATTGATCAAGTACTTTACTCATCAGGTTCAATGGTTCTTCTGAATTATCTTTTTAAATGTGCAGGTTTTATTAGAGATAGCTATTTAACTAAACTAGTGTCTAAATATTCTATAGCCTAGGAGAAAATAAAAATTCTTAATAAAGGTGTATTCTTAATAAAGGTGTAAGCACACGTCAAGTAAACTCTCTCTTATGTGTTATATATTAAAATAGTTTAATATATAGAAAATAAGAGGGATGCTAAGGTTAAATTTGTGTCAAAAAAAGTCAAATTTGCCAAGATTTTCGGAAAAACCTTGGGAAAAAATCCAACTTTGATGCTTGTGATTACAGACTTGGCAATGTTGATTTTTACAATCTAATATGTTTTATTTAAACCATTGTCAGCTTTGACAACTTCATAATTATAAAAGAAAACACACTGATTAGGATTCAGCTTTTAGGATTAAAGTAGAGCCTACTAATAAACCCAGACTACGATTTGAAAAATGTATACAGGGTCAATGAAAGGTTTCCAATCCCTTTTGGGTATGTTAGTCTCAGTAATAAATAAGGAAAATAAACGTTTTGCTTTTATATCATAAAATAATACTAACTTTATTCCATCATTTTGTTTTATATTCCATACTGGTGTGTATAATAATGTTTTAAAAGTAAACTAAACAATACCTCAAATAAGAGAAAAACATTTAATAATGATTGTCTATACAAACAGTTCACAGGGATGACATATATTATGAGGTTATATAATGGTTCTTTCTGTATATCGTGTTTATACTCGAGTGAGTATATGATATATTCACAAGTGAGCGTAGCGAACGAGTGAATATATTATATTCTCACGAGAGTATAAAATGCACGATATACAGAATGAACCATTATATAATCTTATTATGCCACTCTAAGTTCAATTACAGTTGATTCGAACACAATCATAACAATGATTCTAGCAAACCATTTATGACGTCACTTGATTCTAGGAAATCATATGGGAACCATTTATGACGTCACTTGATTCTAGGAAACCATGTGTAACAAAACATACACCTCGTTCTTCGGTCAATATTCATTTGTTCCCAGAATGCACTTCTACAGTGGTATACGCTGGAGTGTATACGGAGGAGTTGTATACGATGACGATATACCACTCTCCACTGTATATCGTTGTTATAGACCCATGTTATACAACTGTAATCTGACTTAGAGTGGTATAAACAATTATACATAATATAATACATAAATGTATGCATATACAGTATTTAACAATAATACATACCTTACAAAATACAATGAAAAATTCAACTAAAAATCTGATAACAATTAGTATGAGCAATATGAGTACATGTATATAGTCACCAGAGAGGTAGAGTCACACAGATCAACTTTATGTCTCAAAGGTTTTGCATTTATTCTACATTTTATTTAAAAAATGTTTATTCTCTATAGATAATTCAAATATGCCAATCAGGTTAGAGCATTTCAGTACATTAATTCAAGGAATATGGTTAACTGAGCAGAAATATTATTTTACAGTGTATTATGGTTGAATAATGAACTTAGCAGACCCATTTACTATGTCAGTCTTCTATACTGGCAAAGTTAAGTAGAATTGCTGTGACAGCCATTTTGGAATCTTCAATTCAGTCCCCATTAAACTTCTTACATCATTGTTTAACTATTTTAAAACCCACAAATCTGAGTGGCAATTAGTGATGGCATGTTTAATGTTTATGCAATACCAATAGACGGATAAAATATTTGGACAAACTTTGGACAAAATATTTGGACATACATACTCCTTTAAGGTAGACTGGGGAGAATAAGTTATCTGACTAATCCACTTGAATTTTTTTACATATTGGCTTGTTGTTGGTGGGAAAATCCTCTAAGGCCTGCCTTAAGGAGAGTAACATGTCATGGACGGATTATGATTTTTAAAATAACAAAATACATGTACACAACTCTCTAAATGCTCTTGATAAATAAATAATAAAATAATATCACAGATCATAAATTTTACATCACAATGCATTTATAGTCTATAATAGTAAGAATTTGGTATAAGAATATTAGATAATATCACTGCAAAATATACTTTGCACATATATTTTTGGCATCACGCATGTATTTGCAGGGACAGGCGTACAGACTGATGGATGGATGAATGGTTGAAAAGATAGTTTCTTTATATTCCAACTTGGTCTTTGTTCAGTCAAAAAAACATCCTAGATATCACAATAGTTTTATATGCATAAACAGTATATCAGGGTTGAAATGCCCATTGATGCAACTGAGAGTCACAACGATCAGAATTTCTACATTTTTAAACTTTTTCATATCAAATGTCCAAGAAATAGATAACAATTCCATAAGTTGCACATTTTTGATTTCAACTCAATAATAAAAACCACACTTGTCTATATTTCTTATTGCAAAACACACGCTTGAGATGTCACTTTCCCCATATTGTCATCTTTGGCAGACTCAATCAAGGCCATCATTCTAGCCACACCCTTGAATCTATTGTTGCTGTTCAGTACTCCCTCAACATCCTCAATCTGAAATTGCAAATCGTAAAATTAAGACATACATGGTGGAGATGTTATGAAATGTAAAATAGAGTCAAAATTGTATTCATGTAGAAATATTCTACTCAGAGTAAAAGGCATGGTGGCCGCTGACCACAACTGTATTTATCTTTTATTTATTTAAAATAAACGGTAACACTGTTACTCCTCTTCTATCAGTTCAAGTTTCTGTTCTTTATTTCATTTTAAATTACCTTTAGGTTCTTCTCCTTCTTTTCCTTGGCTTTATTACACATATCATACAGCTTGTTCTGAAATAGTAAAATCAGGTTATAAAAAATCAACTGAGTTATCAAGTAACGATTATGGTACATTGTACATGGATGTTTATTTTTCTGGATCACAGAATTTTACCTTCTTTATCATGAAGTGTACCTATTTGAACAGTTGGTTAATCCACATGTAGTATATTGCCTTAATTTCTATGCCTTGCTGCCTCACCCCTTCTTCTTCTTCTTCTTCAACAATACGAATGCTTGAAATCTTCAAAACCAAGTTTTGACTAGTATGGGGAAATTAATTTCGAACATCATAAGTTCTTTCAACATCTAAACTCTAAATACAGCTATACTATATTTCGAGCACTTACAATTTTCAATTCTGCTCTTTCTGCACGTTTCCTATAGGTATTCACTTCTGACTGCATTTTGTAATTGCTCTCATTCTGAAAGAAAATTATCACATTTTCAACTGAATTTCATAGTCGTAATTTTTTTTAAATGTTGTAAATCAGGTGCTATTTTTATGCATTTTATGGTTCAAATTGAATGATGGTTTCTCAGGGTGTTAAAATACTTTATTTTAGGGTCCATCAATCAAGAAAAAAAAGTAACAAATTATATTTTTGAACATTAGACAACGTAGTTCTACATACTTGATGCCCTGTATAATGATATCACGATTTAACATATTATTAGGCAGGTAGTCAAGATACGTCCATTAAATGCTTGAAAAGTTGATTTCTTAAATTATGAATTCAATTTACATACAAAATATAATCTTAAATATTAGCTTTAAAATATGAGATAATACAGCAGCATCGAGATATTGGTTTCAGTGATTTAGAGTACATCAACAAATAAGATTCACAAAATTAGGATTAACATGTTAATACTACATGAAATGTGAACAACACTGCCATGACTGCAATTTGCCAAATCAAGAAAAAATAGATATTAGAGAAAATCCAAGATAAATCAGAAGAAGCCATTTACAAATAAGAGGAAGAAATACCCAGAATTAAATAGATGATCTCCATGTGAAGATGATCCTCTGGAATGGTCAAATTCTTGGGTATTCCTTCTTGTTAAAAAACCTGAAGAATTCAAAAGCAAACTGGGAATGAATTATATTATTATGAAATCATAATTCACTTTAATTATTAATTTCATCAATTATAGAAAGCACAAATGGCAATGTTAACAAGCGCAAATTAAGTGAAACCCCCATAAACAATAAAAAGAAGTGGGACAATTAGTAAATGTGACACAAAAAGACAACAGTGCATATATTTGATACCAACCATATGTATGTGTTCCTTTGATGCTGAGGTATCGAGCTAGAAACATATGTGTTGAATGAATCATGCATTCAAAATAGATTGTATTGAATTGAATATTTTGGGTCACAGGCCCGGGGTCACATGTGTATTCATCTTAGTTTAAAAAGATATGCAAACTGCAAACCTAAATCTGAATCATTCATGCAATGTTCAGTACATGCAAAGTTAATACAGGGTGAGCCAAAGTCTTAATTTGGGGTTGGTTTTTGGACTAACTCTGTAAAAAGGATAAAGGAGATAATTAGCATCGAGAGTGTATTATACCCATAATACAGTCGCATGTGCAGTCCCAGAAAATGGCTCAACTAAAGTGATCATCCATTAATTAAATATGAGCCAATTTTGGGGATTGTGCAAAAACCTGCATGAGGAAACTTCCAAAAGAAGAAAATCCTAGTATCACTACAGGACACTAGAGATGTGCTTGGTGGTGTGAAGTCTTACCAAATTATCTGAAGTGTTTTCCTAGATTAAAAGTGAATCTGCTATTAGTATTATTTTATTAACTAAATGTGCTAACTACAATGTTTCTTTCCATGATCAGATCATTAAAATTGCCCAACAAGTACCCAAAACTTCTTTGTATCAAAATATATCCAGTACATCAATAACAATGATTCTGATTTCTTATTTAAAGGGAATGAATTAGAATATAGCAGCAAGAAAGAGTTCCATTTTATGTTAACACAGTTTAGAATGAAATTACCCATTTAAAACAATATAATGGTATAAAACATGATATGGGTTCCATGTTTAGCGAGATATTATGGTTGAGGACAAATCCAAAGAAGTGTTTATTTTCCCCACATGATTGAATGTACTTGTATTTAAAACCAATCATGAAAATATTTTGAAAACATGCTAGATGTGAACTCCCAGAAGTTTTTTTAAATCATTCAGTGAAACACGAGTGGAAAGAATTATACTAAATAAATTATAGTAAACTATAACTAACATAGGATAAAATAAATGAAAGTATGAAACACGAAGAATATGAGCCTACCAGAGAGCTGAAAGAAGCATCAGAGTCAATGTTATTACAGCTTGGATTGGCAAACAGTTTGGAATTGGCCATTGTATTTGTAGAGTGATTAACACCATTGTGTGCCTCAATGCTTCTATGTTTGCTAGAGTCTCTTCCACTTTCATTTGGGTTAATATCATTATTTAGTCTTTCAGTTTCGTCAATTTGTTCCTGGGATTCATTTTTGTCATTATTATTTATTTCATGTTTGTCTGTGTCATGTGCATGTTTAGTATTAAAACCAGTGTCATTTCCGTCAATGTCATTAATGTTTGTATCATATGTCGGCCTTGTCTTCCAATATGCTGGTGTCTGATGAGAAAACAAAAAGAAACAACAAAAAGAAATGAGTGAAACAAACAAACAAACAAACATACAAGCAAACAAACAAACAAACAAACAAAAGATACTGATGTGGTTAAGAACAACAAAAAGAAATAACTAATTCTATACATTTTCTTATAAGTTCTTCATTGAAAAATTTGAGTGTTATCTATTTAGAACAAAGTGATATATTGTATTGTACCTATAATAAAGTGAACCTAAATGCTCCAAACATTTATGGACTATTGGTTTTATAAATTTTAAGGGAGGCAGAGTGGATTGAACATTCTAGCTTATTAACCTGGTCCTTTTACACGCCGGGTTTAATACATGTAAGTTAACAGGTCTGAAAGCTTTCTCAAACCCCAAAATCATCACTCCATACTGCCTACCCCAAGAAAGGAAATGGAAATCACATATCATGTGTAGGCTTCCCAAATCTTTTGAGACTTAAGAGCATTTGGGGGTTGCAAAAATCATTTTTGCACCTCTGTTCTAAATTCATAGTTGCGAGCATACATCGAAGGTTCATAATATCATGGTACAACACCATCTATAACTGATACACCAAAAGTAAAACATATGTTAAATTACCTCACGATTCTGAGTAATGTTAAATTAAAAGCAAATAAGATGAGGAAATAAAGAAATATCAAAGCATTTTTTTAAACAAGTACACTGCACATTAATAACTTGGAGGCAATACAGAAAACTGGAACAAAACTCTAGCTAAAGATTTGAGTCCAACTGGCCACAAAAATATTATATGACCTTTCCTACATATGTAGGATAACAATAGATAACAATGGACATGTGCATTGCTATTTGCCCTCTGGCATAAAGTATATGTCTGTTGAAAGCCCATGTCCTTAGCTCGAGATTTTGTTGAAATAAAACAATGTTTAATAATACTTAAAGTTCATATTAAAAGCATTACTTTAACCATTCACACTCTAAAGACTACTAATAGTTATATCAAATTCTGATAATCACATTCAATGATTCTGTATTAAAATATTATATCTACATAATTCTAGTTCTACAAATGTCATAAGCTATAAGCTGTTAACTGTACTGATCTGTAGCAAAGGTTATATAATAGAGCCAATAGAACCATATTATTTTGTACTTACCCGTGTGAAGCCTGGTCTAAGGAGTGTCTTTTCCCTTTGCATTAATTCCCTCGTGTTCAGTGATTTCTGTACATTCTGTTCCTTCTTTTGCTTCCCCCATACATTTATCACTAATGCCTCTTTCTGGATATAGTCTAGAAGCTACAATTATCAAATTTGAAGCATATTACTAATTTTTGGTTAATGATGTTAGCACATGAGTAATAGTATGTTTTCCATAATGTAAAAACAAAAATATTGGTAAGGAATTACTCTATGCTGAGTATTAAACTATCAGAGTTTTTTTTTTATTTATTTCATGATAATATGGAATGTACAAAGCATGTGCACTCGACACCCTTAGTAATTGGGCGTATCAGTGCATATATCAAAAATTATTGCAGAGCAATCACAAAACATATAATATATAACAGTATAACATACATTATCTAAATTGTTTAGATGCAACATACTGTTAACAACAGAATGAGAAATGTGACAAGAGAACAGAGGGTGAACCTCATGTAAAAATCTGGAAATAAAATCCAAAAGCTTGACTTACATGATTTTACAGGATTTTAAAAACTTTTCAATTTTCGATTTTTCTTGTCTCCCCTGTTTTAATATCTATGTACTTACCTGTTGAGTAACTGGACTGTAAGTGAACTGCTGTTTGAATTTATAATTCGGGTTGAAACCAGTACATTCATCACACTTTATAGGCACGTCATCGAGGTAGAACTTGAATGTGCAAAAACTCTAAAAAAAGACTCAGCATATTTAGGAAAACAGAATTCACAAACAACATGCACATTAAAGAGGGCAGATTTGATGGAATTGAGTAGTAAAGAGTAGTTAATGAAGGACCCACAGTCCTGTGCTAACACAGTTTGGAACCTTCAGAGGAATGTATATCCTGACTTTCAAACAAAAATATTGATTTGGATTTGTAGTCTCGAATTTTGAGAAACTTAGATAGCACAGTTGTGTGACCTAGTTTGATGACCTTTGACCTTGAAAACTTTACTTATTAAGAGCTCAGTAAGGTCTTTTGTGATTAAGCTGATCAAAATTTACATCCAAAAACGTCAAATATCTCAAAAACGGTAAAAATTTGATGCTGACATGTATTGAGCAATATGTAGGGAATGCTTAAATCTAGTAATGATGTAATTCATTGCAAGAAATGATCAAGTATAAGGCAAACTTTGAGAAACTTGTCAATCACAAAACCTGCCATTGACTTTATACATGAAAAAGTTTCCTGAAAATGACAAAGTCCTACTTTTTGTCAAATTTTATGGAGTAAACACCAAAAACTGTAATTCCCAGAGCTTTGAAATCTTCAGAGGACATAAGTTGCATGCAGCAACTACTAAAAGTTATTTGAAAGTTCTACTTCAACAAAGAGTTTAGTAGTTACAGAAAATTTGATTTTTTGAAAAATCCGCAATTTCTCGGAAACCGGGCAAAAACTTGGAAAATGGCGATGATAGGTCAATAAAAAAAATAGGCATTAGGGATATGCATAAAGTGAATGTGGATATGATTCAATCCGAATTGCAGTTTTAATTTGTGCGGCCAATGTTGACGGACGGACGGACCAACGGACGGACCAATGGATGGACGGACGCCTGATCAATCCCATAGGCTTACTGTGTGAGCCAATAATTATGACTTTTTGATGATACATATTTTCAATATATTTTCTTTAAATTCAAGAGATACTCAATTGCTGTAATCTTTACTGTTTTCCTCTTACCCTGTCATATTTTGATGGCAGTCCTCTAGCTCCATTTATGTTAATTGTGAAATTATATTTCTGTCCCTTTAGATCAGCAGGCTCTACATATCCATCTTCTATATTGTTCCATTTATCATCACATGGATGAACCTCTAACATCAGGTGACCTAAATTAGAAAGAAGAGTCAATGTTTAAAATATTAACACCAATAAACAGCAACTGGATGAAGAATATGGGACAAGGTCTACTTATTTGAGATGTCAATTCATCCAGATTTTTGCAATGTTAAGTGCTAATATTGCTCATTTTTTTGTAATTATCACAATTTGGCCAAATATTACTTCCTTCCAGCTTCAACTACAAAACCTGTCTGAACACCACAAGGAATGACTGAAAGTGTTCAGATTTGTTGGTAGTGTTCACATTTCAAGGTTTTTAACATGGAAGTCGATGGCATGTAATATGAAAAATGAGACTGAAAAAAACGTTCACATTGGGAGGTGTTCAGATGAGAGAGGTGTTCAGATATACAGGTTTTATTCTATTTTGGCCCTTACAGCCATTTTGTTTATTTATCCACGTAACATACACACCTTGTTCATTGCCCTTGAAGTCTGTGATTGGCATGGTCTCTTCAAGTTCTATCATGAATGCCAGTGAGCTCAGGTAGACATGTACATTGCCAATGAGAACTTCGGTGTCAGGGTCTTCCCAAAATGGATCTTGGTCCTAATACAATCAAATCAATTTATATTTAATATGGAATAAAAAATATTGAACTAAATATGTAGTGCATGTAAGATTTCTCTTGAAAGATAAGTATGTATTGCAATTAGATTACCAAACCTACAGGCTATGTTCAAATAAAGTCCAATCCTATAAAGTTTGAAAGGAAAATTAACTCTTGGCTTTCTGAGGATGAGACACTTGTCATTTTGAACTTTCCTTTTGATTTGCTTAAATGGTACTGGTCCAAAACACAACAGACAACATGTGCAAATTCAGTGAGTTGTTACGGTCAAAATGTGGGATCAGAGATTACAAATTTCTTAAACATTTCCATTTTCATTGACAAGAGGTATCCATAGCCATTAAGTAATTTACCTGAGGAAGATCCCAATCTGGGTCACCTTCCATGTAGTTCATATACATCTCCTGCATAATGTACTTGCGATTGATAAACTTGTTGCGGTCCCACGTCCACTCATTACCATTGTCAAGGTCCTTCATCTTAACCATGATCTAAAACAAATATGTGTGGGATGTTGCTAGGTGATACTCAGCTGCTCATTGGTCAGCGCTATTGAATCTTTATACTCACAAGTATTTAAGCATGTAGATAACATGAAGAATGATCAGTTACATTTCAAAGATAGACTGCAATCATTAAGATGCAACTTGAAAGCTGATAATTCTTTTGGAGAAAAACTCATTGAAATGCCCAGCTCCTTTAAAAGAAGAAATCCCTCTGACCTTGTCAAGTCAGTTAAGATCAGTTATTGCTCTCCAACAGTTAACACAAAGATAATGAAATAAGTTAGCATTATACAGGAGGAGATCCAAGGTGCAAATGTGATTTGGTATAGTGTGGCCATGGGCGTAGCGCCTATTACGCAAAATACGCACAGGCGTACCAAATGAATTTGAAAACAATTTAAAATGCATTAATTTATTTGCGAATTTATTGATGCTTCCTATCGTATCTGTATGTTTACCATTGTCAATATTTAAAGTTGATAAAAACGCTTAAATTCCATCAAATAACATCCTTGAAAAAAAATTAGCGGGGGAGAATACCCCCGGACCCCCCGTGATGCGCGGCCTTCGGTCACGCATTCAGGCATCCCCGAGTGTGCGTACCAACTCAAAATATAGCCCTACGCCCATGGTGGCCATTGCAGTGCACTCTGATTGGTTGAAAGCAAATACTGTAAAATGATTGATCTTCAGCAGTAGGTAGTTTGCTAACATACCTCTGTTTTACCCTCCTTGAGGCCTCTAGCTTGCGGGGAGACTAGGACAACTTCAAATCCAACCTTCTTGTTGAGTTCCTCTGATATTGCATTTGTCTCATTGATCATTGGAAGCAGCTGGATCAGATCTTCTTGCAGGATAAGGTCATCTATAATGTACATGTATATTGATTGACAAACTTGGCTTGCTCTTAATAAGGCTAAGAATGAAATAATGGGCATTTTGCCATTGAAATGAAAACTTTCTCTGTTTTGAGTGCAATTTTGGGTTAGTATGTGTTCAATGTGTCCTACTATAATTCAGTTTAGAGGAATTAAAGGGCTGGAGCTATGGCTTAATTTTACTTGTTGATTCCTGTTTCATACTGATGGCAATTCAAACAAAGAATTACATGTGTTAATGGATTTCAATTAAGATCCTCAGAATCGTTTTTGAGTATATTGAATGACAAGGGTCTTTAAGTTTAATAACAGTAGAACCTGTCTAATCTGAACACCCCTTGGACCCACCAAAAGTGTTTGGATTTACAGGTGTTCACATTTAAAGGTTTCTTAATATGAAAGGCAAAGGGAGATAAAATTAAGACAAAGAGAAAGTGTTCACATTGAGTTGTTCAGATAAGAGAGGTGTTCAGATATACAGGTTTTACTGTATATGACCCAATGAACTGCCAATGGACTGTCATACTCACCTTTATTGCTTTTACTTTTTATCCCAGAACTAATTCCCATAAAGCCTGAGTTCTCAGCAATCTCAGCCTGGGCCTCCTCAAATGTTGGTTTGGGTTCTTGTGCTTTAGCATCTTTATTCTTCAGCCAGGTGGCATATGTCTTGGGGTGGTGGAATATGTAGAGATGAGATGTTCCAAACATTACCCTGAAAGCAGTATGGAATATTGAATATTTTAATGCAAATTGGGTAAATTGTTCGTTTAAAATACGAAATGTGAGCCAAGCAATCCAACTGATTTAAAAACCTCAATACTCTTATGATATTCTTATGATGCTATAAACCCCAACATTTCTTTATTTCAGGATCTTTACATTCCAAAAAATGTCACTATAGAAATAAAATAGAAATTTCTAGAAAGAAAAATAACTGAGTACATCCACATTTAATATTTTAGCCTGTTGTCATGTACCCAATGATGATGATTCACTTTAGTATTGTACACTTACCTGTCATGGTGATTAAGCTGTTTTTCTTCACGAATTTCATCACCATTCAGAACAACTTTGGCTCCACCTACTGGTAGAATAGTGACTTTCTCCTTCTTGTTACTAATAACAGCATGTTCTTTGTGGATGCTGCAATATGACAAGATAACAGGATTATTAATGTATCTTTATTGTACAAGAATATAATTGTATCTTAGAATTTAATTGCAGATGAATACTGAATATAGGGTATTTCCATATGCTCAGAATTTAAGATCTGGAGTGATCCACAGGTGTTTCTAAATATATATTTTAAATACAAAATTTAGTTCTAATTCTAGAATGAAACAATGAATAGTCAAAATTTAGACAATAGGCCAATAATGCTTTCAGCATATGGATTCATGAATTCATTGCTCAAATAACAACATAACCTATGATCTACATGTAATAAACAAGGCATTACCATGCAAATTTCACCACTCATTACAGACAGCAAACAACAACTGCCATTGCCACTCGTTACAGACACCAAACACCAATTGACATTACCACTTGTTACAGACACCAAACACCAACTGCCATTGCCACTCGTTACAGACACCAAACACCAACTGCCATTACCACTCGTTACAGACACCAAACACCAACTGCCATTACCACTTGTTACAGACACCAAACACCAACTGCCATCCACAAAAATGTTGGAGACAATAACAATACGTCACCCTTTGTGGTGGTGACATAAAAACTTGTTTTATATGGTCTACTTTAAAAGCATATACGTATGCATATAAAATGAACTAACTAGATTATAATTTACCTCAGTCCAGCTAGTAGAATATCAGGCTGTGTTGCTGCACTCTTGTTGCCAATTTTAGAATCACCTACAAACAAAAAATAAAGTTGATGTCACATCCTAAAAGCTTGGACTTCATCTTAGAGCGAATGATTCCTTTTAACATGTGATACATCAAAATATCAATTGTACTGCAAAACTTAATTATATATGCTAACCACGAGACTATTAAAAACAGATGTTCTCGTCTACTGAGAATATATTTAAATCATGTATTTTTATGACATTGTATGATTCAATGTTTACTTATATAAATTGAACTGAATAAAACAATGATGCCCCAAGTACCTTCTGGACAAAAGTGCACCACCATCCCGCAAAGTGATGCATCCGCATTCAGGTTCCAGAGATGAGGGACGCTCTTCATCTGTTCTTGCTTCTTCTTCTCTGCTTCTATTTTGTCCTAGTTTAACAGAAACATTATCGCGATTAACTGGACATTTTATAATGGTCTGTTATTAGATACTGAAATAGTGTGATGTCAGACACCAATAAGAAAAATTCAATTAGTAGATCAGTGGTTTAAATTAAGAGATCTAGTCCCTCACAAATTTTGAAAAAGTGTCTATTCAATCAAATCTCACATCCATGAATAAAACCTGTCTATATTTTAGTTTTTTCATGCTTTAAAGAGTTCTGAATATTGTTGCATGTAATTTCTCCATCGATGATGTTGAATATTATGGCTTCTCAAATATGTAAGCCTAAATGTACCTTGTTTATTTTACTTTCTTCAGCTAGCCTCTCTTCCCAAGTTTTCTTCATTGCTTCCATCTCATTCTGGTTCTGCTTCATTTGTTCTTCCATCTCCTTCTTCAACTCTTCCACTTCTAAAAAGCATTTGTTTGAACAATAATGACAATGTTTCATGATGCATCTGCCTCACTCCCCATATTGAGAGGATGGAGGCATCACACTTAATAAGGACTACAAGAAATCTAGAAAAATGCTTAGGTGAAGAAAATGTTAAATGAACAACTCCGAAGTCATGAGGCCACTGCGAGAAAATATTTTAAATGATTCATGATATTTAAGTGACTTACCTTTTATGGTGATAATAAGGTAAAACAATTTTTAAAAATCAGTCTTACGATAAATTTTGTTTTTGAGAAACTGCCATTTGTACATTCTTCATCTTATGATCTAACATGCAGTTTACTTATATTTGTAAGCAGTAAGTTGAAAATAAAGATCCATTGCAGACAATACCTTCTTTATTACTTGCACCAGCAGCATCACCTCCACCACCCTGCTTGAGCATTTCCATTAGTTTGGCATTCTCCTCACGTAACTCGCGGATAAGTTTGTCTGTTGGACTCTCATTGACAACAGCTTTAGTCTTTATAGCCTTTGCACGGTTTGCTGTATGAGAAAGAGAGTCTATATTTCTCAAAGGGTATGAATTACTCAATACATAATGAAACATGTATATCTGAACACCTCTCTAATCCAAACACCTCTCATTGTGAACATTTTTTAGTCCCAAATTTGTAACCTCCCATTGACTTACATATTTGAAAATTTGAATGCCTTAATTTCAAGTAAAATATTAAAATTTTGAGAAAATCTTGTACAGCACTTTAACAAGATTTAACAGAACTTAATGCAAGATTTGTGAAAAGCTCATATTTTCAAAATTAGAAGATCAAAGAGTATTTTTAATCTAAGCATTGATATTTTCATAAAAATCTACAAACAACATGTGTACTTACCATATCTTAATGTTGAGAGAGTTTCTTCATAATTTACATTGGCAGGACTCAATGCAGCTATCTAGAAATATAGGGAAACAAACAAATTATCAAGAATGTTAGAATTAAAATTAAACAGTTCAGTAATTCAGTAGGTCTATTATTAATTACAATTTCTGATTTTCACTTGACTTATCTTTTGCAATTTTCCATGTTCTAAACTGTGTTTGTTATGTTAAATTCACTATTTACTGGAACTACCATTGATTAGAAAAAGTAAAACCAAGGTATTAACAAGCAAAATGTCATCACCTGCCATTTGTTGCAGAAGCCAAACGCCGATCGCTATCCACAAAAAAGTGGAAGACTATGACATAACAATTATTTGTGACACATTAAGTTCAAGTATAGAAGTTTTGTGTCTCTAACATGTTTTGAAATAATCATCAGATCATTACCATGACAGTCTTGCTGTTTCCTCCAAGTGCATTTTGCAGCAATTTCGTCAACACCGAGTCTCTGTAGGGAACTGGAGAATAAAAATAAGTCAATCTAGAGTTGTTATACATCCAAAATACACCTTAATTCTGTTAGAGGAAACAATTTTGATTGCTCTTCATATTGAATGTTTTGAATAATGTTGAATGTTATGACAAAATCAATATTTTGTGAGATGGTCAGGTATTCTTTTATGTCATGTTATATCTATTTGGAGTTGTTAGGCATTTTCTATTTATAGTATCTAGTATAGTATAGTATACTGCTCATGACAATTACAAATGTATTTTTGTGAGACAAACAGAATCAACCATAGACATAGAACATCAACCTGAATCCTTGATGACTTAAGTCTAACAAATACAATAAATTCATAAAATAATTCACACTTACCATAACCTTTTTTTTGAACAATCAAAACCACAAACACTTACCATGAACTTTTTTGTTTCCCTCGGCTGCCTCAGCCAAAGCAGTTATGACGTTACCAAGGGAACTAAGTGACTGATTGATTGCAGAGCCCTCTTTTAGTCTGTCTCCTGTCGCTCCTGTTTTATTGGCCCGTTCACTATGTACAAAAACGTTTTTTTTGTAACGCATCAAAATTGAAATTAAATAAGAGTACTTATATAATTATTATAGTTATATAATGTCACAAGAAGATATGTTTCACCCACAAGACAATGAAAGTATAGTTCCTTGAAAAAAGAGCAATAAAAAAGTAAACCAACATCAACTAATTATCAGTCACATAAACCGACCATCCCTAAGGTAGGCCAAGTAAAATGATTAATATGGCTTATTAAATTGGGACCTAATTCAATTATGAGTCAACCCCCTCTGCCTCCCTTAAGTTATTTACCTTCCAGCCAGATCTACCAGGTTAATTATAGAAGTCTTTGTCATGCTCTTGCCCTCTTTGTTTGGAGATTTCTGTGTGAAGTTTATTGCGACAACTGTGTGAGCTCGGCTGAAAAAGAAAACAAAAATTCACATTCAAAAGCTTAAGAAAAATGTCCTTTTAAGAAATTCACAGGAGCAGGATGTCAAATTGTCTTCAATTTATTGAAATTACAATTACTTTAGCTCAGAAGAAAATTGGCATTTTTCAACCTTCTAAAATGAAAAATATGAGTCAAGTAAGACAATTGATCTAGAAGAATTATTATATTCTAATTAATGTACCCATTCAATTATGTTACCCATTCTGTACATACCTGCTTGTTTGGTTCATCTGAGTAGCAGCAACAGTTCTGTTTCTTGTTCCTTCATTCATCTTACGTTCCACATCAGCATAGTTGCTTACTGGTAGCGTGGACAAACCATCGACTGTAAGCACAGAATGTATTTAGCACTCATACACAACATACATACTATTGGAATGAAATGTTTATGAGTGGATTTGATTTCTGAATGCTAACAATTTAATATTTCGAAATTTCTATTAAAAGTTCATAAAATATTTACCAAAAAATCCTTTCTTTGGGTTATTCCTGACTTTTAGTCCACCTTTGACTTTAAAGCTGTTGGAGTTGAAGAGGTCCCTGCACTGTTCATTGTATATCTCCAGCATACTGACTTTCACCTATGTATATGGCAAAAAAATAGCAGATTAGGTGCATATTAAACAAATACTGGATGACCATGAGGTGGATATGCCAAAATACCTATCCGAGGAAAAAATACTAGGTGAGGCGAAGCATGCAGCTCTTAACCAATCAGATTTTAATGAGGTGCATAATAATAATACATATTAACAATACAATGTGGTGTCCCTCAGGGATCCATTTTAGGCCCCGTACTTTTCATCCTTTACATAAATGACCTAATCTCTACTAGCAATTTATTCAAATATGTAATTTTTGCTGATGATACAAATATTCTTTGCTCTGACAAAAATATTTATTCCTTAATTGATATAGTGAATAATGAATTAAAAACTGTAGATGATTGGTTCTGTGCTAACAAACTCTCATTGAACATTGATAAAACCAACTTTATGGTCTTTACAACTTCACAAAATAGGGTACCAGATAATATATCAATCAAAATTAGAGACTCTTACATTATTCGTGTTTTTTCAACAAATTTTCTTGGCGTTATAATTGACCAAAATTTAAATTGGAAAGAACATATTCGAAAAATTGCACTAAAAATTTCAAAAACCATAGGTACTCTATTTCGAATAAAACACAAACTCAGTATCAAATCATTATTGAATATCTATTACTCACTTATTTATTCACACTTACAATATTGCATCCCAGCTTGGGGTGGGACAGGAAAAACACATATTGATATCTTATTAAAGCTGCAGAAAAGATTTGCCCGCTTAGTTACTAATAGTGAATATAATAAAGCACCATCATCACCTTTATTTCAACAACTAAATATACTGAAAATAAATGATATTTATAAACTCAATGTTCTTATCTTTACATACAAATGCATCAAACGTCCATACAATTTTCCGAATGACTTATTTTGCAATTATTTTCAAGCAAATCAGCAGGTACACGACCACAATACAAGACAGACTGACAATCTTCATATTTCCAAATTTAGAACCAACTATGGCAAACGAAGTATTAAAACTCAAGGGGGAATAATCTGGAATTCAACTCCAGATGTTATCAAAAATTCAAAAACCATTTTTATTTTTAAGCGAGCCTTCAAAAGACATGTAATTAGTCTCTATGATTAGTACCCTGTACAAATTTTTAACAGATGCACCTTTTTCCATTTAGCTATTCTACATCATTAAAATGTTTTATTACATCTTTTATAATGTACATCATTTTTATTTTTATTTGTTTCCCAGTTTGGCTTACATAATTTATACTTTGAGACATTTTGTAACATCAATAATAAATGTAACTAACAATATGCCATTTTTAAATATTTTAGCTTGTGATAAGACATACACCCACCAGGGTGTCATTATCACTTATATGTATATATGTTTATATGATTTTAATAAATAAAAAAAAATAAAAAATAAAAAATTGTATTTAATGATTTTATTTAAAACCCTTCTTATGTTATCTTAAGCCTCAGTCACATTTGATCTACAGCAACCATACCACAGCTGTAGCTTTCCAAAATCAAGAGAAATATACAGCATAAAACATAAATACGATGCTGCTTTTTATACAGATTTTGTGTAGCTACGGCCACCATACGGCCACTAAACAGCAAATGTGACTGAGGCTCTATTAACAAAAAGAGAGGGGAAGTCGATGTAAGGGATGTAAGATTAAGAATTCTGTATTGCTATAATCTTTATTTCTGACATTTTCCATGACATATTCAAACCCCAAATAGCATCATTCTTTTAACACATTGCTCAACTATACATTATACATTGTACATATTGTGTTTCCAAAGAAAGCCAATGTGGGCTCACTATGACAAATCCAAGGACCTCTATATATAACATTCCTTAATCTGACACAATCACTTAAACCAATGATAACAGATTACTCTGCAATTAAGGTAAGACTGGTTACCATTTATTTCTCAAGTGCATTATGTTGCTTTCAATTTGCACTTATCAATTACATTGATTCCCTTCCAACAATTGTAGAGAACATTATAGTTCAGGTATCAAATATCATTTTACTCTTTCATCTTTATTTCATATGAATCTTTACATTTTTCTATTATTGTTTTTGAAAATGAGAATGTAATGAATACTGAATAATTACTCATTCTTGTAAAACTGAAACCTGAGGAGTAAATTTATAGTTGATATTAAGGTGATTACCTAATCAAGGTCAACAAAACAGACTTCAAGGTCAAGTTTGAGATAAGAGCCACTTTAACAATTGATAATCCCTTCACCACCAAGAAAGCATATTTAATCCATAATGTGAGTAACAGTGATTGGATCAGCCAATATTTTGTAATTTATGCTAAATGTCTATGGTTTATAGGGCACTGAAATTTTACATTTTGCCCCCCCCCCCTCCTGATATGTCCTTTACGCCTTACATGCATGTTGAGGGTCTTGATAAAAAATCCACAATCAAAATCAAAATCTCTATCAAGGAAGTATTCAGCCCTGTATTACTTCTGGTATAACTTGTTTCATGGAGAATCTCAAGAACTCATTGATTCTCTTAGAGAAATAACTGATCACCTCAAGAGGACTTCTAAGATATATTTCAACAATGTATAGCAACACAGGAATAATTCATTCAATACTTCGATACAAATAAAGTACTTTAACGGCAAAATTGTGGGTAACTCCTCCTCTCTTCAAGAATTCAAAATATCCCAAAAGGAAATACAAAGAGGGGAACCATTACCCCCTCCCTTAAAACATAGAAACATACAATTAAATGGGGAAATAGGGAGTAAGAAGTTGACCAGAGATTGATGAAAACAAGCCTAGAACAGCGTGCGTATAGTGTTACTAAGAGACCTACCTGGTACTCTGCTTTGTTACCCTCTTTCATACGCTTGTCAATATCTTGGAAAAGGCGCTCACAAACTATTGGTACAATACCTAAAAAACAATAGCATTTACATAGAATAAATGATAAAAATTATAATATTTAAATATAAAAGTGCTTTAAGAACTTTGCCAAATCTCTTACATTTATAAATGCGTGTTCCAAATAAAATGGATAAGGAAAACCAAAATCAACATCATAAGCTACATGTTGATTGATCATTAAGTCACAGAAGTATTGTTATATTATATTCTGACGAAAACGCTTCATAACAAAGGAATGTGTGCCTAACTGCCTATATACCACTTCAAACATCCTTGTTCTCAAACCTTTTTTGGGCTGTATTGGGGCAGAAAGAAAGATTACTTTGCAATTTTACCAATCAAAATTGATCGGCTCCAAAAGTTCCCAAAAATTAATCAGTTCACCAACACATTATTGTGTAACCTGATTAAGTTATTTTTATGATGCATCTGTAAAGGCAGACTAATTTTAATTGGCGTTTTTATTCCTAGCATTTTAAGTGAAAAGTGAATATAATTCTCACATTTAGTGAACTAATTCAGGTCACAGAACTTTTGTGAATAATTTGTTTAAATTAAAAAAATTATATAATGCATTTAATAATTACGGAAAGCGAAAGGGGATATACCGCAGAATTTAAAATTCAATGGAGTTTTAACATGGGAGTGATATCACACACCGCGCGGCCCAGTCAGATAGATTTCTGCGCACTTTATTTATTTGATTCACTTTGCACAACGCGCCCCCTGTAATTCATTCAGTGCTCGATTAAAAAATGGTTATGAGTGATATCGCACAATGAGGCCCAGTCAGATCGATCTCTACGCACTTAATTTATTTAGCCAGAATATTAACACACTCAAAATATCGCGCTAAAGCTAGTATATGCTGGCGCGATGGAAATATAGTTTTCTGTTAATAAATACCCAACAAGAAAGGGTAGCACAACGAATTCAACTTTTTTTCGAAAGACTGACTGACCTCAAAATGGTTTACATTAGTACACAGTGTACACTGCCATCTTTCAATAAAGTGTGTACTACAGACCTTCGTCTACAAAATACCAGAATGATTGATGGAATACCTGTATACCATTTCTTCTGGGAGAAGGAAAGTTCCTATATGTATTCCAGGGCTGTAGCCAGGGGGCCTCACCCCCCTCCCCCTTGCCAAATATTCGTTCAAAATCATGCAGTTTTTCACCATTCTTAGCACTTTTCGCATGATTTTTTTGCCAAAACTGTCAAAAAGCTCCCCCCCTCTTGGCAAAATCGCCCCTTGGTAAAACCACTCCCCCAGGTTAATCCAGGATACGGGTCTGTATTCTTAGACGAGATTGTTTAAGAACGTAAGATCTTTTCTAAGTTATTAATTCATCAATCAGCAGACTGGTAATTGTATCCCCCACCCACTTCAAACTCCATACCCTAACATACTATTACAATTTAAAATCAATTTTATCTGTGTTTATTTGACTGTAGAAGGTGTACATTCATAGCATTGAATTGCATTTCATTGCATTGTATTGTATTGTATTTTATTGTATTGTATAGCACATCATTGTATTGTACTGCATTTTATTGTATTGCACTGCATTGTATTTTATTGCATTATATTGTACTGTATTGCACTGTATTATATTATATTGCACTGCATTGTACTTTATTGCACTGCATTGTATTATACTGCAGTGTACTACATTGTATTGCGCTGCATTGTATTGTATTGCACTGCATTATAATGTATTGCACTGTACCACATTGTGTTGCACTGCATTGTATTACACTGCATTGTTTTGTATTGCACTGCAATATATTGCACTGCACCATATTGTATTCCACTGCATTGCAGTGCACTGCATTGTATTATATTGCACTGTATTGTATTGCACAGCATTGTATTGTATTGCACTGTATTGTATTGCATTGTATTGAATTGCACTGTATTGTATTTTATTGCACTACATTGTATTGCACTGTATTGAACTGCATTGTATTGCACTGAACCACATTGTATTGCACTGCATTGTATTGAAATGAACTACATTGTACTGCATGACATTGTTTTGCATTGTATTGCATTATATTGCACTGCATTTTATTGTATTATATTACAATACATTGTATTGTATCATATTGCACTGCATTTTTTGCATCATATTACAGTGCTTTGTATTACATCATATTGCACTGCATTGTATTGCATCATATTGCTCTGCATTATATTGCATCATATTGCACCGCATTGTATTACATCATATTGCACCACATTGTATTGCATCATATTGCACTGCATTGTATTACATCATATTGCACTGCATTGTATTGCATCATATTCCGTATTTACCATTTCAGTTACAGTTTTATTACATAAAATGTTATTTATAAGATTATAATTTTCAAACATTGAAAATGTTTTATACAATATCACTTAAAAGATATGAAATGGCCAAAAATAATATATTTTCAATGGAACCCTTTGCAAGGGTCACTTCAACATAACGCCACGTGTAATCTGTATGCATACGCCCTCTTTTAATGAACATTATCTTTGAAACCATATTAGAATAGAATCTGATAAAAGTGTGCATGTCCTGGATGTGCTGCGCGCTAGAATCGGTAAATCTCAAAGTTCTCCTCGTTAGAGCCATCAATATTATCCAAAATTGTCATTTCGCTGGTTCACTCCGCAGTCTTTCGAAAAAATCAAATTCGTGGTGCCACGAATTTTTATTCGTTATTTATTCACAGATAATCATTTTTTCATCGCGCACTGAATGCCGGAATTTCTGCGCACTTTATTTTAATTAACTTTGCACAACGCGGCCCCTGTAATTCATTCAGTGCGCGATGAAATCTATCTGACTGGGCCCGGTGTGTGATATCACTCCCATGTTAAAACTCCGTTAGATTTTGAATTATGCGCAGGTCCCCTATCGCTTTCCATAAATAATAGATTTATAGATTAGTGTTCCAAATATAATGAGTTAGTAAAACCAAAATCAACATTATAGGCTACATGTGGATTGACAATAAGGCATGTTAAAATAATCTTGTCTTGGCTTCCCAAAACTAAAGCATTTAAAGGTAGATTACACTTGAGGTTTCTCCCCCAGGACAATCAGTGATGTCTCATTAGAATTGCTTATATAATATCTTAGATACCTGAGATATATCTTGAGACTAACTTACTATAGTATTGCCAATATATTGGGAAAATGAACAGAACAACAAAATGTCAGCATTGAACACAATTGAGTTTGATCGTGGCAATCATGGGAAAACCATTAGATCCCTTTCAAATGACACGAGCACACAATCGTCATCAACCTCGGCACCTGCCTTGAGCCAGGCAACCAATCAGATTCAAACCCGGTTGACAATTTCTTTTAGAATTTTCAGAACTGCCATTTACGGAGGTTTGTTTGGTCACGTAACCATACTGATAAACAAATTTAACGACCAATCAGATAAGAGATGTATTTCCCCAGTTTATTCATGTTTCAGAAAATTAATTTCGAAGATATTAATTCGACCAGTCAGCACAATCACAAAAAAATTAGCACAAAAAACGGCGGATTTGGCACTTCTTTCTTCTTAAGTAGATAGGTGAACATGTGGTAAGGCTGAACATGCAAAAAAGTCCAGGGGGTCTTGATTGTGCTTTCCTATCACCACATCCCTTTTTAAACATTTTGAATTGAAAATTTTGAATCAAGGCATGTCATTGCCTAATTTTTCTGAAATGTTGTCCTGATTTTCGGCCCTTTCCACCCATGATTCATTTCGGATAAAGTGGAAAACAATATTTCCCATGTTATTTTGCCATAGGGAAAACTCATGCGATCAATTATTTTAGCTTAATTTTGGTCACCCATAATTGATATCTTCAAAACCCCCACATTTTTGAATTGGATCATATTTAGTGAAATTGAATTGTTATAGAATAAATAAATGATTTCTAATTGGGATTTAATATTGGTTTTATCCTCAATTAATTCTTACAATTAAAACACAAATTTCATGGCCAGAGATATCTATGAAAAATTTATATCATACCGCAAAAACATTGCCATTGTTATTTTAAATTAACAATAAACACAGCAATTTTCACAACCTTAATACATTTATTTAAAAGGTCACAGCGGAAAGTACATGAATAACCAAATATTAGGACTTTTTAGCACCTCCATTTTCTGTTTCTTTCGAAGGGATATATTTTTTAAATTTTGAGTTGCTCAATATCATGCATGATGAAATCCGACAAAGTCAATTTTTGAATATTGATAAGTTCCATGTACGGGATATATATAATCATACAAAGCATGCATCCACCCCCCCCATCCCCCCACCCCCCCCCCCCCCCATCCCCTCCTCTACTTACCCTTGTTTGCTCCATACCCCACCATAGAATACGACTTCCCAGAGCCTGTCTGTCCGTATGCAAACAGAGAGCAGTTATAACCTCCCCATGCATTGTCTAATACACCTTGGCCTAAGTCAGCAAATACTTTTTTCTGCAATGTAAAAATTGATTTGACTATTAGTTTATTTAAAAGGGATTTGTAAAATATTGTATAGCATTTTGTGGTGTATTACATGTATCTTCCAATCTCAAACATCACAGAGACATTTCATATCTATATCATATTATAGTGCAGAGTTCCATTCTGTGCTTCATTAACCATGTACATGTATTTCTAAAATACTTGTATATTCTTTAGATATGATACCTAAGAGCATTATTCTTATTCTATAAACCCCTCTATGTTCCATCTTTTCTATGCATGGATAAAATTACACAAAGAGCAACGGTTATGACACAACAAAACCATATTAAACCTTTACTTCATGTGTATACATAAATCAAACATATAATCAAGGACACTAAAATTGAGCACTCATGGCTTGCTCATTTGAATGAAATCTTAATAACCATGAGTTTCATATCTAGGGATAACAATCGAGTCATCTACAAGTGATAAGAATAGCAAAAAATAAAGAAATAACATATAAGAAATAACATAAGTAAAAATCTAAGTTCATTACATACCTGGTCTGCATATTTGCTGTCAGTTGGCTCCAGATATCCATCAGCATTCGACTTAAAACCCTCATGTGACCAGTATGAATAGTCAAATGTAAAGTTTTTTGTGCCTCCTTTTTCATCTGTGATTGTTGTTGTATTTCCGACCATTTGCAGACACAGCTTTGACTTCATAGTCTTTTCCCTTTCATTGTGAGGATGGTTAAGGATTATAAACTTGTCGAAATTGTTAAAAAATAAAGAGAAGTGGCAGCTTAAAAAGGGAAAATCTAAACCACTTTTATTTAAAATACAAGTATATATTTATTAGACAATAAAGTAAATAAACTAGATTTACACTAGTTGTTTGTACATGTATCTACTTTTAAATACTTGATTTTGATTGGTCAAAGAGGGGTCAATAGTTTTAACTATTATCTGCTCTATACATTATGCATTGTCTGAGTTGACTAAATTTGACTTTGACATTAAGTCAGTTAGTTATAAGGCTCTGAAAAGTGTTCCACTAAAAAGGTGTTCCACTTCTAAAGGTGTTCCACTTTACAGTTTTCACTGTATAATAATAGATGCGAGTGAAACCCCGTGGAGTAAAGAATATAATGAAAATGAATAAATCCACAAGAGAAATGGTTTTACAGGCAAATAACACGAAGAACTCCCATAGGACTTTCATGGTTTCTCATTTTGAGAAGAGATTTCCATGGATAATTATTGGGGGCCCATTATATCAAAGTGAATAAAACAATTGAAAAAGTGAACTCAAACATTTTTTCTCAATTTTCTATGTCTTTAAGGCATTATACACAACATTCCCTTAATTAGCATAAGTACTTGCAAGACTAAGATACTGTAACGGATTTGGGTCTTAGGATGTATAATTTCTCAGTTATCTCTGCATTTACATAAAGGCTGAAGGTCTTCATATAATGGTCAAACTTAATTGTCATTTGTCAACCAATCATGTATCAGTATCTAGCCTTAGTTCTTGGTTTCATAGAGGCTGGTGGTCTTTAGACAGTAGGCACACTTCCATTGTATCTTTCAACCAATTACTTTACAGTCTGGTCATCTTCAGTCCACTTGAGTTTTGGTGCAAGTAGTCTTTTACTATGGAATATTCTCAGTACCAACTGCATTCTAACATTTGCTTCAGTCACTTAACCAATCATTGGTCCATAATTTGTCATGGTCAGTTTTAGGGATGTACTTTAGTCTTTTAGTACTCAAGTTAACCAATCAATGACTTCAATGCCTTGGTCCCTCTGTACAAGCTGCACTTGGGGTCTCAGGGGTATATAAGTAAATGTTCACCATCAGGACAGCAGTCTCGCTCCTGGCTCGCTTGGGTAAAGGTCTTCAGCTCTCGTACAGTCTTTGTGGATATTTGGACTAGGAATCAATTAAGGAATCAATTAAGGAGTTCAGTTTATCAATTAGTCGGATATATATTTGTCACCATCTTGGATATTTACTTAAGTCGCAGGCACTTGGTTGTTTTGGGGTGAGTTATCAATGCATTATTTACAGGTACTTTGAACACATGATTTCTTTGACATTATTGTGTGAGATAATTGTAAGCTATCAGTCCAGGTATTGTACTTAGATTTAATTAGTATTGAGGCTACAGGAGTTATACTTGTATGCATTTCTTATTGTTATGTAACATGTTCATGTACCTTATGACTTATAATTAAACAATATAGTAATGTTGATTATTGTTGACCTCGAACCTAAATGTTTTGTTTGACCTTTATTATTAAATCAACCCCCACGAAACTGCACAACCCCCAACACAACACCTTGGGTCGTTACAATACCAATTATAGACCGGATATCTCAAAAACTTTTACAACCAAAATTGTTAAGGTCAATAATTATCATATATTATAAGAGAATTAAGCTATCTGCATTGATCACTAATTTTCAATATAAATTGATCTGTTATAAGTTCTTATATTGATTATCAATTACTTATTACAGTCTATTATCTTATGTAATTGCTCTAATATAAGTAAACTGTACCATTTACATTAGTTACACATTGTACACCACAACAGTATTCAGTAAACAGAGTTTTGATATACTGGGTATTTCCATATTGATCCAGCACTCAAGTTCCACTGTATGGAAATCAAGTCTTAGATGTACCAGTAGCTTTTATGAATGAATTTGTATATCTTTCATTTATAGGACATATTTACTTCTTGATTTGCATAAATATATGGGGAGGGGGCTTTGTAAGCCCTTTTGGCCTTCGCGAAGGAAACGGGACAAGAGTCAGTTTAGGGTTATATAATACAACAAATAGTGACTGCCTAATTTCGAGCAATAGTGTAAATAATTTCCCCTTGGGAATATCCTAGGGTTTTTCTTTCAAAAATAGACCCACTTCAAGGTAATTTTCAAAAAACAAAACCTACTTTCGGCGATTTTTTTCAAAAACAGTACACAATTTTAGTATTTTTCAAAAAGTAGACCCAGTTCTAGGGATTTTTTCATCAAAATGGGACCCATATCTAGTTTTTTTTTCTTCAAAATGGGACACAAATCTAGGGATTTTTCAGCGAAAAGTGACCCACTTTAGCGGCACGTCCCCATATAGCCAATATATGGGAGTACCCCCCAACCCCCGGGCCCGGGGGGTTCACTGTGTACAAAATTTGGAGGGGGTCCTAGGCTTAACCCTCAGATATCAATATATTCCCATACCAAAATGTCAAATTTGGATGTGTTCCCATACCAACTGATATAGTGCCCAAAAGCCATACCAAATGCCCAAATATGAAACCAATGCCATACCAAATGTCAAAATATAGGACCAATGCCATACCAATGACATGACTGGTCCAAAGTAGAATATTTCCCAGGAAAAAAGCTATTTATTTAAACTGAAGAAGGTCCCAGGAAGAAGGCGATCTTTGAGGAAACGAACCAAAACAACCTCATATTAGGATATGTCTAACTACTAGACCAATTCCATACCATAATTGTGAGATAACATATTTTCCATGACCATTCTCATACAAGAAAGTTGAAAAATCTGACCATTTCCATCCCTCAAAAGTCATAATGAGGGGGCATTCTCATACCACATCCTAAAATTTGGGTCCATTGCCATACTAAAAAAAAGGTACCCCATGTGCTCGGAGGATCGCCGTCAAGGTTGATATACAGTGAACCCCCCGGGCCCCCGGGTAACAATAACATTGGTCACAACTGAAATATAACTAGACTAAACTAACCATAAAAATACTATTTGATAATTATCATAAAATGCAGTATTACATAATGTAAAAAAATATCAATTCAATTTTTTGAATGAACAATAAATTGACTTTGTAAAATGCATAACAGCTAAATATCACATCATAACTCCCTATTATATCAAATTGCCTCAATGTGTCAATGGACCACAGAGATTTCATTAACATTCACTGGCAGGTTTTGGCTCACGCGGGGCTGGCGGGCGCTATATTATATATGCTGATTGTTCGGGTCTTTACAATAACTCAGTTTATTCTTTCCAAACAATTTAATTAACATTTTGACAATAGCCTTTATCCACCCAGCAATTTAAATATACAAGAGATATAAGAGAGAAGTCACTTAGAGTTAGACTCCCTGTGACTAAATTCAAAATATTTACCTCACTATTGATATTTCCATAACAAATAATAACAATAGTTTAGAACATTTCAAATAAAACATGGAAATTTATCAAAAACTATCCTACCTACAGAATTTGATGATTTTCAAAGAGTTATCTTGTTAGTATTACATATGTTATAGTAAAATACTTTCCTCTGATTATCATTAAAAGGATATGAAAGGTCGAACTCTCACAGCTACTTTTATATTTTCTGCCATGTTGTATACTTTGGCTGTTGTATCAAACTTCAGGAGACGTGTGGCCCATTCGAAAAAAAACTTTCAAAATAAGTTATCTTATTCTTTCAAACTTTTATTTATACTAAAATAACTACAATTTCTAAATACTTGAATCAAAATATGTATTTTCAATAGGTAAACGTATGTATAAAGAAGCTTAATCAATAGAAATAATATGTTGAACGTATAAATAAATGATGTGCAACTAGTAAATAGAACAGCCAAATATTGCTTCGCTATAGCCATTTATTCACAAATAGCAGTTCTTCTTAGAAAAACAAAAAAGTTAAATTGACAATTTCCAAGTTCTTCACAATATGACATGTAGAGTATCCCAATTACACTTTATTGGAATGCTACAATAACATACATGTAGGTAAGACATAGTAGTGAAAGTTAAAATAAAAGAGTTAGTTGTCCCAAATCAAATTCACAGGAATTTTGTGATCAAATTGGATCATGGGCTTTCAAAACTTTTAAAAAGTTTCAATTGCGCTAGGCAGGCAGGCAGGTAGGCAGGTACTCGGGGCCGACCGACAGGGGCTGCGGGGCAGCGGAGTTGAAAACACATCGATAACAGATTAGTTCAACAAGTTAAACCCAATCCGTCTTAATTTGTCAATCTGAAGTTTCTTGGGGCCGGATTGGTTCCACGTTATGAATTCACGCAACGCAAATTTTTGGTCGATTGAAACCCACAGGAAGTCGTATTAGTCCTTTTTGGGCCCTAACAGAGCCTTTTGCCCTTCCCCAATCTCACAGGAATTCATCTGTTCTGTTTATCGTATCCTACCAACCACTTTAGATTGTGGTCGTACGCCCGATTCATTGCTAAGCCTGTATTTCTACAATGTCGGAGAATGAACTACGCATTGCACTATTAAATGACCTGCCTCGATACATTCCAGAGTGTTTTAGAATTCTTTTTATGTTGTTAGATCGCCAATTGTATGGCTTTATCGGCAGAACGAAGATATTTTCGTTTTTGATAGCAATATTTGCGTGTAATATTTAACTTATTTCAACCGTCAAATTCCTCCATTCAGTTCCCGGCATGCACCAGTCATAAGGGAAATCCCTGGGGAATTCCCCTTCCGACATTTTGAAAATTGCTGACATATTTCCGATGTAAAAACTAAAATCTCTTCGTTCTGCCGATAAACCCATACAATTGGCGATCTAACAACATAAAAAGAATTCTAAAATATTCTGGAATGTATCGAGGTAGGTCATTTAATAGTGCAATGCGTAGTTCATTTTCCGACATTGTAGAAAGACAGGCTTACCAATGAATCGGGCGTACGACCACAATCTAAAGTGGTCGGTAGGATACGACAACTGTTCTGTGAGAATGGGGAAGGGTAAAAGGCTCTGTTAGGGCCCAAAAAGGACTTAATACAACTTCCTGTGTTGAAACCAATATTCCTTGATAATATGCAACAGATACTTGACAGTAATTTACTGAACACAGCTGGCTCAAAAGCCTGACTTCTGTCAGCTCGGTAGAGTAAACAGTAATATAGAAACACCTAACATCAAACGATTCCAAGTAACATTTTTATGTACAAAAGTTAATCTAGTTGCAGGCCCAAGAGTAGTTCAACAAGTTAAACCCAATACCACGGCTTTCATTTATTAATCTGAATGTTCTTGTTGCCGTGGTTGGGTTTAACTTCCGTGCTATGCTTTCATTGGTTGCAAATTCTAACTATCAGTTATTAATTAAATGTGCATGGAATTCCATGCGCTACCATAGGCCACCATTAAATGTTTTGCATTAAGGACCGAATAGGCACAGATGTTAAACTAGGGCAGGACACAAGATACAGTATGTCAGATAAGAAATAAGGCCCAGACTAGGTTTAACTTGTTGAACTAGCCCAAGAGTTGTCAGATAAAAAAATATGGTCCAGTCTAGGTTTACCCACTAACAGATAAACAGTCAGTTGCAGTTGTTTTCGGCTTGCCACACCATTTTACTGTTTTTTTCCACACCCGTTGACACCATCTCTAATAAAACATCAAATAAATTCTAATTTTTGATATCTGTTGTTATTCCAGGTTGTGAAAAAGACCCCATCGGTTTACATGCACAATCAAACTGTTGTCGTGTTGAATTGAATACCAACCCAGACGCATCCTCATAACAGTATAATACTCAACCAGACAAAACATGCACACAAACTATATAGCAAAAGTTATGATATTTGATCTTTGGCTTTAAAATGAGCTTTCTGAATCAGATCCAAGGTTTTAAACCACAACAGTTAAAATCCACAGTTACGACAGTGACAACAGTAGATGGGCGAACACTGGAGGAATCTAGAGATAAATATGGCAGAATTAAATCTGAAATGGTATCCCAGGGGGCACAAGGATTTGTTGGGGACACTAAACTTGACTTGCAAATTGCTGAGGTCTTACCTGGATTATATCTGAGTAAGTTCTTATACATTTGAACTGTCGTCCTCCCTATAATCTAAGAAATGGTTACAATAATATGATTTTAGAAATGTTCTGCAGTACATTAGATTTACTCTAGATCATCAGTTGTAATCTTAATCTATGAATTTGTCATAATTATGAAATTATGTAGCTTAAATGTAACACTGGGACATTTCTGTTCATACATGAGTATACAAATAGTGACTGCCATTGAGGGCAATAGTGTAAATTATTTCCCCTTGGGAATATCCTCTACAATGTACTATTCCCGAAGCCGCAGGCTGAGGGAATAGTACATTGTAGAGGATATTCCCAAGGGGAAATCATTTACACTATTGCTCGAAATTAGGCAGTCACTATTTGTTTTATTATATACCCTATACTGACTCTTGTCCCGTTTCCTCTGAGAAGGCCAAAAAGGCTTAGAAAGCCCCCTCCCCGGGTCCATTGTTAGCATTATAAGCTGTGACGTCATCAGATGCTCAACAGAAATTTTTGCCTCTGAGACTCTCACTTGACAAATTCAATCGCGTTTAACACGCGGAATAGATTATCATAACACTTGAAATTACACAGACGTATTTAGCTTAGGGAACTTTATACACGTTGCTTATACTGTATCGTTCACGCACGTCTGTCATGGTGAACGGAGTTGATTTGTGTTTGTGCTCATCCTCCATTTTTCTGTTTTTCGTCTGCGCAGTGATGATGCGCAGACGTTTCCAAGGGTAATAGAAGTTGCAATCATGACGTCAGCGGGCAATAGTTCAAATGTATATTCCCGCTGACATCACATTTGAGGGAATATAACTTTCCGAGGGAAATAGTAAATCTATTTCGGAACACGTGACTAGGTATTGACCAATCAGGATTAGTGTTACATATTGGGTATATAATAATAACAGATATTCCCATCACAATCCAACTCCTACATGTATTTAAGTGGCTGAGAAAAATAGTAGAGGTCCTATTAGCATCAAAACTTAACAAAAATCTTTATTTTCAATTTCTGAGCTTATTCTAAACAATCATTAATGTAAAAACAGATAGAATTGCCAAGCTTAATTTTAAACCACAATAATCAGAACTACAGTGAAACCTGTAAAGTAGAACACCTCTAGAACTGAAACATATTTCAGAGTCCCAAGACCAACAGATTTAATGTTAAATGAACCTCTATATAAGTAAAACACCCCCCAAGTGGAAAATATTTTAGAGGTACAACAGGTGTTCCACTTAGACAGGTTTCACTGTACTAATTTTGTTAGGTGATATATACGAGGATTCACTGTATACATGTACAGTATATTTGCAGGCTCCCAGGATGTAGCGGCTGATGTTGACATCTTAGAGCAGCATGACATCACACATATCCTCAATGTAGCATCCATGATAGAGAACTGGTTCCCAGATGACTTCAAATACCTCAAAATAGAGATACTTGACATACCCGAGTCTGACATATCGAAGCATTTTCCTGAGTGTTTTAAATTCATAGATGAAGCATTAGGGAGTAAAGGCAGAGTGCTAGTACATTGTAATGCAGGGGTATCTAGGTCAGCTACTATTGTGATCGCGTATATAATGAGAACTGAGAGAATGACTTTACAAGAAGCTCATAGTAAAGTAGCAGGTGTAAGGCCTTGTATCAGGCCTAATGCAGGATTTCAACATCAGCTAAAAACTTATGAGAAACTATTGCAGTCTGAAAATAATACGTCCAAATCAAAATGATTGAGGATGATTTATATGAACGTGATATGTAAATGTACCTAAACCTGATCTGACAGTTGGAAATCGAAATAAGTTTGCGTACATATCGCGAATTGAAACTCACTAACCTCCCCTCTGAGCAACAGCTATATTTAAGCCATAGCCTAATTAATGATGCTATTTTGTATTGAAGCTTAAAACTTTGAAAAGCATGTCATATAGACTGAAGCATGATATAAATGACCACTTTGACATAAGCCTTGCTTCATATATTTAAATGCCTTGTTTTTGCATCCTGGCTAAATCTCCTACAAAATACAGTAATGCTGTGAGCTATATTGTATAATTCATCCTTTCTTTGTCATGGATTCATTCGGATATCAAGATATTCTCTAAAGTTTATTCCAACTGCTATTTGAGTTATCACCTGGACAGACAAATGGACAGATGGCTTTCATCTCTACTCATACTTCATTCGGTGGGATAATAACATAACATCATGAATTTCATTTTGTATTATAATTTACAATTTATTTATACATATTGAGATACAATAATATATCTATACTATTTACATCTGGTTTTTGGTGTATGGCTACTTTACTGTATACAGTAAGCTATTTGACATATTATATTCTACACTCCTCAAATGAATTTTTAAATAAATTTTCTCATCGAGGCCCAAAAAAAATTGAAGACCAGATTTTAAAAATCCATGTGACTTCATACTTTGATTTCTAACCAATAGAATCTATCTTGAGAATGAAAATAAGATCATGTTTTAATATATTGATGTTTAATGCATAAACTAGATCTATTTGAACTTTCTCAAAAATGTAAGCTCCTACATCTCTGTACATGGCGATCAATAAGGAAATTTATTTTCAAATCTTAATTTGAAGGTGAATATAAATACTGTAGGATTTAAATGAGCAACACAGAGCAATAAAAACTACATGACTTCATGTACATAGTTTGTCATAAAATAATATTAAATTGATATGTCACAATTAAATCAGCACTTAAATATGGCATAATTCTGTGATTTTTCATAAAATTGACACAACTTTTCAATATCCACAATATCTAAGAAGTACATGTATAAAACTTACCTATTTAATTTGATAACATTGTCATATAATATTGCACTAGGCAATGAAAACCTTTTAATGATGGAGAAAATACATAATCGGGAAGCCTTATACATTTTGGCAATGAATTCACATTTTGCTGGAATTTCCAAAAAACAATATTTGTTTCAAAATATCAACATATTTAGGGTGTTTTTTCAATAATAATACAAACCCAGGCACACATTCAATCCTCTGTGTAACTTGAAGTAAAATATTTTATACAAAAACATAGTACTGGAGTACTGGAGATTCTCACCATGAGACCATCTATTTTTAACCCCATGGGCACTATAGAAAGAGCTGTTAGATTTACACCCATGGATGTTATAAATGATTCAGTGTTTATCTCAGTGTTGTATCGGTGAATCTATTAATCTATCAATCTTTAGTTTTGAAATGATTTTGCAAAAGATATGATTGGTCATGTTGGTGTAAACTTTAAAACTTTTGTTTTATTGTAACACTTACTGTGAAACTTTCATTTTTATACCCTATTTTTACCTAAACACACATCTTGGGTGTCTGTGAGAATATCCACTAACAGAGTAGAGATTATTGTCTTATTAACAGAAATATTTAAAGTTACCTATTATAACATCCATCACTCAACATATCGACTCAAAAACAATTTTTACAGATTTACACCTATTTGCATGAACCTTCAAGGTTTCAAAACAGAAAAATGGAAATGTGTGCAAATATTCCTAGAGTAAATTATCAGATTCAATTATACAATATCACATAAATACAGCTAATAACAAATTAAAGCACAGACTAGATAGCACAGTGAGACGGATAATTGTATATGAAATAATCATGTGATGTATTAACGTTATTGAGTTCAGTGGACAAACATAGAGGAATGTAAAAATAAATATACCCTTTAACCACATTGACATTATGCTCTTCTGCTCCCCAATGACACCTCAATCATATTTGGTCAGATATCAGATTTGTAAAAACTTCTCTCCCTGATATAGCGATATAATAAATAGACGTTTTAGCTCACCCTCAACATGATTTTGGTACCATACTGAGAAAAACAATTCATTGCATTCTTGATTGTAATATTTGTATTCATTTTGACAGATTTTGAACAACATCCAAAAAAGATATATTTATACCACCTTTTACAAACTTAGTGAATTTATGAAAATGTAAATGAACATTATAGTAAATGGAAAGAACATGTGATAGTATTCCTTTCTTATGGCATCCTAAAATGATTATCTTTTATTTAATTGGGAACCAATCTCAGACCTCTATAAGTGTAACATCTCATCTCTAAACTTTAAAATATGTTTCTCACATTAAATGATAGCACTGGTCAGAATCAGAATACAGTGAAAGCTGTTACCTTATATCTTTCAATATGGCAAATTAAATCCTAACTTTCAAGTCATATATGAAAAGTGCCATCACCGCCACATCAAATGACCTCAATTGCATAAAACCTCTGATATCATATGCATTTTACACTACCATAACTGATTCGATAAGGATTAAGGACTAAGATAAGAAGCACTCCCTTGGTGAGATGGTTCACTAAATGAAACAAAAATGTTTTCAATTGTAAATTCCTGTCACCATTTTGAAAGATAAGGTAACGGCCAACACTGTATCCTGATGCTGACCAATGCATATCACCTTGCTCCTTACTGATGCCAACTTAACATATATTCAGCGTGAGTAGGGCTGACTACCAGCACACTATGTTCCTTTGGAGTTTTTCTGTATCAAGTCCTGAATCTTGGGATTAGTTTTGCTCCTTGGGAACATTGTCGGTTCAGCTGATTTTAAATATGGAGCCATTGATGGTATGTTGGCGGAAAATGAAGAGAAATATTCAGCTGCAAATGAGATGACATCATCGGGTTTCCGTAGTAACAGGAATTGTAAAAAGTCCGCTAATAAAGCCTTGAGTTCTGGGTGGTGCCTCATGTATACAGCATGGTCTCCTTTCAACTCCTCCTGAAGTAACAAGAAAGTGTTCAAAATTACCTAAATCAGAAAGTAGCACTGTATAGTGTGGCCAGAAGAAACAAGAATCCATATGTGTACTTTATACAAGTCATATGACTTGTCTTGACTGCACAAGATTTCGGTATATTTAAGGAGACATTTCAACATTTTAAGCACCATAACAATGTTTCAAAATTTATGTATTCCAATGCCAGTATTTTCTATGAGAAGAAAAACTGTACATGCAATTTTAAATATGGAAACTCTGCCAAATTAGAAATGATGGAAATGAATTGCATCCAAGGAATCTTTAACAAAGACCCAATCCATATCTTTTTTTGAATGATTTACTTTTCCCGTATGATCCTCAACTTTGTTGTCCTCTCATGAAACTCCTTTCATGGGTATTCTGGAATACAATTGACATGTGTCTTAAGTTCTGGAGCAAAAGAACAGCTCAAATGTGTGGTAATTGTCCATACCTTTCTGTCCAAGAACTTGGAATATAGCTGCATATCCTCTTCCCAGTTGAGTGGCTTCTTTGGGAATTTGGGTTTTTCCTCAAACTCATCTAAAATTTAACATGAACATGGTTAATGTGTAATATATAACTAAACTCTGAACTTGGCATCATTTTCAGATGACATGTACACACACTATATAATTTACACTACATAAGAGTAGAATAATGTGGTTGTGCAATATATCAAATAAACAAATGAAATAAATATGAATACACTTTGTAAGACCTGGCTTAACTGTGACTACACCATACACACTAAATGACAAAACTATTCAGATGATGTATACCTGCTTCTACTGCTTTAGGTAGATAGGCAAGCTTCATTGTGACTGGTGACCCGACCTGTACACGATTGGACAAATGCCTGGAATAGAGGTGAGAAAATGTTAGATTTTGCACCATAGAATTACTTCCTCTTGCTCTGAAATATGCAGACTTTCAAATTATCAATCTTTTAATTAGAATTACTGATATTAGAGTATTGCATGGAAAGTTGTAAAGAGAATCACACATTTTTTCTACAATTTATTTTGAAGAATTTACTTTGATCTGACAGAATTAATCCAAATGGAAGTTGGTTGAAAGTTCAGAATTAATGCCACTCGTGTTTTATTCAGGAACAGTTCGTAATCAAAGTTGTTTATACATCTTACCCATCTTTCAAAAAGTAAGCTTGCCAAGCTGTAGGAAGATCACTGACTGAGTTGATTGTTCGTTCAATTCCTGACACCCTAACATCTTGGTCACCTACAAGCTGCGTTCTCTCCTCTAGGGGGCGCTAGAAAAGAAAATTCCAATGTTCATGTGAAGTTAAACATATGTACCACACCAAATACCAGATTTTCTACTTTATTTGGTGCAATATAATTAGACGATTGGTAAAGATATAATTTTTTGAATCTGAAAAATATTCTTTTAATGGAAGATTTAATATCACATTGTTCCCTGTAGCCATACAATTCACTTAAATTCAATGAATTCTCAATCTCAGTCAGTTCAGATAAGACATTTTTGATGAAAATGACATTGTTTTGTTTTAAATACATAGAAGTTTTTTTTACAATTCACCACAAGAAATTATACTGCATGAAAACTCCTTTCCTTAATTGTTTTATTCTCCCTCCACACATACAAGCACATGAATACTTACATACACAGCAGCACATAGATTCACATCAGAGTCAAATGACAATAACTGGAAATTAGGAGGTAGTCCTTTCTTTATTAAGAGCCTCTGCAGTAAAAGATTAGATCCTGAAAGTAGAGATGATTGAATAGTTTACTACTTAATAACATGTGTTAATTGTGATATACATATGCATGTTGTCGCATGTTTATTTTATTTGGCTTCGAACTACTAAATGTGACAAAGAAAGTCTTCATTGACACATATAATATAAACAGATTCAACTAAACCACAAAATATATCACAAAACATTGGTTTTACAGAATAAAGTACATGAAGAGACCATACAAGTTTTTCAGAAAAAATCAACAAATGTGTTAACCTTGCTATTGTTGCAAGGTATGAAATCTGCTGAAAAATACACAACATCGCTAGTGTGCTACAGTCATATCAGTATGAGAATAAGATAGAACCTAAAATCAAATGTCCATGTCTTACCAAAGGTTGGCAGTATGACTTTAAATATGAATACATAAAATGTGATAGTTACCTTCTGAGACAAACCCTGCCATAGCATCTAAAGAAAAAGTTTGGGCTGTCCTTTGCACATCCTGAAACATAAAATATGTAGATAAGTTTACTGTTCTTTTAATAGTGCATATACATAAAACAATATAACAAAAAGTTCCTTGTTTTTTCTTATATCAATCCTGCACACAAACTCAGAATAATATGATGAATAAAAACATGTTCATTAGGACAAGTCACACGACATAATTTGCAGCATATTATATCGTACACAGAGGTTTATTCTGTATATCATCTTCACAATGAAGTGAGTAAATGTATATGATATATTATCTTACGCTTAGCGTACTAAATGTATAATAACATGAAAAAATAAATTTGATATTTATTGGCAAAATGAATAACCAGAGGATATCGTATTGATATACTCAGGGCGGAGGATATCGTGACGATATACTCCGGAAAACCCAATATGCAGAGGATATTGTGACGATATACTCCGATTCTTGATTTCCCGCCAAATTGACTCTATTTGGCTTTGCAATGATATTATGCATTTAGTACACTCCTTGTAAATGAAGAATAATAAGAACATCCTATGATTTTTTCAGAATATCATTTTAATCTACTCCGTGATATTGATATATGCACTCGTTCGCTTTGCTCTCTCGTGCACATATCAATATCACCTCGGAGATAAAAATGATATTCCTCAAAATCATAGGATATCCTATAATTCTTAAGTGCCTGTCATAGTGTCATACAGATTTTTTGTAAAATAGATGCTGCATAAATTTTGAAAATCCTTAATATAGATTCCTTGTTTAAAATAAATAAACTAATGGCCTGAAAGTATATAACACATGTATATAAATTGTTTCCCTCACCTCCCCCTGTGTGATGACTCTATTTACAACATAACCATCATCCTGGCGCACTATGAATGTTTTCCTGTCTAAGGGATGATTCTCCAGCTACAATAAAAAAGAATAAAAATCGACATGTACTTGAATTCTGCTATGTACTGATATGCACATCAACTTCAGGCTTTGACATGAAGAAATCTGTGTTGAGCATTTATTTTTGAAATCTTGCAGTAAAAAAAGTTCAGAAATAAGAATAATATATGAAGATGCAATAATCTACCAAAAATAAGACTGACTACGTATGATAAAAAAGATACATAACATTTATATATAAGTTAAGGTTCAGCTGGAAAATAAAGTTTTGGGAAAAATTGCTGTACCTGCACATGTTATTTTCTGGTACAAAATAAAGTATGAAAGCATGTGTTAATTTCCTTACTTTATTCAGGAAAGTATCATTACATTGTCTTCTTTTAGAGTATCTGGTAAGAGTTCAATGGGAACTCCAGGAAATTCTGATATTTCACGATTTCTATTTTTCCAAATTTTCTTTTGAAGTTTCCAGACAACACAGGAGCTACAGGTACCATTGACCTGTTTCCAGGTTTACTAAAAGTAGACAATGTAATGATACTTTCCTGAAAAAAGGAAGGAAATACACACATGCCTTCATACTTAATTTTGTACCAGAAAATAACAGGTGCAGGTTCAGCTATTTTCAATGAGCAATGGGAGTAGGAGTACATGACTTAGGACAGTGTCCATTGTGAGAATGTAAGGATAAGATAAACCATAAACGGATTAGATCCTAATTTCAATCACCAAACCCATCCCCCACTAAATGAAGTTATTATTGATGGAAAACATATAAGTGCAGAACATAAGAAATTCCGTAACACCTTATGGCTAACCTACCTTCACATATTCATGATGCTGTTGCTCAATTGTTTCTAGTTTCTTTGACACATAAGTTGTGATAGAAGTTCCACATGGTACACTGTCTATAGCACCATGACTGTTAGCATGGATATGATAGCAGTCATTACCGAGACGTTTTGTCATCTCAATAGTAACATTGAATTCACCAAGTTCTTTACCAGTATCAGATGTGGTCACGAGATTGTCGGAAAACAGCAGATATTTAAAATCATCAACATCTGAAATCATAAACTATAGCTTATAAATGCATGTACTTCAATATGTTAATTCAAGGGTTATACATATTACAATAATATTGTCTCTAATCATTCTGATTAACGAATCATAACAGAGAATAATTCAATATGCTTGGACAGTAAGCCAGTAGTAATTTATAACTATAAAGCTGCTACTTAGTATTTGATTCACATGAATGTCTCATTGATCCTTTTGATGGCACAGTAGAAATAATAGCTCTGTCTTCAGAAAGGATAATTTTTATAGAGTTTTTATCAGACCATTGGAATTTTTTACTAATAAACAACTACAAATGTGGACTAAAAACTTGACTTGCCTATACTATCTATAAATTTCATTGCAGCCTCGCTTGGTTTGGGTGGCTCTGGTGGCATTAAGAGTTGAGGTTGACCTGTCTGACTGGCATCACTGGACATGGCAGATACAGTGCTCATCTGGCTGGTGTGCATACTAGAAGAGAGGATTTGTTAGGCAATGTTAGGTTGAGCACCAGGATATGTAAAACAGTCCTTCAAAAGACCATAAAAGGGTTTTCAACCTTTTCTATACTGTGTAGTGATAAAACATTTCATAGTTTACTTCAATAAATTCATCCGAGTATTAGAGTATCAGCAACAGGTTTTACAGCAGCCAACTCACTCATTTTGGATTTGGTTATTTATAAGATATATGGACCTCTAGCTTCAGTAGCTTGTCATCGACTGACTGTTTATAGTTCTAACATTGAAAAATAAACGATGGATTTTCCAACTAAATAGTGTTCCTTCCAAAATGGATTTGCCAAAATACACTTGAAACTCTTATCTCAAAGATATATATGTGCAAAGAAAGCAAAATTTTTCCAATTTAGGTAAAAAGATCTTTAAAATGTTGAAGTGCTATTACCTGATAATTCTCCATTCGGTCCGCCATTTTAGCGGAAGTTACATTGAAACACAAAACTCAATGGAACGAAACGAAATTATTAGAAAAAAAACATGGCACAAGTGTGCATGCGTCACTGCAAGTTAAAACCAATTAGATTGTTTGAATATTTTGCGCACATGAATTATTTGCTCCAGAGCACTCAACCATTAAAATATAACCACAATAAACAAACCTTGTAGAGATTACCCCAACTTCATTTTAGCGAAATTAAAGCTTAAACTCTTGACAAGGAATACATCATGCATACGCTGGTATGAAGCCTTGGAGACACTCGTTTTGGTAAATATGATTTCGGTGTATATTTTTGTTGCTGTTTGCCAGAGCTTTGGGACATCAATGTTAATATTGAAGAAAATGTGTGAAATAAACAACTTATCAATTTTTCAATTTTCCCGTCAGAACCGTATATATTGCACCACCACCCAGCAGGTCTTTTTATTTCAAGCAAATTCCTTTGCACTACAGTAGAGTCCATCTTCTCCCAAACAAACTCATCATCAAAATGATCGTATAATATTTTTCAAAATTTCAGTAACTTTATCGTCAGACAATATCATTGACAAACACATCAACAAACTACATTTCCTGGCATCATTACAATCTATTTATGTGATGATGTGATGACGGCTTTAGCCTACAGTATATCTGACATCACCAGCATAGGCAAAGGGAAAAGTAGTATATTAGCTCAATCTAGAAAGTCCCTTAGGGGAGGCATCAAAAGTTCGATGTCGGATAGAAAACTAAATAAATGTAATTAGGGGGGAGGGGGTTCAAACCCACTTCAATTTGCTATCCGACAAATTTCAACATTTCAAATTTTTGGCAATTTCGACTCAGAATGCCTTGGAATTGTTTTTTAAAAAAAAGATTTTACCTGCTGCTTTCTTCGTCAAGATCATTCCAATGGATTCTATTCTATCAATCGTTGTTCAAAGCCACAAATTACGATAGGTATTAACAAAAAAACTAGATCGTGTTCAGCAATAATTTTTCAAATTCTCAAACCGGAAGTCAGCGATCAATTTTCATGGTATTTAGTTTTGGGGGGAGGGGGTCAGAGTCAAAACTAGATTTATTTAGTTTCCGATCCGACATCGAACTTTTGATGCCTCCCCTTAGCCTATATATTGAGCTCAATGAGTTACAGCAGATCTAGCCTACAACCGTCGCCATGACATTATTAAGGTAGTTAAAAACCATGATCATAGTATTAAACTGTTTAATTGTAATGACGATCACTTAAAATTGTTAAAGATATTCCTGGCATTAATGTCATACATATTTACTAGTCATTGCAATACTGTACATTATAACAGTCATAGTAGGACTAAGCCTAAATTTCTACATTACCACCCTCATGCCTGGCCTTGCAATACTATAGAACATTGTCACGGTCATACCAGGCTTTGCGATCCCATGATACATTGTCACGGTCATGCCAGGTTTTGAAATACACATTGTCACGGTCACTTATAGCAATCATAAATTTCTACATTGCCACTCTCATACCTGAAAGTGGAATACTATATCACATTGCCACGGCGGTCATACCAAGCCTTGCAATACTATATTACATTGTCACGGCCATGCCAGGCCTTGCAGTACTATATTATATTGCCACGGTCATGCCAGGCTTTGCAATACACATTGTCACGATTATAGCAGTCCTAATCGTAAATTTCTACATTACCACTCTCATACCTAAACTTGCAATACTATATTACATTGTCATGCCAGGCTTTGCAGAAGGGACTATATAACATTGTCACGGTCATTCTAGACCTTGCAGTACTACAGTATATTACATTGTCACGGTCATGCCAGGCCTTGCAGTACTATATTACATTGTCACGGTCATACCAAGCCTTGCAGAACTATATTACATTGTCAAGGTCATGGCAGGCATTGCAATAAAATACAGCATCGTCGCGGTTATACCAGGCTTTCACGATAACATTACCACGGTCATGGCAGGATTCTTGCGCTACTTAAAAACACTGAATAACATGGTGACGGTTACGCCTAGACGGTGAACACCGCCTCTAATGCGTTGGATTGTCGTAAGGACTTGCATTAGAGGCGGTGTTTATCCTTGTAAATTCATGCCAATATAAGTTTTTCTTGATTATTTTTGATGGTTCACTTTATTTTAATCTTCTGCTTAGAATCTCTGCGTCATTTACAGAGAAATATAAACAAAATGGATACATTGATGATTTATACAAAAAATTACCATAGCTTTGTGGTTGTAGAAGGTTGAATTGTGCTAATTTTGTAGCAAAATCGCCGTTTGTCGCTACTGTTCACAAAATCTTTATGACGGCTTCTATTCTCACGAGATTTGACGAGAGTAGCCATTGAATATTGCTGCCATCTATTTAACTATACAAAGTTTATATCATTCATTCGACCATCATGTATTCGATGGAAGAAATCAATGATCTCTATTCGCATAACATAAAACCAAAGTTTGGATTTGATTTGAAGCCAGAACAGTTACAAGACGTGATAACAAACATATTGAATCAAGAATCCACTATAGCAGTTTTACCAACTGGTTATTGGAAAACATTACAACACGTGATCATCAAATTACGTCACGTCACGTGATCATCACACTGATTTATGCAACGCATGCACACTTGAAATTAGGTCAGCGAAAATGTCAAGAAGACCGGTCAGAAATGCAATTTCGTCTTATCTGCAACGATTACACATAATTACTGTAATAAAGCGAGGCATTTATGGGTTCATTTTGAAGATTTTTGGTCCCGTTATCCAGTGGTGAAAGAATTTTCAAGATTGAGGTAAGATCTTGGGAGAAAAGTCAAAAACATCAGATCCGGACTTTTCAGCATTTCTTAAATTTGATAAATTTACATTGCACGTTATGCACCCCTGGGGCAAACACGATCCTCAGAGACCCAGAGGGTGAATGAATGCACCTAGGTTACGCCAGGCGTTAGTCTTGCAACAGATAAGGTCTCGCCTATGATCACCAGTAAGAAATGTATGATTGACGAAAAAGCTGATACGCTTAAAACTATGATTTCATAGTAATTAATGTAAGTAAGTGACATTTCTATTCATAGTCACAAATCTTATTTTGAGATTTGATTGAAAAAGTCGAATTAAAAAATAAAAACAAATTTACCTCACTCCTGTTTGCGCACTCATTTTTGGTTGTTTATCAGTAACACGATATTAATGGAAAGGAGAATAATCCTCTATATTTGTTCAACCACTACGTTTCATTTGAAATGATATAACATCAGGTAAATTTACTGAAAGCTTGGGCCAGATTTCTGAAATGCAGAAATTTTCAAGATGGCCGCTCTACGTCACTATGGTAATGAGTGGTGCCACCTATAACAATGGACGAAATGCCATTTCCCGGGATTTATGACACAGCAACAGCCTAGGACTTTCTTTTCTTAGGCGAATTACATGTATTTCATTATATTGATGATATGATTATTGTGCCCAATTTACTACAGAGGCTTTCAGCTAAAAGTGACGGATGTATTTTGTACATTGATGCTTAGGCAGAATCCGGGGGCAGAATCAGATCTGGAGTGACAAAATTCCAAGCAGCATCATGAACAATGACCATGTACATTGTACAGTTGACCTACCAATATATTCCCATGATATCTCCAAAAAGATCCATGATACGTTATCAATTGATAAAATTGTTTCAAAGTGCAAAAGTGAGGAGAAAATGTTTGGAAAGTAATAAAACGGTAGCTTAAAATATATCTATAGAAAAATAAATACATATCATGGGCGTCAGAGGGGGGGGGTGCCCTTCAGTCCAATATGGTCTAACGCCCTTGATTAAGTTATAAAAATCTCTAGTTTTCCTCAAATAAAGTACACTTGAGGATTTTTAGAAAATAGACATGCCAAGGAAAGTAGACATAAAACAATTTTCGTCAAAAGTAAGCTTTACATGTTTAGGGCTACTCTGAGTCTAGGTGAGTGCCATCTTGCTAGAACTGACTCTGCCTTGCTTAACAGATGAATTTTAGAAATTTAAAGAAACGCATAAGCAGTTAACGCTGAAAATAGGGGCCGAGCTATGGAAACATTAGAGTAAGCAATGAGTGAGCAGTCGGAGCAGTAACCGGGATGACCTGAGTAAAGATTAAAGTTACGAGTGATCTGTATATAAAGAGCCCAACATAACGAATGACCTATGCAAGCGAGTGACGACGGAACTTTTTGAAGATTAAAGTAACGGATAAGCATTGGTAGGCGGCTGTATTATCGGTGATCTGATTTTTTGAACTGAAAGATGACTTTGGGCATTTGCTGCTACCTCGAACCATAAGAAGTCATTGTTTTTTAGCTATATTTGTCATGAATAAATATCAATCTTAGGCCATAAGAAGTAGATTCTTTGTTTTGCGTCCCCCTAGCCTTGCTTGCACGATTTTGAGTAAATCAGAAAAAACAAGCACATCCAAATAGCAATCACAATCAGACGAAATGGCGGATAATTTGATGTACGTCAAAATTGACGGCCCGGTGTTATTGATTACTTTGGCATACATTGTTTACTTTCTTATTTTTTACCCTTGAATGATAGCTATATGTTTAAATAAATTGTATAAAATATATAAGGCTGAGATATGTGTTTGTAATTACTACAAATTGGTATGTCAACCCTTTTTATGCCCTTGAAATGGATACAACTCTCAGCGAACAAGTTTGAGTTTTTCTTGAGTTTGTGTTTGTTTTCCTTGTAGGCCTACCCTTGCATGATTTGGATTTTGCCAGGACGCAAAACAAAGAATCTACTTCTGATGGGCTTAGAAATATTTGATAGTTTTGACTTTGAACTCAGTAAATCGGTCTGATCATCTCGAGTAGATTTTTTAAATATACTCAATACTCAGCTTGTCAATAAATCCATTTTTTTATATGTAAGATAACAACATTGCCCACAAGTGTTCGTCTTAAAATCTTAACACGGCCATAAATCAAACGCTAAATATATTGGAATAAAACATATGGTTATTGAACGATACGTAATCTCGCTATTTTGAGCGACTTGAAGGATTGAAACACACGTAGCTGATCTAGAAATGGCGGGATCTCCTGAAACTAACGAACATTTTAACGAAATTGAAAAGGAAAAACTAGTGTGCTTCTTTCGGGAATTATATGATCACGTAAAAGAGAAAGATGTAATTGATGACCTTGCTGATATAACACATGAAACTGAACAGCTAATCGATGCAATTTTCAAAGAGATCAACGACTCCGATGATAATCCATTTACCATTCGCAAAAGACTTACTACGGGAAGTACATATGATGGAACCACGACTGGACAGATTAGCGATTTCGATTTTATGGGACTTTTAGACATTCCACCATCTTCCTTAGGATTCATAAAAGGACTTAGCTCTAAATCCTGTCAAATTGTTGTGAAGGACGTTAATCTGAGAAACTACTTTCAAGAAGCCTCGAAAAAGTATAACCTTTCGGTAATCACGGAAGAGTTCTTCTTTCTTAATGACGCGCGATTTCTATTTCATAGAATAGTTGGCGACGCATTGGAAAAGCTTAAGAATGATGGACACCATTTGCTGGAAGAACCCGGGAAGGCTAGTATTTTTCTGCATGAGCAGAGTAGTGCTCCTTGTGCTACAATGACTGTGACCAGAAATATAGGCAGAGATACGGATGTTACATTTGGATTGGAGACTGATTACAAAGCAATAGATGGTGTCCCTAAGGTTGATCCCGATTATGGCAAATGTATCATAGTGCCTAAAGGTCCCGAAGGACAACCTCAAGAATGGGCGATGTCGTTTAGTCAACAGGAGAAACAGAGACTGTCCAAAATGAAGGAGAGTCACAAGAAGATATTAACTATATTGAAAGCGATCATCAGCATATTCAAATCAAGCACGGGATTTGACTACTCCATCTGCAGTTCATACGTGGTGAAGACTATCGTATATCACCATGACAGCACATGCAATTCTCAAGCCAAAGCTGGGGAAATAGACGCGGATTGTATTGTCGATATCGTTGGAGAAATCGAACGCCTCTATCTTCTCGACATTCTTCAGAAAGATGGAGGATTAAAGTTCTTGGTCCAAATTTGTGCGGGGTCGTACTTCTCTAAAATAGAGAACTATGAAAAACCTGACTTGTGGTTTCTTTTGCAAGATTTCTATCGGGATTGTGCAACTAAGCTGTATGATGGTAACGATCATTTACCAGACTTCCATCCTACATTTCTTGACGAACCAAACTGGTTTTCAATTCCGGCAACTAGACAGATAACTGCGATAAACATTGATAGCGTTCGTGAAGAAGTTGCAAAGGTTACCCAAGCCGTCGAATCGGATGCAAGTAAATTGGATCATCTAAAAGGGCTTTGGCGTGTCGTTCAGGACCGTCTACCTTATCAACCAGATACGAGGTATTATCTGTATCGCATGTTTTCCTTGTTCAACTGCGGGATAAAGAACCTCACCAGTGTTTACGGACCACCGATAAACGTCGCCGCAGCCATGCCTTTCAATCCTAGCAAAGATGTTTTAGGGAGAGACAAATGGTGCATTGGGGTCGTGTACGCACACCTAGTGGCTATATCTTTGCGGAAATTAATTATATATATATGCAGAGCATCTGACCGAGAAATAAAGCGTACGGAAACTCAGTACAGATATGATCGTGATGTTTCTGCAGAGGACGGAAACATTTGGTTTAAAATTATTCCGACTCTCCGCGCCAAACGACCACCAGAAATTCTTGACGTTTTTCACTTTGTCATATCAAGGTCGTGGTCATATCAAGAATAATTGTGACACGATAAAGTCAAATCACAATTGACATCGATGCTTTTATCAACCATATTTTGTTTTGAAACCTTTCTTTGTGCTGGATTGGAACTCCAGTCCTCCAAACACCTTTTGGAGCAATGTTTAAAATGGAGATGGTATTTAAAAAAGCAAGAGCTAAAAATACGATGGAACAATCCATACAAGCAATTGTCTTAAAATTAGAGGTCAAAAACTCAGTGCATAGATCGCACTTCATCTGTTGTTCAAGATTGGGCATCGCTGAGTTTGAAAAGAAGAGTAATACTCTATTGGACTTAAGATGGGACAAATCCAACACTGTGACTAATGTTACAATAGCATCTCCCATAATGTTGCTTCATAAACATGTACGTGGTATACATGTATGTACATGTCAAAATAAAAATATATATATTATATAAATAAGAATTTATTCATATATGGATATGTGTACAATAATACGCATTTCGTTTCTCAAAGTTGTCCATAGTATGCATAAAGTTACATAAAATATGATTTGTACAAATTGAATTATAAAAATAAAATAATTTTTACATTATTCAAGTTATGTGGCATGTGGTTATCACTCCACACTGTCCATTGTATAAATCAGATTACACTATGTATTCCATAGTCAGATTGCACTATGTATTCCATAGTCAGATTGCACTATGTATTCCATAGTCAGATTGAACTATGTATTCCATAGTCAGATTGCACTATGTATTCCATAGTCAGATTGCACTATGCATTCCTTTGGTCTTCAATTATATCGGCCCACATTGAGCCAGATTGAGCATGTTAAATATATTAATGCTCGGAGAGGTCTCAATTATGGAATGCATGTAGTAGTCTGTAGAAAGTCCTGATTTTATAGTAAGGCCTGTTCCCTAGGCTTGCTATATACTGGCAATCCGGGCTAGCAATCCACCATAAGCTGTGTTAGATAGGCCCTGGATATTCAAATACAGCTGCAGCACCCATACCTGTTCCCATACACATTGATACAACCCCATATGACCTGGAAATGACGATTTGTATGAATACTTTAATAATCGGAAGCCATTGGTAGATTGGGTTTAAATACGGCCCATTTTAGAATGATTCCATGGTGAGTAACGGTATTTAGTTGATTAACTGACAAATTGGCGAAATTCTTACCGTTTCCCTCTTCTCTTCAATTCGTGCAACAGTGTCGCCACCATACGAGCACCCGTCATACCAAGAGGGTGTCCGAATGCAATAGCGCCACCTTTAGGGTTTAATTTTTCCCTCGGAATGCCAAGCTTATGAATACAATAAGTTGCCTGACTTGCGAACGCCTCATTGATTTCGAATATGTCAACGTCCTCGACAGTCAAACCTGAATTACAAAGATGAAGGTATTAAACTACATGTAAGACCACACATGACTACAAATAACAGATATCATAGCAACCACACTAAAACATGAATATACACGTGCATAAAACAAACTATAGGCTACTGGGGCCACATTTTAGGACCCTATATATCGCCCCCCCCGCTGATTTTCTGATTTTTAACTTTCATCATCATGGTCATTCTTTTCCTCAATAAAACCAAGAACTGGGACTAGGTGCTAGTCATACTTAAAGGCCCCATATAAAGTTTAAACCACTTTGGCTTAAATTGTAGTCTTACCCAATGTTATCAAAGTGTGATATGTGAAACCTTTTTTTTAATTTCAAAAAGTGGTTTTTGTTCCAAAATTTGTGAATTTATTTAAAACCAACTTTTAGAGGTCACTCATATCTTCATTCATACCAATGCATAGCATTCATCCTCCCATGTTTTTTGCCGAAAAGATTAAGAAAATCGGTTCATAAATAAGCGAGAAATGAACTTTTCAATCAATGCATGAAAATGGTAAAATCTAAAACATAATTTATTCTTCCTTTTAACCTGGTTAGACAATCAACGTTGGTTTTTTATGAAAGTCTAGCATATTTAGAAAAGATTGACATCGAAAAAAAAATTCAATTTTTTCAAAAAGTTTTTGCTACCTTAGTGACATCACTAATGTTTCAAAATATTTTTAATATGCTAAAACATTGAAGTGGCCCATTAAATATGGCATTTTATTATTGAAATAGTGTGTCCTTTGTTCAATCTTTGCATTGGTGTTAAAAAGATAATCTGTTTTGAAATGCATTAAGAAATATTTGATAATTAAGAAATTTCAACTTTTTTTTAAAAATGGCGGGAAATTTGAATATTTGAGAAATGAAATGCTCACAACTTTTTTTTCAAAATTGTTTTTTGTTCAAAAATCTCTAAAATCACTTTTAAAGTCCTGGCAAATAGTAAATGAATGATAAAAAAATATTTTCAAACTTTAGACGGGGACTTTAAACTTCATACAAAGGCCTACAAACCTGCTTTGTTCAATGCATGTGGAATTGCGAACGCTGGTCCAATCCCCATGACATCAGGTGGTACTCCAACAACAGCGTATGATCTAAGAACACCAAGTACGGGGAGGTTCTGTCTCCGTGCAGCTGACCTGGTTGCTAACAACACGGCAGCCGCGCCATCACTAACCTGACTAGCGTTACCTACAGAAAGAGTGATCAAAATGAACATAACGTGCTTATAGGTGGTGATGAACGTCGATATCATTGTTGATACTCATTGATGGAATTGTATTTTCCACTTGATAAGCCACTATGAAACTGCGACTGATTATTGAAATTATGTGAAGAAGAAGGGTATTGCCCAGAATTCAAAGATGAACCCATCTGTATGTAAACTTTTGGAACTCTCTTTATTCATTCGGGTTATTTTTTCCTCTTTTTAGGTGTTGCGTACCTGCAGTTGTGCTTCCGCCCTTTTTGAAGACTGGTTTAAGTTTGGCAAGACCTGCTAGAGTAGTATTGGGTCTCACTCCGTCGTCTTTGGTCATCTGAGAAACGTGTATTATGATCAGTCAAATGATTTAGAAGGGACAATTTTTGGAAGGAATTCACGAGAAAAGAAAGATTCACTATTATTGCTGAATTTCTGTTTAGTGACTTTGACTAAACAGCATTTTACAGAAGAATTAAATATTGTGGTATGGTGTTTATGACTCACTGTAATCTTCTTTTCTTTTCCATCTTTGTCTTTTACTACAGTTGTTATTGGAACAATCTCGGCATCAAACCAACCATACTGTTGAGCTCTATGGGCCCTAATAAATAACATAATGTAAAATAATGGACTGTCTTTGTTAATGTGGTGTGGTGTTTCATGGTCATTGTATGAAGATCGTAGTTGGAAGAAAATGGGAAACTGATTCCCATATAGACTCTCATTCTGTTTATCTGCAAAATCGGTGGTATAACTAAGCTAGGATTTCTAAACCTATTGAGGGAGTGTATGCTATGGAGATGTCAGAGAAGACAGAGGCGGTTGAGTATCCACTTACTTGGCATGTGATTCTACTGCCATTTGATCCTGGAGCTCTCGACTGATGCCGTATCTCTCCGCAACATTCTCAGACGTAATGCTACAAATCAATGGAATAACGATCTAAGATTAATAATGACATCTGACCTTGTGTTAGTCCACGTGTAATTGCTTTTGGCTGTTGGGGTAATATCATTTTTCAACCCAACTGACAAGTAATTTACAATGTTATCCCCGATGATGATAAGAATATGTATTATGTATAGGAAGAATATGTATTATGATGAACGCTGTAATCCAACAGAGAAAAATGCATTACTCATTACCTGATTAAGACAACGTTCCTCATTCAGGATTCGAACGAGTCGAGGCTCAAGAATAGGAAGCAATGCTCTACCCGCACAAATGACATTGCGTCTATCACCGACTTACCCCATAGGAAGGAGCGTATCCTGTGCTTTGTTGTTTGTGAATATCTTAGGGTTGACATCTCCCATTCTCTCCGCTCTCGGGGCACCAAAGCTGCTACCTGTCAGTTTCTCAGCGCTGGAAACATCATTTGTTTTTCAACTGACACTTACATCGCTTCGTGAAGAAGGGAACATTTGCATGCAGCTTTGTTTAATAGCTTTTTGGCATATAAGTATTAACTTTTGATAACTTTTAATTACATACAGTACCCACTCCTCTTTTTTAACAAGCAAATACACTCCTCACCATAAAGACAGCCATAATTATTCATTGGATAGCACATCACATGTTTGAAACTTAATTTTGTTCCATAATTACACTGTTTGTATTATTTCTTGACGTTGCATAGTATGTAATACATACCCAGCTGCAAGTCCTATTTCACAGACACCTGTTTTGATGCTACCTGGAATTAGAATCAAGATTCTATACAAAAACGCTTAAATTGTATTTGCCTTGCGTTTTGTTGTGTTGTTGAATTTTAGTATTCGCTTGTGAATGCAGAACAAAAGATTTTGATTTTGTTTTTCCGATTTTTTTATACACAGAAAGAAAAAGAGAAAGCGTTTTCATTTGCATGCGGAATAAAATAACAGGTGTTACTTTAAGCTCGATAATACGTTACTTGAATGAAGGAAACTCACCCGCCACACTCATGACAGCCTGTAGACCAGATGCACATTGTCTGTTGACCGCCATTATAGGAACCTCCTCTGGTATACCCCTGAAATTAGACTCCTATAATCATGCTTTTGTGCTAATATCATAATTATTTTCAAGGGTTTCCCTACTATATAGAATTAAAACATTAAAATGAATACACAATATGATCGTATCTAAAACATTTGATTACGTTTTAGCAGCTGAAATGCGTCCCTTATTATTTGTTGTAATAATATACGATTCCTGACTTACACATAAAATTGAGCTACTCTACCAAGACTAGCCCCTGACCCCTGTAGCATAACGTTTCCAACACACATGTCCCCAATATGCCCGGGATCGAGTTTTGTTTCGTCCAGTACAGCCTTGTATACAGCACCTAGCATGTCATCAAGGAATGTATCCTAAAATAAATAAAAAATAAAATAAAAAACTCGTATTTAAATAGAAGCTATTGATGGATCGCTGTCAGAATGCTGCAAAATAGCTATTAGCTTTGTCTTGAAAATATTTTGGAGACTGGGCATATAAAAAACCGTATGTTAGTATTAGTAGTCTGTATTGTGTTAAAGAAACTTTAACTGAAACTTTTGAGCCATTGTATAAAACCTAAGCCTCTGTATTCAATGATTTCAATGGAGAATGAATGGTTTTAAACACGTCAGACCAAGGCAAATTTTATTTGCCTCATTATTAACTCACCTTCAACGATCCTCTCCCTGCCTTTCCTATGGGCGTTCTTAGTGCCGAACATACCAAAATATCATCATCGGCTTCAGTACTAGCAGCTGAAGAATATGATTCAATCGTTCCGACATTGTTAGATGTACCGAGGTGGCCAAAGAGAACTTTAGCTCTATCCATATTTCTTTTTGTATCGCTTGTCAGGGTACGACTTAAATATCTACTAATATATGTGGTGTACTTGTTCATTATCTGGGACAAGCACAAAGTGTATAGATTAAAGTTCAATTTAAGTTCAATCACAAGATTTACTCCGATTTTGACCGCGAAATTTAAAGAATTAAAGGTGGCTACATGGACTTCATATGCATATTCTTGATGAGCCATTTAATCATGATAACAACACGTAAATTGAATCAGTGAATGAATTTTAATCTATTTAATGCAAGGGCAATATCTGCATTAAGTTCCACTAAAATAAGTTTTTTATTTGAAGCGTGTCCTTGGCAAGTCGCACTAAAGTCAAAAATTCACCATTGCTCATAATTCTGGAATGTTTGGTTAATTTTTCCATTGATTAACAAATATAGGTACTCTAAGATTTAAAAAAATATTTATTCGTGACTTTTACAAGAATAAACTGAATAATGTGTTTTTTATTTTCTCCAAAAGTTACACGGTTAAATATAGTAAGACATGTTGTCAGTTTAATGAAGATGTTCTTAGCGGGTCATCTACTATTTACAATATAGACGCGATCAACGGTGTGCATTTTGGCAGTGAAAACATCCTTGAACGTTAATTTTGGTTTTTATCGTATTTGTTTATGGAATTTCCTAAAAAGCTTCATTAAGTGGTGAAACTGTACCTCGACTACATTTCCCATAACATCACAAAAATCCCTAGTTTTTGTTTATTTCAGCAAAAGTAAAAACATGAAAACGTTTACGTAAGTATGCTGCACAACCCAGTCCTTGCAAGAAATTACGACTTGGTGATTTGTTTGCATCTGTTTTTTTTTATATAATTTCAGCAGTTACTGTTTTGTCATAAACTTGGTCCGTTCTTTCAGCATTTTTGCCTGGGTCATAGGCTGAGTCACAATATGGGGGGGGGGGTTGGTAACACAGGATCGTGATGCTAATTGGTAATCATAAAACAAATAACGATAACCAAAGATAAACAAAAGGTACATCCCTGTCCCAATTATCCTGCCAGAAAATGGTTGTAGCAATTGCACCAGGTCGCAACCACTAAGCTTCTTATCCTGACATGTCTTAAAGGCCCAATGCAAACTGATGACGTAAAATACTTTTATCATACAAGCAAAATGTTGCACAATGAGTCAATGAAGGAAATACAATTTTCAATTTCAAAGTAATATAAAACTTATACTGTTATCAACTAAAAATTGATTTAAAACGAATATCCAGGCCAGCGTAGCGTTTTCATCTCATGATTACAATACTATAGGAAATTAGAATCCTGAAATTGTTCACAATTGTGCACAAGTAATCTTTATACGCTTTGGAAAGATTGGGGATCTAGTGGATGAGCCGAGGCGACTGGATGATTAACTTTATAATTAATATGCATTGCATCACTGTATGCTATGATGTTGCAGCTTAATCTATAAAGATTACGATTTTCGCAATCTTGTTGGGGAATTAAGTCGAAGATGACGATGATCAGCACCCCTCCCACCCCATCTCTTTATATGCTATATTAAAATAGGATGAAGCACGTCCTCCCAGTGAAATATTGGATCGAGATAATTGTTTCAGTTCGTTGAGATGCCACTTTAGTCTTGAAACAAATGAACCATCACCACGGTGATCAGAAGCAGATAACTTCTGTTAACGTTGTATTAACAAAAGTACAGTAGTTTATATATTGCACAGGTGTATTGCGTCCGATTCGAGGGCCAAAGGTGATTCTCGTACAAGCTCGGCAAATATTGATCATATTCACAACTTTATTGAACTAATTTTGAATTTGAAAAATAACCATGCTTGGGGAACAAGGGTATCAATTTTACACATCAATATCGAAGTTATCAATGTGCTTCCAACTACTAGTATCCACAAAGAAATCTAATCACATCCTTCAAGATCAGTCCTTCACTACTTCCACAGTAGCTCATGTAATGTATGAATTACTCTTGGGCCAAGGATGATCTAATCAAACAGGTCGATGTGGGGAGTGTCGGCATAGGATTCACGGGTAGTATCTAAAGCCCCGCTATGATTTAGAAGTCGCGAGCAAATACCCGCTGAAATCGCGAGCAATTAAAAGAAAGGAAGGGTTATCTTTTGTTTACTTAAATTGTATGCTGTAAAAAGCGTTTTCATTTAATTTTACTCAATTATTACATGGTATTGATGCTAAAAAGCAACTTCTGCAAAAAAAGGATCACGAGCTGATGTTCTGAGTTTTGTTATTCGATAATTGGAGAGAGAATGTATCATCTTGAATCTTTATCTATAAATTTTTATATTTTATAGCTTAAGAAGGTCATTGCCCTTCAGTTGAAATGGTCATAGTAATATGAAATGAAGGTATTGTGAGTTTCACTTCCTAAAGTTTCACAAAAAATTATATATTTCAATTTTAGCATATCCCTTGATGCCCCGCTTCTACCATGAGCAATAAACTAAAGATCCCGCTGAAAACATGAGGAGGCCCCGCTGAAAACATGAGGAGGTCCCGCTGAAATCAGGAGCAAGTGGCTCTCTAAAATGGAGTGAAGACCGATTTGACTTTGCAAATCTGCCACGACTGTAGCCAACGTCATAAATATATTAATTATTGATACTCTACAGAGCACATATATATCAAATATCATTGTCATTGTTATTATCGGTTCGAGCAACCCCCCCCCCTTACCAAAAGCTGGCTACGAGCATGATTCAAATAAAACCATTAATTCACTTAATGTATTTCGACCTGACTCCATCGAGAAATTTACCAAGAGAAGATTTAAATCCATTCCACGACTTTTGACAAGTTTCAAATAACTCGTTCTTCTTTGTATGCAATATATATTTATAATTCACTGAAGTTACATTATACTGTAGTTCAGTATATTACTACCTTAGAGGATTCAGCACCAATGGCGCACACGTTTGAAAAGGCAATTTATGGATCAACTGCTAGATGTAAGTAACAAAGGAGTACATCATCCGATTATGCGTCCGAAATAATAATAATCAAATAATTTCATCATTAACAATTAATCGTAGGTTATGTTAAACGCACGTGTTACGCGGAAAACATGATGCAAATATGTGTCATATTCTGCAATAAATATGGCATATTGACTTGCGGTGTATGACAGATTCAGCTGCAGTATGTTGCATACCCACTAAGCAATGAGAACACGATACGGAAGTACGCAATTGTCAATTGCATTGATTGAACAAACGGGCAATCATTGTGTCATTTTCACCTGCGGTATATGACATATTCGGCAAGTGAGTATGACATATTCTGCAGGTGACTATCAGGTATTCACTGAAATCAATGTATCGCATATTCACGGCGGAATATCGCATACTCACCTGCGGAATATGCCATAAACTGCAGGTGAGTATGGCATATACTGTATACCCGTATCACAAATACCACGCAACCATAAATGTATGCCATACTCCGCGTAACATCGTATGTGTTACGCGGAATATGGCATATATTCATGGTTGCGTGGTATTTGTGATACGGGTGTATATGCCATATTCAGCTGTGGTATATGGCGTATTCCGCAGGTGAGTATGGCATATTCCGTATTGAATATGTGATACATTGATTTCAGTAAATACTCCATGCTCGCAGAATATGTCATACTCACTTGCAGAATATGCCTTACACCGCAGGTGAGTATGCCATATACCGCAGGTGAATCTGTCATACTCCACAAGTGAATATGCCATATTCATTGTGGAATATGACATATATTTGTATCGTGTTTACCGCGTAACAATATGTCCAGGAAAATGGCTTATGCAGGACATACGATTTATATGTCCCGGATCCACGTTTGAGCGGGACATACGAAAAATATTTGCCCGGATATGATACCTTTCTCCTATACATTTTGATATGGATGCAACTCTATAAAATGTTTGACGAAATCTCTGGTGGCTTGAAGTTGGAATGGAAACCTGGCCCTAGAATGAAACAGTATATATACAGTAATTATTAGAAGTACTTAACTTGGTCTTTCGTGTACGTTTATTTGAAGAACCTCAATATTTTATGTAATAGTAATGAGCTTTCCTCGTGATCGAAGCGGGTACTCGTGATATTTGCTCCTGTTTTCAGCGGGACCTCCTCATGTTTTCAGCGGGGCTTCCTCATAATTTCAGCGGGGCCACTGGCACACCTTCAATGATGTATTTCACCCCCCACAGTGGATGTTTTTGAAAACAAACTTATCAATACATACAATGTTGGTCCAATATTCATAATGAGGTATGTATATCGTAGTTCTCGTCTCTATTTTAACCATAAAAGTAATATGTTAACAGTAAATTATGCAAACCTGCATATTGACGCCCGTTTCTTCCATGCCAGTAAAAATAGTTATCTTTCATGTCATTGTTTGTGAAGATATACCTGTTCTGAAAGTATACCTAAAGTATCAAAGAACAGTAATGCGTATTCTTACCTTTTTGGTCCATATTTCCAGATGAATTAAATAAAAAGGACTTTGCTCGTGATTTCAGCGGGAACTTGCTCGCGACCTCTCAATTATAACGGGGCTTTGGATACAACCCGTGGGATTGATTCACATATATTTATAAAACTTGTAAACACAGGTGTTTGTCTTATAAAAGGGGCATTCAACAAGTGATTGGAATAACCTGAAGGAACACTAAGCTTACGAGGGAAATAAACATTTACATCTACTAGAATGCAATCCTGGGCGGAGGCTGTAGATTTGTTATAAATTTGTTCATCACCATCAATTTGCTCAAAAGATTAGAAAATATCAAAACGCCCATACGGGGTGACCCGCCTGAAATTAACAGGTTATGTTCCGCCTGTTGTGTTACTATATTTTCTAGTGTTTTTGAAAGCAAAAAAAGATCTTCGAAATATATTTTATAATTACCATCTTTCACTGTCACCATTTTTAATGAACCATCAATTGAGCTAAATATCATGACGTGGAATAAAAATAACTCCAAATATTTGTGAATTATGACTGCCCATCTTTAGAATTAATGGACCATCCTCAGAGCTAAATGTCATGCCGTGCAATAAAAAATAAACCCGGAGCGTGGTTTATGTCTTTTACTATCTTATAAGTTGTGGTGCTATCACAAACTATAGCTCGATGACCGGTTTTGTTTGTTTCCTCGGCTTTCGCTTCAACTAGATAGAATTCCCAGAGAGCGGTTGCCCAGGTAACCGCTGCTTGCCAAATAAGGAGGAACGGATTTCGGGTCCGTAGAGAATCGGACTTGATAAGTATTTATACTCCCAAACTCTTACAGATACTACCTGGTAGAAACTCATCACTACAATTGCTTTGAATTCAAACAACTTGAAGATAAAAACAACAATTGGACTGTGATCTGAATTAAACATAAGAACTGACGAGACGGGATCTTAACTTCCGAGGGTAGCTGAATGCGGTGTAAAGGTATATATTAGGTTATTCCATTCTGAATTTTTATGTATCTTTTATCATTATTTTTATTTCATTTGATCTTAATTGAACTTTATCGAGCGATGATCGTTTTCGTCGACGCTAAGTCGCAGCCAATGGCTGACCTCTTCCCTTTGGAGAACTCACGATTTGTAATTGGTTGTTCAATTTTATTTTCATTGTGTCTGCAAAAAAGTACAAGAAATAATCGTTATTATTCATGTTGACGAAAGTTGATCAGTCTAAAAAGAGAGCTAGCCTTCGTTGTTAAGGGTAGTTAAAGGTATTTTCACGGACCTCTGTGATGTCCATGATAGTCCTACGTTCAAAAGAAAAGAAACGAGTTACCAATTTTTCAATCGCACTTGGGAAATCAAAAACGGTTACTGTAAAATATAATACTTTGGAAAATCAAATGTACACCTGTTTTGACCAATAACCATTTTATTTTTTGTACACACACGGTTTCATGTCGAAGATCTTTGAAAGCCTTGTTATGAAATGTGTCAGTTGTAACTGAACGTGTACTCATTTTGAACCTGTGTTTTCTGTTCCATCATTATGATAGGCCATTTGCCAAGTTAGGATGCGTTCCATCATAAATTATTCATATATGTATTGAGTTAAGGTAACTTGTATTTTAGTACCTCACTGGATTTATGTCTTTCATGAGGGGCATATTGAGTCGACACATAAATGAATACCTGATTTTGTATATTTTTGTCTGCTTTTATAGAACATCAGTAAACGCAACCACATAGCTAAGGAGTCAAGATGGTGGCCAGAAAAGTTCCGTAAGTAGACACTAGTTTGTACTTTTACATATGATACTCTAATCAGTTTCCAAGAAATGTTAAATAAACTTGCTAAAGTTACTATTGAAACTGACAGTTCCATTCCACAATGAAATTGCATCTTTTGACACACACGAATGTAAAAAGAGACAAGTATTTGGGAGTCACCATTTGTCAAAATGACAACCGATGCGGGAAATATGTTATTCTCGAAAATATCGAGTGAGAAAAAGTTTGTTAATGCAACATGCACTGCATTCTGGTAAAAACAAGATTTTGTGAGTTGCTGATTCCAGCAGTAATCGTTTTGTCACGGAATTCAAAAATTATGTTATGCCGTATGTCAAAATGATGTAATCCTACTGACTTTCGCATGTTGTTCATCCATTTAGGAAAGAGGTCCAACAAATATTTGATCGCTACATCAAGAACAATGTAAGGCGTCTGAAAAAGGCAGACGCCATCATCATGCTGAACAAAGAGTTTGAATTATCTGAGGAGCAAGCGAACGTTATGTTTGACACATTTGATAAAGACAAGAATGGAATAATGAGCATTTGGGAGTTCCACCAGTTCTATCAAACAGTTGGAGCAAGGTAAGGAGGCGACTCTCTGGAATTTGTCATACACATTTATATCCATATGCGGAGTACTGTTTCCTATGATCGTTTGCGTGTAGACGGTATTTGGTATTCTGTTTTTGGTATTATATCACATTTTGATTATGACCATACTGTACTTATCATATGATCAAAAATCAGCATACTCGAAACGATCCCAATAAAGCTACATATCAGTTATTACGTATGTGCCAAGAATGAAGAATGTTTTAAGGATGGCAAAAAAGTTTTACCAACCACAGTGCAAGTTAATGAGATCATAGATGAAGCATGGCATGTGTCAGTCAATAAACGGCAATTGGTTTATAGGCCGATGTCGAATTCACTGGTTCTGCACTCGATAATGCTGTAACCGAAACAGATTCGTTTCGGTAACAAGATGGCTACGGTTCCGGTTGGAAAGATTTTTCTTTTTTGTCGAAAACTGGAAATCCAGGTGATTTCGCACGAAATAGTTCGTTGGTTGACAGAATCGTCCATATATTTCCTCACTCATGTTACGTAAACGGAACTTCTACCTACAACTCGTGAAAATCGTACCTTCGGGAATCTGACGTGTTGTTACCAACACGGATCCGTTTCGGTAACTATTTTGTAGCGTGTAGTACCAATAGAAATGCACACTGAGGTAATCAAAATATATTTTTACTTATTTCAGTGCACACGAAATGGTAGAGAAATTCAAGGAAATGGATAAAGATGGCTCTGGGCAGTTGGACGCTGATGAGGCGCGTGAAGGTCTCCGTTCAATCAAAGTGGCCGATGGGCGACCTCTGGCGGAAAAGGAAATTGAATTTTTTATTAAATCTACAGCCGGAGAGGACAATGTGATTGATATTGGGGAGTTCGCTAGCTTACTATTCAGGCTAAAATTGTGTAAGAAATAGAGACTTCAATTTATTGACTATCAGAACTTCTTCAAACAGACTTTCTTTCCATTCTGCTCCCATGGAATTTTGGCCATTAAGTTGAATGAACACCATAGTACTACTTTTGTAGAAACAGACTCATGAATGGATTATGTTTTGATCCGTTACAAAAGGGTACTGAGGAACCAGAGAATAAAATGAATCTTACGCAAGAGCCATCTTTTATTGCTAATCATTGGTATAATGAACAGTATAAATTACCATGTCCGTTTAAACTTGATTCTTCAATATATATTTGAAACAACAGCAAAACACCATTATATAACAAGTTCTTATATTTTAGGTAGAAAAGACTATATTTATACAATATGCATGTTTTTGTAATCGTACACTGTTAAAATGTTATATTTGTATTAAGAAATAAAGAATATAAAAGTTATAGAGTATCTATTATGATTATCTAGAATTTACTGGCTTGGAAAATTACAATCTGCCAGTACGCTGTTAAGTACCCTGCGTGCAGAGTCTAGTTAAACTACAGACGAAGACGAAGCTCTCTTTTAAGAAGTGAAGTCAAACGAATGCAAAGGGTAGCTGTTAAGTACGAACCCCCTCCCCCCTCCCGCCGTCCAAGCATGACAACCCTAGATCCAAGACCCTAGATGAACCTGAGGTGTAGTTTATCACGGGAATATCCAGGCCCCACTGACATCGCGAGCAATGAGGTCACGTTAGAAGCGGGGCATCGAGAGATGTAATAAAATTTTAAACTTTAGTACGTGAGACAAGTACAAGTTTATTTCATAGTGCAATGGCTATTCCAATATTGCAGGGCAATGACGTTCTCCAACCCCGGGGGGTTCACTATATATAAACCTTGACGGGGATCCTCGGCGCATGTGGGGTACCTTTTTCAACGTTTGGTATGGCAATGGACCCATATTTTAGGATTTGGTATGGGAATGCTCGGAAATTTCTGACTTCTGAGGTATGGCAATGGTCGGACTTTTGCTCTTCTGGTATGAGAATGGTCGTTGTAGATACGTTACCTAACATTCGTGGTATGGCATTGGTCCAGTAGTTGCAAATTTGAAGTTGTTTTGGATCGTTATTTTGGTCATTTATGACCCCAACTACAGTATGGCATTTGTCCTTGATTTTAGGTATGGCGATTGGTCCTGTATTTGCACATTTGTATGACATTGATCCTATATTTCATTTACTTTGAATTAAGGTATGGCATTGGTCCCATATTTGGACATTTGGTATGGCATTGGTCCTACATTTTGACATTTGGTATGGCATTGGTCCCATAATTGCACATTTGGTATGGCATTGGTCCAATATTTGGACATTTGGTATGGCCTTTGGGCGTTATTTTGGTTGGTATGGGAACATATTGAAATTTGACAGATTGGTATGGGAACATATTGATATTTAAGGCTTCAGCCTAGAACCCCCGTCGAGTTTTATATACAGTGAACCCCCCGGGTCTCCAACTATAACTATATTTCATCATATCTCTTATGGCCCCGCTTCTCACATGAGCTCATTGCTCGCGATGTCAGCAGGAACTTGCTCGCGATACGGGGCCTTGATAGTCACCGTGTTTATGCCTCGTCAGCTAGGGCCTCCAATAATGAGATATAGGATCATAAGGAGATGATAAAGTATATTATACCGTTTTGTATCGAACTTTGTTTTCAGGATCATCATATACACGGGTGTTAAAACACGAATATACCATGAGCACATGCTTTGAGGATCCGCGTTGTTTGAACCTACCGCCGAGCACACTTATACATTAAGACCCGTTACACAGTCATGATACCGCCGAGCAAGCTCATTGCATCATCGGGTCTGCTTTACCCCCGTGATATACACATATCCGACATCATATCATAGTCTTTTACTAGATGTTGCCTTTAGAAAGCTTATGATCATATAAACTAATTAATTAAGTGCCCAAGTCCCTGATTGAGTATTTGTTCAGATGCCACCTGAAGCTGATGGTCTAGCATTACCTCCTCTGGATGCAATGCTTTCATAAATCCCATCATTCTGAGTATTCTGATAAGTGTATTCCGTGTGGCTATAGTGTTCTAGAGTTTCATATTTCGGTGGAGGATGACTCGGAAGAACTGGGCTATGACATGTGCTCGCATTAGGAGTAGGGTAAGTACCTCCAGTGGCCCCTCCAGTAGTGCCCCCTATGGTAGGGTCTGAAGAATATAGATTTCCATGTGGAGCTCTCGGTGGTAACCTAGGAGACAACGTATTGTAAGCCGGGGGCACTATATTTGTTAAGTGAACGTGAGGTTGGCCCTGACCTTCAACATGACCTTGAGACTGACCGTCACCTTGCCAACGATAAGCTGTATAGCCAGGTGTGTAGAACGCGTTCATTGCAAATGGAGAAGAGACTGACATTCCTCGAACGCTACGTACGGTTGGTGGAACATGGGTTGTACCACTTTGTACACGTCCTCTTCTGCAACGAGGTAACCTGTAGACAAAAAATGTTAAGAAAATTTCCACTATTGCATCAAACGCTTTGGGTCCTTTGTAAGATGCCACCAGGCAGCAGTATGCTTTTGCGAATAATTAACTCATGGTTTGAAACAATTTACAGTGTGGGAAAAAAGAAAAGCTATAAAAATCCGATGCTATTCACGCGTTGCATTGTGTAACCTTCACTTTGAATTTTGGTAACATGTAGTGCAACTCATGCATTAACTCACTCATTATCATCAGTCTAGTGCTTTAACCCTAAAACTAATATCGCAAGATATTTGAATTAATCTAGGATGAAGAAAAGCCAAACGTTTACTTACGTTGGATGAAGAAAAGCCAAACGTTTACTTACGTTGGATCAACGTTCTTTCTCCTTCGACAGAGGAGAAAGACTGTGATTGCCATTGAGCCGAGAAACAACGTTGTCAATAACCCAGCTGTAAGGCCAACAGTGAGCCCCATATGATGCTGAGCATTATAATGTTCAGGCCTGTTAGGGATTGCAGGTACACGAGCCGTTGTTGTAGTGGTGGTGGAATGCGCTATGGGTGATGTGAAAATTGTTGTTGCCATGATAACCTGTTTTGGATTGCTGGTGGTGGTTTGTTTTGTGGTTGATCGGGAAACTGTCTTTGGTATAGCAACCGGAGTTTGGTTGGAGTTTGTTGTTGGTTTGGTTACAGGACTTGGTATGGTAGCATTTGTCGGTGATGGGACTCTTGTTGATGCATCAGGTGTCGTAGAAGGTGCAATTGTAGAGGTCTGCGTAGCAGTGCCCGTTGCTAAAGCAACATCGGTTGGTATGGCAATTGCTAGTGGTTTTGATGTTACCACAATCTGGATTGTTTTGCTCGATTTTATAGATGTATCTGTGCTGTTCATAATAGAATAACTGGGCGTAGCATGTGAGTTTGAATTAGTTGCATTATGGTCCGATACCTCCTCTGTGCGTTTTGTAGAATTTGTTGCATAACCTCCAAACGTCGCTGCATCTGAAAATCAAGTCACATTTCATAACATGGACCAATTTAATTTGATTTACTAATTAATTAATCAAGAGTTATGATTGCAGAAAATGACAGTACCATCTGTTGTAACTTCAATAGTGAAAGAAACAATGACCGAATCATAATTGCATAATTAGTTTAGAATATTGAAATCTAATTAATAAAATAATCAAACTATACCATGTTCCTCTCATCATATAAGTTTGAATGAAATATAAATACCAAATCACAAGCAGACAGTTTAACACAGACATACGGTATTATTTGTGTACTCGGTAAAATGATGGTAAAAATTAAGTAGCCCTAAATCTCAACCCAAACATACGCCCAGTTACAGCTAAACGGGACCTTGTATTTGTGTTAATGAAACCTCTAATTGATTGTTTTCATCTTAATGTATCATTAATGAGTTGATTTTTCCACTTATTAGGATTTGTTCACCAGCTACGAGACAGATAATTAAAGATGGACTAATATATGTCTGAACTTAAGAAAACCTGAAATAAAGCAACGCTGAATTGGGACCCAGGTGAGACAGAAATCACCGTCCCCTAGGGATCATTGTCCCCATTATTGTCTTGGATGCATATTAACTAACAAAGGTCATTCATCTGTACACGTGGTATATGAATTCTACGATGTGCATTTTTCAAAAGTGATGTTAAAAATGAAATAAGGAGTATTTACTGATCTATTATTTTTATGCCTGAGGCAAGTCTGAGTTTTGCTTTATCTTTTTAAGAGACATTGGAAGCGGTTATAGTGAACTATTTTTCTCATTTATCAAGTAAACCATTACAAAATAATCTGTTTTACATTTATCGTCAGACAAAATTTCATGAATATGTTTATTTAAAGAATTCAATAAACTTCTCACCTGTCAAGACAATTCCAGAATCTTCAGATAAAATTTTATTAAATATGAAATATGTCTAAAATATAAGTGATCTATGTCTAAAACACTGAAAAAGATATTCTCACCTGTCAAGAAACTTGGTGTTGTGGTTGCGTTTATCATCCCCATGGTGATGCCTTCTCTCCCAATTCCTAGCTGTGAACTTATCTTTATGAATCTTTCTTCATGCACTTGTATTTCTGTCTATAGTACCTCCTAACTCATAGTACAATCTACCTGTTTTTGATTAAGTATCAAGTGTGTATTTTCAATTAATATGTTCAAAGTGACATGGTGACAGGTGCCTTCCATTGGAATGTAACAGGACTCGGAAGCTTTTTAATAATCAAAATTAAAATGATATTCATGTATTATAATATCACCAGGTCTTTATAATTGAACATATCTAAATAAACTTTGCTTTATGGGTATTCTTTTTCATTATGTAAACTGTCATTGGAAGTACGTTCTACTAGACCAATCCGGTAAATCATGCCATCTATTGGTTATGATGTCGTTCTTACAATTTCAGTGGAGGAATAGGATTAAAATATTGCTAATTTTCAAAAACTTCTTTCAATTTTGTTTACAAACATTGCTGGCTGTAAAGTATGACACCATAAATCTAGGCAATATACCTTAGTTTCCTTGGTTCACAAATAGGGGTCAGGATTTACTGGAAAGGTCTATTCATAAAACTTATATCAAAAACAATTTACGTGTGTAAAAACTAAATTAAAAATAATATTCACATAATAAATGCTCCAGATAGTTATAACTGAAATTGCACCTCTAGAAATTACACTTGGCTGTTATACTTGCAAGACTACTTCATTATTCAATATATTATCCAATTCAAAGACATCAACAAACAACGAAGACACATTATTTCCTGGTATATACAATATATTGTATGATTTATCACATTATATACAGCATTGGTTATTTTACAATAATTTTCCTATAAATCTATATTATTCTTATTTATAAATGCATGAATTTGTTTGATTTGAAACATGATTATTAGCTCAATGAATGGACATGATAACAGTGTAAAAAAGTATGAATATATTCGAGCAACTACTCTACTATACAGGGTGTCAAATAAGTCCCGTCCCCCCTGCTACAGCTAAAGCCTTTACAGACGGTACCTAGTGTGATATACCATTGGAAAGATCATCCAAAGTTATGTTAACTCACCAACTCTCAAGTATTTTGGATGAAATTTACCTATATTTTTATGATGTCTTTTATAGTTTACGTGCCCTCCTTTAAGTAGCTTTTTTGCTTCAAAATGACAAGGATATGACCTCAGAAATACGTCAAAAAGTTGATCTTTTTCGCATTCCACTTGTTACAAAATGGTTTTCAGCACTTTCCTTGCCCCTCTATTTTCTACACATCTAAACCTATCCAGAAATTGGTTAAATTCATTGCCATAAACATATTTAGTCATCTTTTGGTCCCTTGACCTTTCTTATACCCGATTCTCAAAATCCTGCCAAATATGCCAAATTGCCATGTTTCTAGGCATATGGTCACCTCAATTGATACAATGTAAAAATTTGTGAGATTGATTGACATGTGTCAGATATATGCCAATCAACGTAACTTTGGAAGACCTTTCCAATGATATATCACACTTGGTACCAAATATCTTGGTTTTGGCTGTAGAGGGGGGGACGGGACTTATTTGACACCCTGTACATCTATAAATAAAAAATAAATTTCACCTCCTACAAGCTGAATTAAAAATTGTAAAATATATGTTTCATGAAATTAATATATATTCCTCGTGAAATTTTTAACTGAAAATAAATTCGACAGGGTGAGTTTTTATACTGTACAGTATAACAATGAGAGTACAAGGTCTATAAAATAGATACTTGAATTCCCAGGTACATTGATATTATTGTGTCACACCCTGTATATCTTGATTCATGAGAGAAAATACTCGGGATTTTGAGTTAACCTCAGACTAATGTATATTTTGATGATATTCATATCCTGCATATTCTGTGAAAGATGTTAGAAATCCTAATAAATGCATCGTTATAACATATAAAGGTACACCCTTGATTTTGACATGCTTTATGGACAGTCTTGATTAGAGATAATAAAATTAAACCAATTTATTACTTGGTATATTCAGTTTTCATTAGTTTAAAATTTCATACCAGCCAAACTAAAAATAAAGTAAGCACACTCAGCAATGATGCAACTTGGTTAAAGTTATGTTGTTAAAGTTAAACATTGATTTTTTATAACTTATTTTTGTTACACAAAAATACGCATTTTAGTCTCATTATGAAATCATTTCAAGAAAATTCAACTGGTGTCCATTTCTCTGGACTCCCTTAGATACTTTTACCTTAGTCCAACCTTTTGTGAAGGGTACTTCAACCATAGTTCAACCCTTTATGAAGGATACTTCAACCATAGTTTAACCTTTTATCAATACATTGAAATTTCGACCATATATGGAGGTATTACAGGCATATTTCACTCATGTATATATATAGATACACAACTATTTTGGGCATATATACATACTGTTACAATCCATTAAAATAAAGCACCATAGGTCTCTACATTTACACTACCCAAAATACACATTCCATTTTTGTTAATTACATAAAATATACCTGAATATAATGTCAAAATATATTTACATGTTAAGGCAAGTGAAAGATTGTAATTTCATATCATATATGGCTAGCTATAATATGCAATTATTTATTGAACCATGTACAATCCTTTGAATAGGAAACTTCTGGGGACACTGCATCAAATAATCAAATATGCAAATAATCATTCTTATAATGAACTAACAATTGAACACATTTCAAATTAAATAATTATCTTAATTTTAAGTAATAACACAAAATGTTTTGTTAAAATCGAAATGATAACTACATGCTTTAAATTGATAATTAGATCATCAATAATTTGTTGCACTGGCCCCAGATTCCATAAATTGCTGCCTAACATAGAACTTTTAAATCAATATAAATTACAATGATTACATGAATCCTTGTGAAATACTTGCACACATATTTACAATACTACAAAATATTTGATATGACATGTATCAGTGTATGCCCTGCCAACCCTGAAAATGTTAATGTTGGCATGCATACCCAGGTCTGTAGTTTGAGAAGATAACATAATGTTGACTGACAGACCTGTGGTTATAATCAGTGAAATGAAAAAAAACAAGCAGTGCTGACTGTTCCTTACACTCTAGGACACACCCCTGTACTCCAGCATAAAGTTTTATATCCATTATGTATTGAAAATTGAACAAATTTCTTTAAATTTCTTTGCCTGCTTAAGTAATTGAAGATGTTTTTTCTGGAAGTGATAACACTGAATTCATAAGGGGAAGAAAATTTAAACTTTGATAAATTATCATAATATGAATTCATGGCATTACCTGAATTGGAGCTCTATGTAAAATTCAAAGTGCCTTAAACATCGATAGATGTCCATACAAGGCAGCATCTGTATATGGAAAGGATCGTTAAAAGCAGATTCCTTAAATGGCAGTCCCTACAAGGCAGAGTCCTTTAAGGATAAAGTCCTTAGACGGCAGAGTGCTTAGAGGGCAGAGCCCATTGAGGCCACTTAGTCCTTAGAGGGCAGAGTTGATAGAGGTCAGAGTCCTTAAAGGACATATAGCCCATAGATAGGGAAGAGTCCATAGAAGACATTGTCCATAGGAGGCATAGTCCTCAGAGGGCAGAGTCTTACTGCATAGATGTGTGAAGAGTGGAATGTTAGTAGACCCAGCTGACAGGTACCCATTGGGGTTCCATACTTAGAGTCTCTATTGCTCTACGTAGAGTGTTGAAACACTCTCCCATGTTGTCATTTATAATCGTCGTGTCAAAGTAATGTTTGTAGGCACGTTCAACTCGAGCACTTTCATCTAATGTATTTCTAAATTCACGCTCCTGAAGAAAAAAGTACAAAACACATGAAAATGTCACAAATAGATTTAAGAAATGTCATTTTTGTTTGAAAAACATCTTTCTAGCATGGCAAAATCAAAGTGTTTTAAAAAAAGATGTTACAATAAACTTCTATTTTGTTGGTCTATGACCGTCTCACTTACTGTTTTGTCTATAGTCGTGACACCCTGTTGCTTGGCTAATTCATGCATGTTTGACATCACTTCAACACTAGGGGCTGCAACGAACACTATATATGGCATGAACTCCCCTGTCTTTAATGTCTTCAGAGCCTAAAAATACAAAAGATCCATGAAAAAATTATCTTTATATTAAAATCAAATTATATATCTATTATATAATCGATCAATGGTGCTTTCGTATCTGATGAGGATTTATGCTGGATGCAGGATTACAATTGGCTTGAATTGTGATAGTAAATCATGGGGGTTGACCATCAATGAACCCATTTATCATATCTGGATTCAAGCCAAGAAGATTTGATAGCTCATCCTGATGCTAATGCTAATGATGAAACTAAATGTCACCAAACCTACATCTAAGGTGTTATTTCAAAAGTTTCACAATAAATTTTAAATATAATCCATGTAATTTCAAGTGGGTAACTATAAAACGGAATTCCATATGATCCTACCTGTGGATTGCAGTCAATTATACACATTCGTCCACTCCTGATGACTTGTCTAATTGTATCAAGTTTTGTGCCATATAGGTTGCCATCAAACTCTCCGTATTCCAGGTATTTGCCCTCACTTATATCAACCTTCATCTCTTCAGCATCAACAAACCAGTAGCCATTACCATTCTCCTCATCTTCACGCATCTCACGTGTTGTGTCTGTAATATGGTCATTGGTATTGATAACATGTGTATTGTGACAATATGAAATGCATACATGGGATATTCATAAGTGGTGTTTGTAATATGGTTCTTGGTATTGATAACATGTGTATTGTTTTATATGTCAAAGTATGGAAAAATACTAATACTTTCTTTTATAGCAAAGGTAACTTTCAGTTTGTTTTATGTTTATTTCATCAGAAGAATCTATACTTTAAAATCAATTAGGAATGTCTATATAAAACTTACGTGGCATAGTTGTGCCAAATCTGTTTGGGTCACTTTCAATGAGTTTGTTCTTGAGTGTCCGCCTGCCCACACCCTGGGCACCTACCAGGACTAGAGTCTTCCTCTGGAATGGAGGCATTCTGGCCACTTCTTCATATATCATCATCTCATGGCGATCAAACTCTAAAATTAACAAAATACAAAGAATAAACAAAATATGTCAACTGCAAAACTAATTTAATAATGAACCATATTGACAACAAAAATTTCTGTACCTTAAAATTCAGTGTTTATTACTGGTTTTTCAGCACACATTACCCCCTGAATTAGTTTTTGTGAAATTCTGTACAAGATGAAACCTTTTAACATATTGTACTGATGCACAAGCATTTAAAAAATATGAATCATTCTATTAATGTTTTGGGTTTTAGATTTTACCTGAACTTTGTTTGGATTTGTACATAGTTTTCTTCTTTTTCTTCCTTACAATTCCACAAAGATCTGAAAAGAATGAATTATTCTTAACTAATGCACACATACCATATGATCTAAATAATAATGTTAACATAAACATTTTGGAACTTCGTGTTTAACATATAGTGCCATTATGATGACTGACTGCTGGATTAAATATCTTTAAAGTGATATTTAATTGAACTGGAGCAATTACCTGGAGTTTTTTTGTAAAAGTTTACTTACTAACTTGACAAGTCCTTTTATATTATATAGAAAATTATGTTAGTAAAATAAATATTTAAAGCAACTTACAACAACAGCAAAATCAACGATAATTCAAAAAATATTGTAATGGTCAAATAACTGAATTTTAACAGAAAAATGTAAAAACTAAAAATTGCTAATAATACACACATGAACTAGTGGTGTAATCATATTCTGGCTTAACAAAGGCTCGTCTTTTTTCTTCAATGGTAATGGATGGTACCAATCCTGTAAAACTTTCATCTCCGTCAATCTTGCGTGCCTATAACATATCATGCCACCTATTGATAACCCCAGAACTAACCACACAATACACAACACCAACAGAAAATTATAATATTATACAGAGTACAACATCCTCCGAACACAGGGCTATAGAATTTGTTCCTACTTCTTTCCCCTGTGATAATCATATTGGATTATCCTGAATGAAAGTGATCATGTGACAAAGAGAAAGACGATATTCTGGATCTTGTAGCTCTGTGGTTGGAGGATGATGGTACAATAGGTAGTTATAATCCAGATCCTTCTAAAGTTGAAGATACAGTTTGTCATTAGTTAAATTTTGTGAGATGAAATAACAGCGAAGTCAAATTCAAATTGATGTTCATGATCATCCCACATATAATTTTTATAATTGTGAAACCCAATATAAAATGTATATTCAACATTAGAAGGCCAGATAATGGACACCAAACTGACCTTGGGAAACCATCCCCCAAGTCCATTGTTCTTCAGCCTAACAAACATGCAAGACAGTGATCTCCACAAGGTTGTTTCAATGAATGGTGCACGCAAACTTGAATTAAAAATTTCCCTTAAATCTCATAGAGAATCTATTTCTAAGTCAGAATTTGGAAGATCATTCTTTCATACATTATTTTGTGATTCCAGAAGTAGAGAATTCATATGATGCACTTTATCTGGATAAATGTCTCCATAGTAATGATGCATCATAGGAATTATATTGTGTAACTACATCGCCCGTATCGCAGGGTTACAGAATCATATACAAAGTTCCTTCCTTCTTCCAAGAAGGTTGTTTCAAGAAGGAAGGTTTGTGTATGATTCTGTAACCCTGCGATACAGGGGATGCGTAACTGATGAATTCAAGCATAAATCCCTTTTCTACACACATTTAATTCAATCTGATATTCAATTTAATTTTTACATTGGGGATTCGTCCAAATGCCCTAGAATGTTTGAATTCAAAAAAAATTTATATGGATAAATATCCCAATTCTAAGACTGTCCATATATATGGCCCCAAAATAGGCAGACTTTTGCAAGCGGTTGAGAAGAAATTCTGGGAAGAACACAACAACATTCACCTAACAAACAAAACAAACAACAAGCAAAAACCTAAAATAAAACAACATAAACATGAAAATATGAATATTGAATCAGCTTCCATGCATCCTGTGTTGCAGCCATACTCACAAGAGTTTTTTGTAAAATCATTTTCAGGTTTGACAAAGGCTTTACGTCTTTCTTCAAGTCTAAGGGAAGGAACGAGACCTGTTGTCGAGGGATAGTCTACCATCCGAGCCTAAATACAGTCAAACATCATTGAAATCCTCCATTTTGATTGATTTAATAAAAAAACTAAATAACTCAGAATTTGTGAAATTGCAAGCTTGTTATATGGGCAATGCATTATGAATAATGATTAAATCATTTATTTTTTAGGGATATCTACCATATCAAAATATTTTCAAGATGCCTTGCACCTAATGGCTACATCAGACACTAACTACATAGTATACTAAGTACAACCATTTATTGTATTAGGATTGGGGATAATCAATTTTTTGAAGTGAGGGTTCCAGGGTTGTCTCATGTTTGATGTGAATACCACCTGATTATTCATGTCATGTGACTTTGGTTCGACCAATCATATGACTCACCTGCCACCAGTTATTGTCATCCATGTTGAGTATTCATGTCATGTGACCTAGCTTCGACCAATCATAAAATGACTCACCTGCCACCAGTTATTGTCATCCATGTTGAGTATCTGCAGGATCTCTCCATCTCTAAAAGGAAGTCCCGCCTCTCTACATGGGATCAGATTGTCCCTCATGGGGTCATAGTTGAAATGGGCCTTCATGTAAACCTGGCAGAAAAACACAAACATTACAGTAAAAGTATAAAAGATTTTTTCGAGGGGAATAATAATTCTAGTTATCAATGAATACCACTAAAATTTTTTAAATTATTTTTAGTTTTTTATGACCTCTTACCTGAGAGACTATATTATGGTCCACATAACTTGGAAGTATTTTTAAAGTAATGCTCCCGACAGCACGTTGCATCTGGTCCTGAAGTTGGTCGGGAGAGATCACTTCCTGTCCGTTAATTTCCTTGATGATGTCACCAACGTGTAGTAAACCTAGAAAATTTTGGCAAATGTTAACGACTCAACCAAAACTTACATCATTTATGTATTAGAATACATTTCACATTGATATTCTCACTTTTTAAGATTACAGAAATGACAACATCTTTTTGATCATATAATAAGTGTAGACTTAACTATTTTCCATTACTACAGTATATAACAAACTATTAAATCATTTTACTGATAATTTTAATGAAATCTTTAATGTAATTGGTTCAAATAATCAGTTAACATATAAAAACTCTCTATGGCTTTACAATTGTAAATCTAATTAAATAAATGATATTGGTTAGTCAAAAACAGGCAGTAGTTGACTTTAAACTTTGAAACTCCTCACCAGTTAAAAATGACATTCAATTACTCTAAGAATGAATTCCCCTTGTACATGACATGATCATAATAATGAACCAAATGGAAGAACATGATGGATATGAACATTAAAATGTTAGTAGATGATCTACCTTGTTGGTCAACCAGACCTCCAGTCAATATGCGAGAAATGACAGTTTCCCCCTGATCAACTTTAACTGTAATACCCTGCAGTAAAGATAGATGTCAGTAAAAGCAACACTACATAGTTACACACACCCCATGTACATTCCAAACTAAATAAATTGTACACTTTAGAAAATTCACACAACTCTCTGCTCTGAATCATAGGGCAGTTTTTAGAATATTGTGATATGCAAACGCTTATGCAAACTTTCAAAAATAATAAAAAGAATATTTGTAAGGATTGGTTTCCTGGATGATGTTGTAATGTCTTTGGTATGTCATGGTTTGGTATGGGTTTATTTGGTATGATTTGAGTATAGTTTGATTTGATATGGCATGGTTTGATATGCTGTGGTTTGCTTTGGGTATGGTTTGATTAAGTGTATGACATGATATGGTATGGTACTGTTATGGTATGAGTTTGTTTGGTATGAATTAAGTATTGTTTAATTTAGTTTGATTTAGTATCTGACATGATATGGTATGGTGTGGTTAGGTATGGTACTACATCCTTAAACAACCGAGGAAGTGTGAATTTTCTCGTAAGGCACACAAGAGCATACATGACCTTTGCAACAAACCACCATGCTTCGTTCCCTTTTCAATCTGGTGCAAAGGTAAGGTTAATGAAGCGTAATAAAACATATGATAATGCAAATGCAATAAACATTCATGATACATGTTAGTACATGCTTTACCACTACACTTACAAAAGCTCAATAATAAAAGTGAATAAAACATTTGTAAAAGCAATACCAAAAATGTTTTTTATTCCATGTAATACTTTTTTGGTATTACTTTTATCAGAAGTATTAAGATGCATATCTAAAACAGTGTTAATTTGAGAGAACACAAACATTCAACCACTCCTCTGAATGCTGAATATGAGGATCATGGGATTTAATTTCAATATCTGCCAAATAAGGCATGCTGGGATTGAATTGCATCCTCTCTCAATCAACTTGTGTTAATAATGATGTTTATACATTCTAACAGCCCTACATCAGTAGAAGATCCTGCAATTAATGTGAATGATGCAGAAATACAGCCAAGAACACCTGATAAAATGCTATTTAACATTAAAGACCATAAACACACCAATCATTAACAAAATAAAATATAAACAACTAATTCACGAAAGGAAACGTTTATTTTATAAATTGAAACCAAGCAGGTTTTAGATAAAAAAGTCAACATATAAAGTGCCACTAAACATCATCATTTCATCTGCTATTTTTGTTATTGGATTGGTGCAGTAAAAACCAAGGCATTCTATTTGCAAAGATCATAAATATTGCATTAAAAGGTAATAGTTAAGAAAGCATTAAAATGTGTATGCAATATTTACAATCAAGCATAAGCTTAATTAATTTTTCACACAAACATGGCAACCTAAAACAAACAACATAACTACATAGCAATAAAATGGTTGCCTAGCAACAAAAACGAGCTTTGGTGACAGAAGTACCTTGTTGGTCAATCATACTTCCGGCAAGTATCCTGGCAATCACTAAATTATTGTTGTCAATACGAACTGTAATTCCCTAAAAACCGCCACCAAGAAAACAATACTCTTAATTAATTACATTTATGGTACAATATTTTGATTTGCAAAACCAGGAAACCACCTGTATCATAATTGCATTTCTCAATAGGCTTGTGTAATCGCCAATAAATATATTCCCTAATATAACTTTGTATTATAAGTACATAAAATGCATCAAAAATGCATAAATGTTTCAACCTTACAAGCCATCATAACTGAATTTATTTTCACATAAATGTTTGAGGATTTCTAATTTTATTTAAAAAGACTAGAATACTCAAGTCCATCAGACACCTTCGATTTCATTAAAATTTTTGAATTGCAAATTAAGATTAAATTGCAAGAACAACAAATCATAAATGTCCTTATTTGATCTTACCAGGGGTTCATCACCATTCTTGCGTATGCCCACCATCCTGACTGCATCAGTGGCAGGGGCAGCAAACACAGGGGGTGGGGCCTGGGACATTGACATTGTGTTGAAGGATTCATCGTACAAGGACTCTTCATAGTTCTTTGCTGCTATATCATCATGTGTCTCTACCAGAGACTGAAATACAAAGGTTCATTATATTTCAATGCCATATAACTTATCCCCGATTGAGCTATGCCATACACATGACCCAAAAATAGGGAAATATAATCATCATACAACAGTATTACATCATTAATAAGGAGTATCACTAAAATGTGTTCTACAGCTGTGGCATGATTTTGTATGGAACATCAATAGAGTGAAATCTTAGTTTGATACGTGTATGTAATATAATATCAATTAGAATAGAGTTTAGCATGAAATATTTAGAGTTTATGTAACATGAAGTATGCCTGAATTTAATCCATATATTTGGTCAAGAATGAAGGCTTATTTCACATCATAGTAGTATATCTGTACTGCTCACCCTTTACCATTTCTTCCAGAATGTTTTAACAGGTAAAATATAATGGTTCTTGAGTTCATCACTTGTGACAAATTGTAGTGGAGATTAAAAGTTGAATATGATGTCAACATTTTATTTTATGATATTCCATTCACTTACTTTGACATATGTTTTACTTAGAATTGCTTTCAGGTCTGATGCCTTCTTGTTCTTTGAGCTAATTCCATCAATCTCCATGAGGACGTTCTTCACAAGTTCAATTGTGTTTGCACTGACAGGCTCAAGGCTAGCCTCATCAAGGGTGTCATGGACCTGTTTAAATTATAAATGAAAGTTTTACATAAAGTTTCAACAATCATAGTATTTTAACTCAATGAACACATATCAAAATCCCTAATCCCTGCCATTAAAGCTGCACAACACTTTACTTGAAAGGGTTCCATGTTACAGTATAGAATTCCATGGCTGTATTGTAATTTCAGGTAATACCATGCAGTGATTTAGAGGAAAGGGTTCATTTACTTTAGCATTTGTCCAAGGTACATTTTCTTCTAGGCTATGGCACTCAAGGGTGAAATATCCCATGATGTAAAAGGAGGGATCTAATATAAAAGTTCAAAGCATGCCATCTATATAATTATCAGAGATGTCCATAAACCATCATGTTCAAAATATTTCATGAGGGAATGTCACACTGGCAACAACGTAGCTATATTTATCAGATGTATTTGACAGAGCTTGGTATAATACGGCATAAGTCATATCACTAACCTGGACGAGTCCATTCATAACAGGATCATTGAGAACATCACTGAGAAATGACAGGTCCTCGTCTGTAGCCCCAGCAGACTGCAACCTGTGTAGGTTTCTCTTGATGTCCTCAAACGCGGCTAAAACAAATAATATATTGTATTATAGTACCAATATTTGACTGATATTTCCAATACAGGGACATAATTACTTGAATCAATCCTTTTTTTTTTTAAATTATTATTATTATTTATTTCATTGATATAGTTTAAAATACAATTACAATAGCATCCCTAAATCGCCAGAGGGCATTATATAGGAATGGTGAGAGGCTGGGGGTGGCAGGCAGACAGGGTCCCGGACCGGAGCAGGTGTGATAGGACAACAGGATATCAGAGAGAGAGACATGAGGGAGGGAATTAGCTATTGTATATAATGAAGTCAAGCATCAGTGAAATGGCTTTAGAGTTTACATCTATGCTTAAGTTTGGGCTTCCTGTTTTCAAAATGGAGATAAAATCATACTGGGGAAGATTATTATTGAGAGAAGGTTCCAATTCAGAAAGTTTTTCCCAGAGATCCTGTCTTACTAAGGTTAAGCGATTGCACTGGAAAAGAATATGCTTTAAGGTTTGAGAGCTGCCACAAGCACAATTAGGGCTGTCAACAGAGTTAAAATTATGGGCATAAAATTGAGCTTTAAAAAATAAGTCAGCTCTTACTTTATTTACCACTATCTCATGCCGTCTAGAAAGATTGAGTTGACTTGTGGTCAAAATTTTAGAGGGGTTTTGGTGCTTTTTGAAATTATGAAGAGTTTTCTTGGTTTTAATAGAAGGGGGGAGCTCTAGCCATTTTGAGATTGCAGAAGGTATTGCTGAGGATGAAAATCTAGCAGAGCATCTTATGGGCATTTTGAATGGATCAATGTATCTCAAGTTTCTATTCCTAACATTCTTGAGTAATGAAATTTCATATCACACTCTATATGCCATCTGAACATCACATCTGAACTAACCATGAATGTTATATCCCAGACTCTTGATTTAAAAAAAACTAAACAAAGCCTGGTTTTAGGCAGAGGGTAGTATTTGGTAAGCTCAGGGTATTTCTCTAGATTTCATCTTTTATTAATCCTTTACCTTTGCCATATTACTTTTTTGAAAAATGACTGAGGCAAATGTAATATAATACTGTATAAACATATCGCATTGTGTAGAATACAGTATTTTATAATGAATATGTTTAATAGCTTGCGGAATCCATTATTACACAGGAAACTATAGATATCATATTGTTGCATACCAGCATTGTCAGCTAATTAGATTAACCGCCAATATGACAGATCAAACCAGAACAACGGCAACGCCAAAGCGTAGCGAATCCCATCGAACATTTTTCAAAATGGGCACCTTCTACCAAAAGTGTCATTAGACAGTGTGCCATGCTTATAATATTCACATACCAAATATGAACAAAATCGCTCTACTACTTTTCGAGTTATAGTAAAATATGTTAAAATGGTGGCCATTTTGAAAAATGGGCGCCTTCTACCAAAAGTGTCATTAGACAGTGTGCCATGCTTATACGTATTCATATACCAAATATGAACAAAATCGCTCCACTACTTTTCGAGTTATAGTAAAATAAGTTAAAATGGCAGCCATTTTTCAAAATGGCGGCCATTTTGAAAAATGACCGCCTTCTACCAAAAGTGTCATTAGACAGTGTGCCATGCTTATACGTATTCACATACCAAATATGAACAAAATCGCTCCACTACTTTTAGAGTTATAGTAAAACAAGTTAAAATGGCGGCCATTTTTCAAAATGTCCGCCACTTTTCAAAATGGCCACCTTCTACCAAAAGTGTCATTAGACAGTGTGCCATGCTTATAGTATTCACATACCAAATATGAACAAAATCGCTCCACTACTTTTCGAGTTACAGCAAAAATCGTAAAATAACGAGTAAAGGCCGCCATTTTTCAAGATGGCTGCCATGTGCTTTTTTAATATCTACATTTCTAGCTTTATTAATGTCCTATATAACTTTTTTTACATTTAAAACATATTGCTATTACAGTTTTACATATTGCACCTAAATTACTGTAAAATCGGCACTAAAATGGCCGCCATTTTTAAATGAGCGGCCATTTTGAAAATCGGCTTTCGAGCAGAACTTCTACCCCCATAGGGTATATGTGTACAAAATATGAATAAAATCGGGCCAACGGTATTTGAGTTATTGCCCGGACGGACGGACGGACGGACGTACGTACGTACGGACGGACGGACGTACGTACGTACGGACGGACGGAGGCGTTCCCTATATCCCTCCGAACTTCGTTCGATGGGATAATAAAACATAATACAACAATAAAACTGATAAAATATACTCAAAAGCACCTCAGAACAGAAAGCAATGCACTTGATGTGTGTTCAAATCTTGTACAAAGAGACTTGAGATTGTAATAATATCCTTATATGGATAATTGCATATAATGTAACTTTTCAAATGTTCACCATATGCCAAAAATATATTTCAAGTGAGAATTTTGCCAGGATCTCATTCCAAAACTAATATTAGGAGTAGCATGGCTGACAAATGTGGGATTGTCGGCAATAAAGTCAAACAAAGGCAATTAATAGTGCCTATTTACATACTGATTCATTTGGGTTATCTTGACATAAGCAGAAAATCAATAACATTACAGGCTTCATTATACTAAAATAGATAAGAAATAAAAACATGAAGGACAAACTGTATCCTAAATTAATATAATAAAACAATGAATGGGCACCAGACCAAAATACAAATCATTGATTGTGATAATGGGATATAGACTTTCAAATCATTCTGAATTATATAATCCCCCCCTGTCATCGCGAAAAACCATCAGTTCCTTAACAGAATTGAAAGTTTCAAAACAAAGGCCGAAAAAGATTTGAAGAGTATGATAATGTTTCCTGATAGGAGTATGTTAATAGAAAGGACTCTACTTAATGTCTATACTGAATCTTGATCAACTTGGAACACAGTGATCTCTCCAGTATTAGAACAACTGGGCATTACATGCATTCTGTTGAAAATTCAGAAATTCCATGCCATCCTCTTAAAAATCTATTTACGTCCTGTCAGATGGTTGGAAATTACACAGAACAAAGTCAAGCCTTTTCAAGGGTATTTAACAGGAAAATGGACCTAAATAGCATTAATTGAGGAGCATCAAGGGGACCATTAGGCTGCTTTATTAAAGCTTAGACCTATAACATCCAAAGGTCAACTTGAGATTCTTGAATTTACTTGACATGACTGCAAAATTATCTACTGGCAGAATAATAGTTACCTTGATCTAAGATGAATTTTCAACGTCTAGGACGCAGAGGAATAAATGGGAGCATTTATACACTCCTTGATTAAGTCATAAATGTCTTCATTTGAATGCAACTTGCGTATGTAATACATGATGTACTACGCTTATCCAGACAGAGTCAATATTTCAGCCAATGCTCCTGTCAATCTATTGAGAAATTGCAGCTCTCAAAATCATTCTTGAGCCGAAACTTGAGTCAGACTCATATCATTAAAAAAAAATCACAATTAAAACACAAATTCAATTTCACATCTCGCATTTATGATTTTTTCATAAATGCAACATAATGTGTAAATCTGGGAAAATTTTGAAATGCATCTGATAGATTTACAAACTGCCAATGCCAGATGCTGAACTTGATAGATAACCATGCGTTACAAGGGACGGTTGAAAAGGCCCAAGCAATAGGCTCGATAATTATACAAATAAATCAAGTGAATCACCAATTATCGAAAGCTGATGTACAGTAACACTTTATGGCGAACCAACGTAATATAACACTTAAGACAATAATACATAGTAAATTATATATGGTATACAATATTCCTGTTCATTTTCTTGGAATCATATATAATATATAAGATGTTGCCATAGCAACAAATAGTGTCTCATCTGGAAATATCAAGCCATAACACCTAGCCTTTACATTTAGATGAGGCGTATAATATGTAATATGACTACTATAATTTCAGAGTTGTGTTAAACAGGCCCTTGCTTTTCAAACTATGACATTATCAAATCAGAAAATGTTGCTTGCAAGATGTAACACATGTAATGAATACAATTTACAAATATAGTGAAACAAGTAAACACTAGATCTATTTTTCTCATTACATTATAATTTAAACACGTTAAACAGGTAAGTCAGGTTTAACGATGCCCTGGCATGGTTTGGGAACAAAGGAGCCCTTGGAATCCCAGGTGTTTTAACATCTTATCTACATTGTGGGGGTTTGATGCGACTCTGTTAAAAGTTACAAGAATTATAGAATTGTGCCTTGTCTGGCATTTTATTCAATGTATTTCCCATGAAAGACAACAATGGTTCAGTATGAGCAATTTATCAATATGTCTACTATGAATAAATACATGTGTTGTGTGTACTGTATATTTTACATACCTATCCCAGAATCATCCTCTGCAGCCACAGGCATTCTGTTGCTTGGCATGAAAACTTGATCAACTCTGCTCTATCTGCAAGAAAAAACAAACCATTCATCATAAAACATGAAACACGACATATATAGCATGACGATTCCAGCACATTAAGGCCTGTATTGTCATGTTCAATTATTCAACATCCTTTTATAAAACATATTTCATTGATGTAAATCATAATTAAAAAGTCAACAACATAATACCGATTATAATATTGGTTAACCTAGAAGTACCCTGATGTTAAATCATTTATACAAAAGAGCCTCTGACTATCACAGGGTGTGATCACTTTTATAAAACACAAATCATTTATATACAAAAGCCTCTGACTATCACAGGGCAGGGAAATGAAAACAAATCTCAACAAACATGAATGTAAAGTTATTTGTTGGATTGGACATGCACAACTTAAGAGGGGAGACAAAGCCTGGCTATTGGGAAGGGTATATTTAAAGCTATCCTTGGATTCAGAGAAAACCAAAGATCAGATTTAAATTTTGCATTAACAGAAAAACACAACATTAACTGAAATTATATGAAAAACTTGCAAAAATGCCTTATCTTTTATAGGCACATACCAAAAATATAAAAAATTGTTGCAGTCAAAATACTTAGACTTTTAACGCTTGACCCTGAAATATGACCTTCATCTTAATAACCTCACCATATTTTCATAATTTGAACATTTCACATATTTCTAATGCAGTTTCAAGTAAGTTAACATAATTTAGCTATTTGATAATATTTAATAGAAATGTCAAAATGGCAAAATAAAATTGAAACCCTAAATGACATCTTTATATTTTTATATAAAATAATCAGATTATAAAATGACAAGAAGTCTATCCGAAGTAGATTGTGTGGGCCGTTAAAATTTTGAAGAACTCGACAACTGAGAGATATAAGGTGAATGATACTCGTTCTCTTGTGTTTACCAACAAAGATAACAGTTATTTGAAATTGTTGATTTAACAGTTACTCATTATTAGATTGACTATGTGTGTATATACTTGTAGGTAATGTTTAGTAACGCTTCACATTTATCTCTTGTTTTATCTTGAAAAATATTTTATATATAGTACATGAATATATTTTGTAGATTTAGTCTACTTCTATTTCCTGATTTACCTTATGCCCACAGCTGTTCTAAATCAGCATACTTCTCATATTCTCACAACTTTTTTCAAAATGTTACTGATAAAAATATAATAAATGAGATCATATCTGATTCTTAATATACTGGCAGCTTAAGGTGCAGAGATGGCAAGTAACTGTTTACTTCGTTAACCATCTAAACTTACTAAAACAGAAAAATCGAGATTGATTTATAAATACACTTATAGGTAACTCACTGATTAATTATATTTCCATGATTGTTAATTATATTGTTATAATTAATAAATTAGCCTGCAACATTTATTCCTCATTTCTGCATATGTAACCTTACTTACAATTAACAATTAGCATTGCTAGTTTGCGATGAAATCATCTCAGTCTTGTACATCTAATCTATTTCATGCCTCAATGACAGGATACAGTAATAGGCAGGAAATGGTTATGAGAGTGATGTATCACTTAATATAACATAGACATTATAATATACATTAGGACACTCATCAGTTTCATTGCTTCTATGTAGGTGAATGCCATAAAGTATTTAATGAACACTCTCCCTAGTTTTCTGCTAGTTAAAATGCTGAATTCTGCAAGTGAAATTAGTGAATTCTGCAAGGGCAACAGGCCAATTCTGCGGGATTTCTTGGCATTTCTTATTGAGAATTAAGACAGGAAAATGGAATTCTAGAGGGAGTGAATGAAGAACACCTCTCTGCGGTGATCACTTCTATAAACTGAATGTACACTATATGAAGTCAATATTTGTCAAATTACACACCTTGTCAAAACACCTCTAAAATGAACCCATATAGTATTTCTACAGTAAACACCACTGCAAGCGAACACTTCCATAAAATGAACACAATAGTACCAATGTCATGATATCATGGCTCAATGAGGGGCCTACTATATGTGTATGAAAACAATATATCGTATGGAGAAGCCCCTCACAGTCATGATACAAGGATAAATGTGAACAGCCCACAGTATCATCCTTCAAGATCGGTCCTTCATTGCTTTCATAGCAGATCATGTAATGCAATGAATTACTCTTGGGCCAAGGATGCACAGTATGATCTGGGTATTGACACTATCTAGTACAACATCTTGATCCATCGAGGTTCAACTTACCGTATTTGCCGTAGTAGGCGCCCGGGCGCTTAAAGTAAGTCAAAACAGTTCAAAAAGTTGTCCTTACTAGCGCCCATATGAGTCCCACCTGAGAAAAGATGCCGGAGTTTCACTTTCACTGACTTATACCTGCTGAATTTTTTTCTCAGCCTCGTTTTGGAATTACATGTCGGGACCCTATTATCGCCCACTTGTTTTCTTACGTTTGACCACAATCAGAGCTGTCAAGTGTCCCGCGAATGGCGGGATTATCCCGCGAATTTGATCAAAATTAGGCTTATTCGCGTGTCCCGCAATGTCCCGCGAAGTCCCACAAATGTGGTTTTGACCTCCGCGAATTTCCGAAATTGTTGCAATCCCCTATATTGCGATTATCTTATCTTATATAAGAAGCCAAGTTTTTGCATTTTTGAGGAGTAAAGTTTACCTAATTTTAAGTACCTAGCATGCTGTTGTTTGGTATCAAAATAAAGAGGAAGGGTTCAACTTTCATTTTAATTACGAAAATAGGGATGTAGGTCAAAAATAAGAGAGTTACAATAAATGGACGCTGATATCTAGAAAGGGTTTGTAGAAAAACCGGGTACCGGGTAGTAAATCCTCCATGCTGGGTTCAAACTTGGTACCCGGTACCCGGTCAAAAAACGGGTACCCAAAAAACGAAAAATACGAATATATAACATAATTAGATTATGAGAAAACGTGTAAGATTTGTTTTGAATTCACAAAAATGTATGTATCCTTCAAAATTGAGCTAGAAGCTTCAAATAAAAAGCAAATTTAAGGCTCTTTTCTTCCTCCCCCCCCCCTTCATTACCAATGGAAATATGACCATGGTGATAGAGGACGAAAAGAGCCTTAAAATGCTTTTTCTTTGAAGCTTCTAGCTCAATTTTGAAGGAAGTTACATACATTTTTGTAAATTCAAAACAAAACTTACACGTTTTCTAATGATCTAATTATGTTGTATATTCGTATATTTCGTCGACCGGGTACCAAGTTTGAACCCAGCATGGACGATTTACTACCCGGTACCCGGTTTTTTCTACAAACCCTATCTAGAAAAGTAACCCCATTCCCTATAATTTGATGTAGATTAATCGAACCCCTATATCATGGGCTTTCAATTGAAAGAAAATGCCTACAGTATATGAATAGGTACATTTTAATATATAACATTATGGGGGTAAGCGTTTCATAGTTGTTCACGACGCCAGAAATGCAAAGTATTGTTCCGAATTTTTGAATTTCGTGTTAGATTACGGTACTCACACCTGAAGCATGGTTTTTGCTTTTGAAAAATTACAATAAAGTTTAATACTATTCCTATACGTATTTTGTGAAATTGTGTTGACGTTTATTTAAGTTACAATACAACGGTGCATTGTATTTGATTAATCAGTATTTAAAAGTTTGATTTAAGTACTTTTACACGCTTTTACATTAGTCCCAATCACGCAAATCCTTGAATGTCCCGGGACATCCTGCAAATTTAGGTAAATGTCCCGCGAAATCCCGCAAATTTAGGGCACTTTGTCTAAAAAATCTGTCCCTCTATCAAGTTTTTGGCGTTAAACCTGTTAACTATCTCGCAATTAGGGTGTTTGTCCCTCGAATGGTCCCGTGAAATCCCGCGAATTTGAGAAAAAAAGTTGGCCTATTAGCGCAATCACGCAAATCCCTTAAATGTCCCGCGAAATCCCGCGAATTTAGTAGATGTCCCGCAAAATCCCGCGAATTTTGGGCACTGGGTCTAAAAAATCTGTCCCGCGAGAAAATCTTTAGGGGTTGACAGTACTGCACAATGATCGTTGATTCTTCAACCAGGGACTCACCCTCGGGCCTCCAAAAGTCTGGGTGGGCGCTAATAGGAACATGGGCGCCAATTACGGCAAATACGGTAAATGAATTGACTCATTGGTAGGAAAATATGCACTATGGTTGGAGATAAACAAGACATTAATCAAGATGATAATTACATGTCATTGGAAAATACATCTTCCCAGAAGGCTTTGATCTCCAAAGTACTAGGTGTAGCAAAATCTGTGAGGGAGTTTGGAATATGCAATTTCATATGAAAATACAATACTTTAACTTGTTCAAAGTATATCATTAACAAAAGTAAACTTAAGAATGTGTCATGAATACAGATAGCATACCAGAAATTAATGAGTCATCTTATGATCTCATGACTACATAGTTAAGGAAAGGATTAATTTGATTGGATTCAAAGTCTGGTGCTGAATAGAAAATGTATACTTTATCCCACTGGCAGATCCACCCAGGGGGGGCCCTTTTTTGGGCCTCAAAATTTCAAAATTTGGCGCGAGCACGGCAGTTGTTTTCTCTGACTTGAACTTTGGCTGCCCCCTTGTTGGTTCCCAGATCCTCCCCTGAATCCAATTGATGCAATGTGAGACTGTTCAGGCAACTTATAAGACAAAATAGTTTCTTGTACAAGGCATTAACATATAAAATATTACCACCTAATATTTGTTACAGATGCCTAACTCCGAAATCCTACCGCAAGATGCCCACAAAACTAAACCAAATAAACCTTAACCAATGATATCATAATCATGAAATTTCAATGACGAAATGTCACTCTCAATATTTGAACATATTTCCAAACACGACCCCCATCCCCAGGGCTGAGTCGTGTATCATTTAAATGTTTGAACTTCTATCACAACAATGAAATGAAAGTAAATTATGAGGGATGTCGACCATAACATGCTTTTCATGATGGAAAGGATTATTAAGTAATGTATTTTGCGATGAGATGTACCAATTCAGTTTGTGTCAGAGTTTATTAAAAATCTGTCAGACAATGGAGTAAGCATCATGGGAAGTCAACCTACCCCATCAAAAAAATACTTTCCCTGAAATGATTGCTTGATATTCTTCTGATCTGCTCTTCTCCCCCTTTTTATAGGGATTGGTTTCAATATTATGTAAAGGAGCAGGTAATGGTAATTTTCTCTTGTTCTTTTTTACCAAAGTTGCCTGTTTTAAGGAATTTTGCTGGTTATCACAAATTCTGATAAATCTCCTGAGACATAATGAATTCCTACTCATATAATTCAATCATCATAGATCTTTATCTCCACAGTTTAAATCAGGAGTTCTAATCTACGATATTCTATAAAGTACTCTCTGGTTCTGATGCTTTACCCAATTGGCCAATTTATTTCCCAAGATGATTGCGTGTATTGATACTATACTATCTCCTTCATTCACGCTGATTCACCCCATTACCCAAATATCACATGTTACAAAAACATTCATTAGTTTAAAGTGATGGTTTTCCCCAACCAAAATACTTTCGAGGTTAAGTAACCCCTTCACTCTAAATAAATAGAAGTGAAATGTCTCATCTTTAATTTTTCATTTTTGAGAAAATAAATTTGTAAAAACTTGATGACTTAACCAAGCTATACTGAGTTTCTGTTTACTCAATTTTCTTCATTAATATCCCATTTTTACTCTATTACAGACATCATCGTGTGCTTATTAGATTTTTGTGCTTGTTAGGTTACTTAGTTACTGAAAATAGCTTATGCTGGTAATAAGTGATGCAGTCCAAAAGCCAACAGTCAATAACAAGGTTCGTTGCAATAGGGAAAGAATGCAACTGATTTCTTTAGACATGAAGAATGTTGAATTTTGAGATATTCGAATGGAAGTAAAATCAACATTTTTAGACCATGTTAATTAAATGGGCTAGGGTTAAACCAAAATGAAATAACAAATGTTTTTTCTAAACTGATACAAGATAGACATATTATCCTCTCCACATAAAGGTAAGGGAATTCTCAATAAATACAAGATTTCGGCAACCAAAATTTTAATTTCCCATCTAATATGCAATCAGACTAATATATACAGTACAGTGCAAATTGCTGCATACTTGGTATATATGAACTGCACCACTAATATGAGATACTTATTTGAGATACCATTACTAATACTAAATCTTTGGGATAACCTTAGACATATTTAACAAGAAAACAGGGATCATCTTTCTCAGAATAAGATTCAAATTTTGTCACAATATTTTTAATACTGCTCTGTTTGGTCCTTTTATAGCCAATAAAAACCAAATGCTGGTTAGGAAACATTAATGACATCACAGATTTATATGGAATCAACAGTCATATATGTGACATTGACATTGCTTGTATGTTTAGTTGCTGATGGGGCACTATGTGACTGATGTCTTAGTTGATGTGATACGTCATATCTTCGAATCACAATCATAGTATATGATGACTTGATAGTCGCCCTGATGGGGCCCCCTTGATGAATATCCTAGATGCGAGTAGAAATAATCTAGATATACGTCATTAAAAATTCACAATTCAGTCAAATTGATGTCATATTTGGAATCTACATGTAAAATTAAATCAAGAAATGTGGTTTTGAAAAGAGTTTATCAACTTATCAAATTAAATTTTCTTTGAAAATGTGACTTCTAGGTCAGGGAGATTCCCCATAGACCCCATGTTGTAAAACCACAAAAAGTGAGATATCTTTTCTTGTGTTGGGCAGATAATATTTTCTTTTACTGGACATATTTTCATCTGTATAACTATCACATACATAAGGGTAATATGAAAAGTGAACCACTAAAACTGATGAATATTCAAGTTGAAGGGGATTTTTTAATACCCTGTTATTTCCCCCGAATCAGCCGCCTGGTGGCGGAACTGGTAACTACTTACTTGCATCTGAGTAATTGAATTGTCATATAAGATAATAAAGGCGGGGCTCAAGGAAGCAGAAGTCACGTGAATGATGCAAACCCAATCCATAGTACGAAAAGATCTGCCCACTTTGTGGGAGGCTTCATAAAAAAAGTTTACTGATGAATAAACACAAGGAGCACATGCATCTCGAACTCGCAACCTCATGGTTACGGCGTCAAATCACCTGACTCAAATGTGCCGGCGCTCAAGCCCTCTCTGCCAACCCCAAAAAGGTTGCTTTGTCAGTCAATCTGACTAGAGGCAGCTGAGATAGAACCAATGCTGAGCCCGATAATTTCGACTTGATGCAATTCAATCTCAAAACCCCATCTAAGAGTGAAAACTCACTTGTGATAGGGAATCTAATAGAAATTTACAACTACTACTTCTAAACAAATTTTTCGAAGATAAAATAATCATAATTTGGAAATATGGTTGGAAAATATTGAAATTCCACAGGTGCCAAAACACCCGGAAGCGACATCTTTGAAATTATTTCAAAATTTTGAACAAGTTCACCTCGATTTCTCTGCAATCCAAACACCGATTACAATATTCTTTGCATATTAATACTTCACAAGTAGTAACATTTACCATGCAACCACATATCATATCAATGTAGGTTGATTTAAAAGAATAATTAAGGTAAAACTCACCTGAAAATTGACGCTTTTTGAAAACAGGTCAATCTTTACTACCATGACAAGAAATAACATATCTATGATATTTCAAATATACTTGGATATTATCATTGTTTTATCCACAACAATATAAAATTATAAATCACTTAATTATACCTATGTTTTAGCTATGAAAATCTGTATAATATTGCTCAAATTAGGAATCAAAATAAACTATAGCTTCTTGTCATAGTGAAAAATGTGGGGACCTGTCACTGTTTCACTTTCGTTTTCTGGTTCAATATTTATGGCTGGGTCGGGGACCTGTCATCCGTTTTACTTTCGTTTCATCCTTAGTTTTTGTGTGTATCATTTTGGTTGTATATCAGTTTCATTTTCATTTGAGGGATGGATCTAAAGCAATTATATTTTTTATGATACACCCCAATATGCATTATCACGGTACCCTATGGTACATTTTAAGAGTATGGTACCATATGGTACCATTTGAGTATAGTGCAGTACAGTGTTAACAGTACCATTTGGTACCGTTTAAGTGTACAGTATCATATTTCATGGTACCATACAGTACCCACTGACGGATCTAGGTAAAGGGGGAGGGGGGCCCTGGGCTACCCCCCCCCAGATTGAAATTGAAATTTTGGCCCCCACTTGTTGGTTCCCAATTGGATGATAACACCAATATTGTTAATTTATATCAATGGATTTTCTTTGTATAATTTACAATTATTTGATTTCCCAGCTGTCCCATTGGACAATTGTTTCAACATATACAGATAAAATGGATTGAAAGCACAAAGAGTAATGATTAAAAATGCTAAATAATCATTAACAATTGGTGTATTGATGAGGATAATGAAACCGTTCATTTTTAAGGTTTTTCTGTAACCATTGCATGGAGAAGTTAAAAATCATATATAATACTACCTACCACCTTGTAATCAAAACCTCTGCCTGGAAATCACACATGTTATTAACTGTGTCTTGGGAAATGATTAGAATGTGCCAATCACCTTAATCAACTTTTGAGAAAATGAAAGGTTTTTGAATGCTGGTTCAACTGTGTTGTTCAAACACATTAATTTAGGTGACATTTTCATCCTGGACTAGAGTGTCAGTCCACTAATAGGTTATGTAAGTCTATATTCCGTAACCTCAAACATAAGAAGTACATCACAGCATTGATTCAACAGCAAATTAGATAAATATATACAAAGTACTTTTTTATTTATTAAGGATAATATACTCAACTGGGGTTGTGGGAAAAATAGAAGCAAATCATTGTATGCATTGAGGCCTTTAGAGGTTATTCGCAGGAATAGAGTCTTTTTAATGGGTTCACCAAGATGAATGATAACACAGCCAGGAAAACCTGTGTAATCCAAATGCTAAGTGTTCAGATTGACAGGTGTCCACATTTCAACGTTTTTTAACATGAGTCTATGGCAGTTCACATTGAGAGGTGTTCAAGTAAGACAGGTGTTCGGATCTAAACAGGTTTTACTGGACTTCCATCTGATTGAAGGTGTGATGAACATAACATAAAACATGTTTATTATATTTTTTATAATATTTTGTATAAATATTTTATTCAGAAATATTCTTGCACATTGCAGTGAGAGTTATTTGTATCACTCAGCAACGTAAAGACATTAGCCATTACTGGATATAAAACTGTCAACTAAAATGAAATTGTCACAGTTTACAATCCATTCGAAAGGTTGATCATTTTCATGTTTCTCTTTAAATCCAGTTTGGAACAACTGTCAATCGAAGTGTTTCTTTAATGATTACAGTTATTTTCTACCATTCATACAATATTCACCATTAGTTTCAGCTTTTCATACGGTAGATTGTTTTAGGTTTGAGTGGATTTAGAATGAATATTTTACACAAAATCTGAAACTGACTTTCCTGAAATCATGAATATGATCAACTTTTGGAAGGTACAACATGAACAAGCTTAGTTTGTATAGACGTTATGAGGATATAGTGATATAAAATATGTGATAACATTTGGGAGTGATTTTTTGATTTCCCTTTCTGTGCAGAAAAAAACATCTTGTAGAAATTCGCAATATCAATTTTATTCACCATAGGATAAACATGTTCAATATATTTGCAATAACGTTTCACAATGCTACATTTTTTAACTAACTGAAGTGAATAAAAATGATATCCCTAAGAAATCATACAATAATCAAATTGTGGAATACAATATGGTACACATGAACTTTTCTGCAAGGGAGGGAAATGAAATTGCATTTTTGACAGTGAGTTATATTAACATTATATTTGATTGCGCCACTGTAAGTTGCCTTACAGTATATTCATGATTGTTGAACACAAAGTCACACTGGGTATTCTCATTATTCAAAACGACACATTTCTCATATTACCCTATAATTTCACATGCAGCGACAACATTAACAGCTGACAAAATATAAAATAAAATGAAAGAATTGTTGATGTAACAAAAAATATTTAATGGCCACACAAATATAGCAACATCAATATTACAATGGATATGGGTACATGTTTCTCTTGTTTTCCTAAGATGCCATATGTACTTATATGTTGTATATGCGTGACACTTGGCAAAATCAACTTGCAAATGTTGAAAATGAATGTATGTAGATAATGATGCAAAATATTTGATAACCACATTACACATACTGTACAACTGCACAGCTGTTGAATGTATTGTACAGCAGTTGAATGTACTCTAAATCAATTATGAGTTTACAAGCATCCCATGTTTTCATATCAAACTATAGTACCATTTATAAAACACATATACCAAAGGAAAGCATCACATAAAGACAAAAATTAAGAGACTGAAAAATCTATGTAACATTCAGCTGAAAAGCAACTAGACGAACCTCAAGGTCAATCTTGAAATAATTTTCCATAAAAATTCTTCTAATAATCAAAACAAACAAGGCACATACAGGCATTAATGGAAAAGCACCCTAAATAGACAGATAATGCACCCAAATAATAAATGGTGCACATTTCAAGAAATCTAACACATTGCACCATATACATGTATATGTTGTATACCAAAATATTGTGTTTGAACTCAGTCCATTTTAATGTTAATCTTTGCTTCTGAATGTACAATGCTACATACCCATGTATAAATTCAACTACTATGTATGTGTATAAATCCTTATAAAATGCTAACTTTGTGTCAAATCTTTCATTGAAGTTACACTTATTTTCAATATGTATATTATACTACAGCATTTATATATATGTATATACATATTATTGCATCTAAACTGTTTCATCTACTAAATGTATACATTATATATTAAATATCTCTATTTGTGATTCTACATGCCTATTGTTACCATGGTAACACAATGAATATCAGAGACCCATTATTATTGATTGAAATTAAATGCACAATTCAACTTCCTCATTCATAAAATAGGAATAACTGGGTAAACAATTTTGTTATCAAACTTCATTAAATTATGACTTCTGATAACAGTTCCTGAACAACATGAAGGTCAACTTTGAAACTCATATATTTGAAACTCATATATTTCAGGAATTTCTTGAACAACTTACACCAGTCATTATCACCCATACAGAAAGAGATACATTTTATAAATACATAATAAAGTTAATATTAACAAATATATCAACCTAGGATTTTATTGATTAAGGCTTAGATTTTCAGGTTATAAAGACAGAAAACAAATGCAAGTGTTAATCGAAAAATATCGTCATGGATACCTCACATTCACAATAGATAATATAAGGGATGACCTGAGAAATCAAACACCAGGATGATGATACATAATAGTTTCCCATATTCTTCTTAGACCTCATACAATGCAAGGTGTACACATATTTCATTTTCTGCTTTATATATTCTTAAAACATTACAAAATAGAGTTAATATCCACATATTTTCATATTAAGTAGTCGTATGATAATGTATTTTGAAGAAATTTTCAAACTGCAATGGCAGTTCCCATGGTGATGCATTAACCAATCAACAAGGAGACATTATAGCAAGAGACACTGTCACATAATTGTACCAATATATCCTTATTTGGTAAAAAATTACAAGTGCTTTACCATATACGGAGTCAAATATCGATTTGTTCTTACTGATTGTAACTGTTCTGCATTTACACGATCTTTGACAAGAAAACATCAAAATGACTTCATCGAGCTGACAGTACATAGAAATTGCACTGGTACATTTACTAGAGCTAGAACATATGCATGAACACAACTTGGTTACCATATAACTCCATGCAGAGACATGTACAGTAAGTTCCTAACTTGGCAAAATTGAGACTTCATATGAGCATACATTGAAATAAATGCACACATTTGCACACATCTAAGACAGTTAAAATTCAAATCTCTTTGCATATTATGAGCCCTACAGATACCCAGCTATCTCTTGGTTTCTTTCTACTCGTATACTGCCATTATTAAGTATGGAATGTAATATATATACATAGCTATTTCTATTACACGTTCCTATCATGATTTTCCTATAAATGGAAATTTCTTCTTCTTTGTTTCTACCTTGCCCTTTTTCTCCAACTTCTCCCTGGCTTTCTGTTCTTTTTCCTTCAATTTTCTATCTTTGTCAACTTGTTTTTTAAGTTCTGTTATTTTCTTTTTGATAAATGTTTTGTCATTGCTGTTGGATACGCCAATCTCCTGAAACGAGAAAATGCATCATTAAGTTTGGAAATTATTTGTGTATTTATTATTTTCAAAACAGACTTTTAGCCGAGTATAGGGCATGGAAAAAAAGATGTCACCACTGAAAAACTCATGGAAAATAAAAATGCCTATAAGGGCACTCATGGTAATCATGAATATACAATTTTCTCTTCAATTTGTTTTTCTAAAAATCATTAAAACACTGAAATTCATTAAAGTGGATAAAATAACATACATACTCAACATTTGAGTTAATGCTTACATTTCAACATTTTGTCTTCAATAAAGCAATGGAGAATATGTTTAAACCACTGTAATATATAAACTGTGCAAAATATGAAATGTACTAAACATATACAGTACCTTTAACCTTGTTCCATCTATCTGCAACAACTGCACCCCATTGATGTCAGTAGCTAGGAAATCTGGGACGTATTTGTCCATATCTATAGCACTGAGCCATTGGCAGACCTGTTCCTTGGTCCAGTCTGATACACCTCCTTCAGCTTCCATCTGGGATTGCCAGCTAGTGTCGTCTTTACTGCGTTTTGATGAGGTCTCCTGTAACACATAATAGATGTTGTCATATTTCCATTGATTGAATGCCAATTTTGGATTCTGAATGATTACATTGATTAAGGTGGACTAATATGAGATAAAGATGTTTCCTGCCTTGTCTTTTCACTTGGCAAGTATCCCAAGCTAGATTTGTATTTTGACAGTTTTTCCTAAAATATAAATCAGTGGAGTAGAAACTAAGACTAGATTCACTTTTGATTAGAAAAAGAGCTGAAGAGAAACTCTGAATCCAGCTATTTTCTCCAAAAATCTGGTCTAGAATACAAAGGAAATGGTTCCAAAGATCTGTTCATCCATCCATATACTTGGCTTGCTGGTTGGACTGATTTGTGATGTGGCCTACATATTGTATTCAACATTATTGTGGGACTGTATTTTCCCCTTCTCTGTTTATTCCTTATTCATTCTCAAAAAAGGTTGACTAGAATATTGGAATCCTAAAAAATCAAAATTACTTTTTAATAGGTATATATTTATCAATGGTAGCCTGTCTATTATAAGTGGTTGTTAATAACTCGTAACAATTATGACCATGTTAGTACAAAGTTCATTTTAATAATTTATATAATATATAACATGTTATGTTCACACACACAGTAAGTAAGACAGTGGTCACAGCTAAAGCTTTATTGTAAATTGTTCAAATAACATTAATGAATTTCTTCCAAAAATCCAGGGAATACATACATTCAGCCATCATTTTTCTGGGAAGGAAAGGCCTGTACTAGAGGTGTCAAGTATTAACCGGTTAACCGGTTAACCGCCGATAATGCCTTGACCGGTCTGAGTTTTTATGGGCGGTTAGTTGACCGTGTATACTTCTGTTATTTCCCGCGCTTATTTTGCATTCTAATCCGTTTGGTTTTATGGTGTCAGTTTCATGTGAGCTACTCATACATGTCATAAGTCCCATAACTCCTTACAAACATCCAATCAGCAACTTTAATCCCTGCCACATTGCTTTCCCGCGCTTACTTTGCATTTTAATCTGTTTGTTTTTCAAGCGTCAGTTTCATGTGAGCTACTCATACATGTGATAGGTCCGATAATTCCTTACAAACATCCAATCAGCAACTTTAATCCCTGCCACATTGCTTTCCCGCTCTTACTTACATAGAATAGCGTAAAGCTTGACGAACGTAAAAAATAAACGCCGATATATCATTTTTCCAATTTTTTCAACTTTCAAGATCGAAGATGAAGATTTCATTTGAAATTATAAGTTCAAATTTCCCGCCGGTTAACCGACTTTAACCGGTAAAAACCCCCGGTTAACCGGTTAATGCTCAAGCGGTTAATTGACACCACTAGCCTGTACACCCTTAGTAAATTTATTGCTCAGTTCCATGGTTTTCCCAAAGTCAGAATCCCAAAACAATATCAACTCTGAAGTACCCTTAAGAAATAGGTATTGCTATTCTGAAGAGAATTTAGAAAGGCACAACTTGAAGATCTTTTAAAAACATGTGCAAAAATTAAATGATAAAGAACATAGTTCATGTAAGGTAAAAAGAATGTATTTTAACAGGTATGAAAAATGGTACAAGTCTGGGTTTTGATGGCTTGATGGTGACTTTTTATGATAGCTTCAGTGTAAATTGTTCACAGTTCACAAATGAATTTCCTCGAAAAGGCCAGAACATCCCCTTCCAAACAGAATTTCTGAGAAGATGATTGATTATGGCAAAAAACAACCAATGGTCTTGTCTATGATGAATACACCTTCAAATTACTGGTACAGTAACTTAAAACAAGAAATAGGAAGTTGAATTCTTAGAATCCTGTTGTTCTTAGCTTAAAGTACTGTAGAGTGATATATGTTTATCCAGAGAACTATATATAAACAACTTAGATAGGATATCACCATGGTTAGTTTAGGTTCAGAGAAGACAATGTCACTTGGAATTTACTTTACAGCTGCAATTGCCATCCAGAGTGTTTTTATACATGGATCGGCAGCAGATTTCCCTGCAAGTTACATTGAGGATTTTATCCCAGAGGACTTTGTGGATGAATATATTGACATAGGTGGGAGGAATAAACGCTCTGTAGTTTTCTCAGGGGTGGAACCAGAGGGGTTAGAGGTACTGAACCGACTGAATAATATCATGAACAATGCTAGTATCAGTGCTGAAAGTAAACAGAAATTGGAGGTGGCACTTAGCAATATTGGCAAGGGGGGATCTGACAGTGGAGACAGTGGAAGCAGTCGGACCCTGGGCAAAGCTGGAGTCCATAGAAGGTAATAGTGACATTGATTCATGTTGAACATTCAATACAAAATAATGTACTTTCTTTATAGTTGTAAGGGGTCAGCACTCATTACTGAACTTTGTTAAAATATGTAATTCTCATGTTAAGGATAGAGTTAAAAGGTCATTTTGAGAGAATTGATTTCTAGAATTCCTGGAGTTCATCAACAATCAGTAGTGAAGGTAAAAAAAGTCAATTACTTTTGAATCTTGGACTAGACCACACAGGGAGTTCTAAAGACTCAACAATAATTAAGATATTTGTGGGATCTTTATTTGTAAATTGCCAAGGCGAGGAGCTCTGAAATACTTAAGATCCTTTCTTCCTGAAGGTAAAATTTGGGCCTATTTTATGAATATGTTGGCTCATTTAAAAAAGAAACTGAGGGCTATTTACTCAAATAGGTCAATTAAAAGTTTGAGATCGTCCAATGTTAATTATTACATGGTAAATGAGAATGATTTGAACATTCATATTCCTAATTCATTAATGCATAAAAATTCTCTTGTAGGATTGGTTCCGGTTGGTCAGTAAGGTTAAGGCCACTTCCAACCTTCCGTCCTCAATTACATGCCACACAGTGTTGTTGCAAGGTGAATGTCCCACCTCTAACATCACAAAGGTCTAGGGTGGTGACTCGATACAGAACAGCATACAGACAAGTCAGGACTAGATTAAGCCTTTTTATATGTCTACTGCTTAGATCATGTTCGAGCACTGAACAATATCAGGTGTCTTACCACCAGACAGTCTACTATACACATTACACTCCTAGACCTTGCCCCAAGGTTCAAGAAGTTTGCTGCAGGGGTTATGTATCATATAAGCGCTGCTGTACAAATATTCGTGAAATGAAACGTCTGTTGGATATCTTTGAAAATGAGCGTGACAAGTTTGAGAGTTTACGAGAATTCCTAATTTCCCAAGGTCACAATCCCGATGCCGGGTGCCCAAAATCTTGTGGACCATAGATACTTTATATACTGCAGCTCAACATGACAAGTTATATATAAAAACATACATTTCTGATAACACCATTACAAATAGAAACTTGATAGTGAGGTTCCGCATAGCATCTATGGCCAAACATCTACATCCATATTTCGATACTTTAACACAACATACATATTCATGATCTTTTTTATTTCACCATGTGTTTCATTTGAGTACACATACTGATAGTCTGAGCTATATGGAATTGAATGGACTTATGACAAAACTGGATTTGTAATGACCAACATAGACACGATAGAGGAGCCTCATTCCTGTGTTTGTCATATTGCTGGATGTGTCATTTGCACTGGTTGTGCATGAAGAAGTAATATAACAGGCAGTGCAATATACTGGGCCAAAAATGTTATGCAGCAGCAAAGGCTCTCTAAAATATTTTTAGATACACTTTCAGAAGGAATTCTGTTGTCATGAAGTATAAATGAAAGCTGAATCCTTATATCAACAATATTCAAAATTGTGTAAAGGTGCCACACTTAATAAAAGTCATTAAATGCTGTTTTTAAATTCAGGTTCAAAGGTGATTTTGTTAATGTAAACCTCCTAAATTTTTATGATCTTAATTCAAATCTAGAAAGTTCTTAATCGTACATGTAGAGTGTACCTGTATTTGACTAATAATATATTTTTCAATAAAAAAACTAAGATTAAAACTTATTTCAAGGAGCTTTTGACCACTGTGAATACTCTATCAGATATCATCATGCAACACTTAATACAACACAAAACAGTGTAATTACAACATAAAACAGTGAAATCACAACACAAAACAGTGAAAATACAAAACAAAACAATGAAAGTAAACACGATATAAATTCAGTGCAAGTTATTAGTTACAAAAAGATGGAGAAAGAAATGAGGTGAAGCTTTTATAACTATAAATATAAAATATAAAACCTTTTAGAACTTTTATGAGAAAACAAAAAATAAGTTAGACACTAAAAAAATATGAATCCAACACCCGAAAAAATGTTATGAAATATTAGTCATATTAAATTCAATTTGTCTATTCTAGGTTTTATATTATATATAATGTTATATTAATGTTTAGTAAATATCTAAGTTATACATATTTTATTAAATCTGCAATTTAGTAATGATGTTTTGTTTAGTGAAGGAGTCTCAACAGAATGCAATAGAAACTAGTACACCACCCAAAGATAGTTTGTACAATGCCAGTCTTGCAAAAATATGTTTCTTACTCCTCATAGTGTGACTGCCATTGTCAAATTCATACAAACAAGTCCATATATAGCTCAAACTTTTCCGATAAGGGCTTCTTACTATTATAACATCATGGTACTATTATGAAACTTTATTTTTGCAAGATATGATGGCTAGAAGACCTTTGAACCCAAGTAATATAGGATAACACCTTTATCCTATTAGTGTTACAAGTTTGTGCATCAAAGTGTGGAAATTGTGGAGAAATAAGAAATATAAGAATGAAATGTATGTCAAGTATAGTGAATTTTAAATCCCAGCCCTTCGTGCATTAAGCCTAGATAACATACAAAAGGAGATGCAGCTCTTACACAATAATGACCATAAACCCCAAAGTTGCTGATTGGTTAAAACCAGCATTTATAGGTATTCTATTTGAACTTAATCGGAATGAATTACAATATTTTGGGATGGAAAAGATTTGAATCAAGGCTGACTCTTTTTCATGTTGATATAAATGAATATTGAGCAGACTGACCATTATAAACATCTTGTGTAAAAGTTATATCTAAAAGATGTGACTACATAAACATTAACGAACATATAGAGTAGATACAAAAGGTGTGCAAGTAAGTATGCATTCTGAACAGGCTGCGTACAATACATTTGGAAGCCAAGTTGTGCAAGTATGACAACGCATATCTGAAATAAAATCAAGCAAGGCTTTGCCCCCAATGTCCCTGGGAATAAAGTATAAAAGAGTTGATGTTAAAACCTAATATGGCACATCTGCACTTTGGTCTTGACAGTAATACGGGCAAAGTTCAATTTTAACAATTTTTACATTTTCAAATGGACATTATCAGTGGCAAAGCTAGCAACTGGGATAGACTTGATACTCAATTTTGTAGCTAGCTCCATTGGCACTGATCATGATAAAAATCAAATCAATCTCAGTAATACAGAGGGTGACCCAAATTACATAAACACAAAAGTAACACATATGGTATTCTAGTGTTACCTTGTATTATTATGCAATTCAGAAAGCAATTGAATATCCATACAAATGATTCATGCATTTTTCATAAAGCATACATTTTTGAGAGTTAAAGGTATCAGAGTCAGAAACATGAGTCATTTATGCAGACTAAAGCCATTCAAACACCATTGCGCCATACTATAATAGCCTAATAGGTGGTGCTGCATACACTATAGTCGACGGAGAACATACTTTAGCATTAGGCACTGCTGGGGCCTTCTTTTTGCCCCCCTTAACTGAAGTCACTTGGGGAGAGCCCCCTGGTGTACCCCGTCCACTATGCCGTGACGAAGCCTGTAATTGAGCAAGTGATGCTACATGAAAAATTGTCAATTAGAGTTTTGATGGAAAACATATCTAGAATGGTCAACATTAATTTATCAAAATTGGACAGGACAGTTTCATACATCTAACATACATAAAAAAGAGCATATTTATGGAATTGAAGCCCTTAAAGCCTAGGGTAAGCTTATTAATTGCACACACTTCAAAACTGTTTGATGTTGTCAGGAAAAACATTAATAGCCCCTTACTGTAACAGAATATAAATCAAAACTTCTTTTCATGATCTTCAATTGTTCCGAAGACTGGCAAAAAAAGAAATCTTATCTGCGTAACAAGAATTTTTTTTCAATGTGAGGTAATGGTCTAGTATTTTTTGGGGCCATGCACTTGACTGTTTAGTAGAAAACATGACATCATCAAACAGTTTGAGAGAAAGCTCTAAGCCTTCAAACAAGTGACATGACAAGAATTGGTATTGATTAAAAAATCTATTGAGAAAAAGTATGTGATATATCATATCAATAAGCCAGAGAATCTAGAATGAACACAGATACAGGCATGTGAATGGGTGGATTTCTTCTCTTGTTATTTTTAAATAAATATTAATATTTCCATCAATAATAAAAAAAACATAATAGCACTCACGCTGCTTATGCTGTCAGTTTCCTGTCCTGGTTCTGAGAAACCTGTGGCGCCACCTGAGATTGTATATTTGCCCCGTGTAATAGTATCGTCCTCCAACTCTGCTACCATAGCACTCTCATAATTTATAGCTGGTTCTAAAACAGGAGAAATGCACCATATACAATAAATCCTCAATATGTGAACACCTCTTTAAGATGAACACTCGAAAATGTGAACACTTTTTTAAATTCCATTGATTCGCATGTTAACAATGAAAATGTCTAGCTAATCACAGTAGCATCCACTTTGGACAGATTTCACCAAAGTTTATTTTGTATTTGACAATAAACACATTTGCAACTGTTAGCCTCACTCAAGGTCAACTGGTCTCAATGAAAAATACAAATGAAATCCACAAATCAAAATGCACTTATGAAACAGCCTCAAGATTTTCATATAAACATATATTTTGTATCATGAATTATACTGTAACACTGCTCCAAATGAAATGTATGAAATTAATGAGACAATTTATTAAATTGAGAGAATCCCAATCTCTTGCCTACCTGTATCTCCCAAAGCCAAAATGGCTTAGTTGCATTAGGCTAGACTTAAATATTTATATATGAAGGCGTGTATAATCTCCCAAAGTCAACCACTTTCATGTTTATAACCATTTGACATCAAACCATTTATATCCTAGATAACCCATCCCTTGCCTAAAGTATATTCTGCACAAATTTTAAAAAATTTTATTGAAAGAAAGTAACAATTTCTAACAATGTTCAAAGAGGAGACATTAAATTATATGTTCAAGAAATTATGTTTTCTTAATGACACCTAATTTCCTTGTTTTATGACCAAAATGATATTATGGAATGAGGGAGGAAAGTGAATCAATCTATTTGGTACATTTAATGATCTAATATTTACTAGCTGGAGGTTAAAATGACATCCGACATCCAAATATTTTACACATTTACAGTATCAATCTGTATATGAAACAAAATCAAGTATTTAATTGTACAACTTTTTTAATTAACATCACTTTTTAGCAAGTTTTATGATTTTTGTTTTGAAAGGGCATGTAAAAAATGCTGAAATTTTATTGTTTTTTTACCCTTGACTTTTTTCTTCCTCTAACCTTATTATGTTCAAACAAATCAACGTTTTGATAAGATATGTAAACAAAAAAAGCTTCCTGTTTAACGGTATGATAGACTCAATGAATTAAAGGTTTTGTAGATTGAACTATGGCACATCATTAGGATAAACAACTTTTCAAATATTTCCATAAAAAATGAAACAGTTTGACAAAATGAACACTCTCACAAAAGATTTATAGTTGAAACTTTATTTAAAGTAGTCAATCAATAATCTTCAATTTCTATTGCACTGAGTTTGCATTCTAATTATTGTTTTGTGATTCAATAAAAAATAATAATGTTTATCTGTAAGTTTAAGGTCTGACGCTCAGGTGTTGTGTTTCTTGAATTTATTGATGCTAAAGTCTAAAGATTATCTGGTTAAGATGAATGTGTAAAAGTCAGTATGATATATAAAATCCTCTAAGCCAAATATTCCATTAAAAATGTTATTATGTTTTAATAAAAAAAAATAAATTAAAAAAAATGGCCCTCATTGAAAAAACTACAAAAATTGACATTTTGGGGTAGTCATAAATTGTTAAAGCTAAAAAATAAAAAGTGAATTAAAGTAGCAAAAAACATATCAAAAACCTTAACTTATAAATTCTTGTATATAAAACCTTTACCCAAAACCCATAAACACACATTAGTTCAACACAACATACCTTTATTTGTAAAATTGTATCCTGTGTCTATAGGCTTGTATCCCATGAGTGTGATTCCCCCTGAATCTTGGGAACTTCCTTTTGAGATGCCAGATATACGGGGCAACTTGGGTCGACTTGGCAAGAAAGCTAGAGAGAGAGGAAATGGGGTCACAAAGGGTTATGTGTTGTAGTTATTGTTATGACTCCTCAATGCATAGTTCTCATAAAATGATGTGCCATGTTTTCTAAGGACAATAATATGAGGGTGTAGTCCAAAAATAACAACTTTTTTGATGCTGTTATTGTCTTGCCTTGTATGAATGCAAGCTAAACATAATATGCCATGTCAAAAGTTCGAAGTTTGTTTTTGCTATCAGAGGGTTATCAATTTAATAAGTGTGCGGTCATACATGAAAATAAATCTGAGATAAATCTGACCCTTATTCTGATAAATCCATCTTATGAGAATCTATGCATAGAAAGATAAGGCAGTGACATATACAACTTTTAAAATATATTTGGTGGGAGTGTGTGTGCCTCTGCAATTATCTAACAAAAAGTACAATAAACTATAACTGTGCATTTTATAATACAATATATCCCAAAGCCATCATGGTTTGTCTTATTAAAGTTGAGGTATAAAAACAAACTGTCCATCCAATGTTTGATAACAAAATGAAGTTCATCACATACAAAACTTGACAAGGCTTAAGATGATTCCATCAGCTATATTTTCACCTTTTGTATTTCACATACCTTATATTTGTCACCATACATTAGCTGGAGGTAACTTTGTCTGTATTTTGACCCAAAAAATGACTCAGAGTTTCAAGGATTTGGACAATATTTCAAATGACAAACAAATTTTCAAACTGCTGGTTTTATTCCTCTTGTTTTATTTAAGCACTTGTAGAAACATAATTTTTCTCAGATGCCCAGGCTGATGCACAACTCCGACAAAAATAAATTTGCCAATGTAATAAAAGATAGTTGAAATTTAAAATATTCGGTACGGTTTGAGCTGTGTGTGAGACTGGTGTTCTTTTTGCATCTACAAATGGATAAATGAGTGGAACCCCACATTATACTGAAGTGCATTAACTCAGAGGCTTATTCAATAAAGGGATATCCATATGAACATTTTTATGTGGTAAAAAGAACCTTTCCATACAGTGCACTTGGAATAATGGCACGAGTCCAAGAATAAACAACCCCTAGAAATCTATAATAACTGCAATATACATACTTGAACCAGAGTCACCAATTGTTTTGGAGGAGACCAGCATAATCCCACCTTCTGAGTCCTCAACATCGTCACCTGGAACCTGAGATGGGATCTCAGAGTCCATATTTTGAAAGAGAGGCTTTGATGGTTCATAGGAATGCTGGGAAGGTTCGAAAGAAGTTGTTGATGAGAGACTTGACGTCTCGCTAAGATCGTCAGGCATGTATCTGTAAATAATTTACAATATTAGATATAAAACACTCAAATAAACACTCAGAGTCTCCTTAATCTGGTACTTAATCCAAGCAATATATGGAGCAAAAATAAACAATAAATGCAACAAAAATTAAATAAAATTCATGCCATGCAAACTTAATAATAATCTGAACTAAACTGATAGAAAAAATCCATAAAAGAAGCATGCACAAAAATGAATGACAGACTTATGTAAAAGTCATGCAAGACAGGCTATTCATTGATTACCTTTCCTCAGCCACATCTCCATTCACCTGCACTGGGGAGGCAGTTGTAGAGGATTCTTGAAGGTCAAGGGGAGGGGGTGGACTAGATGGAACAGGGGGAGGGGTGGACTCAATACTGTCATTAAGGGAAGCTACAACAGCAGCAGATGTTGCTACGATAGCAGCAGACTCTACTACCAGAGGGCCTGGTTTTGATTTGGGGACTACAGTTTGCACATCAGGGTCAGACTTGGAAGAGGTAGTAGTATTTTGCGAAAGATTTTCAGATTTGACAGTCTGCACATTAATGGCAGAATTAGAAGTAACTTTGTCAGAGGTAGTCGTAACTTCCATGGGTGGTTCAGATTTGACTGTCATGTCTGGAGTAGGGTTTGTTTTTGGAGGGGCTGGGGCCCTTGTTTTCTTTGTACTTGGCTTCTTTATGACTGTGATTTCACTGTAAGCATAGAAAGCCAATGTGCTGCTAAGCCCCATGCTCCAGGCATTCACAAACAACAACATGTACAGAACATGCCTTAAATAAGTTAACTTACATAGAGTGAGTCAATTAGTAATGTGCTTCAATAGAAAAATTTTATTTGGTAGGGATACTATGGAATAAGTAAGAATGATTTGAATGGTGGGCTTAATGCACCCATTGAAGTTTTCCAGTGAAGGAGGCACATTCTTGTATTGACACACTCTCTAAAATACCAAGTTCATGATGCCACATTTTAGTATGTATGTCATATTTCGATATTCATGCCACTTGCTTTATAATACAGGGTGGTAAAAAAATGGCAACCCTGTATTTTCCTCATATCTTTGTCATTTTAGGAAATTATTCCCTGATATTTGACACAGTAGTACATCATTTAATTTCCTATCAGCCTACCATATTTGATGATAGTCACAATGTTACAGCACTTTAAACAACATGCCCCAGGTGTGGCCATCATCATGCTTAGGCAAACCTGCACAAGTTGTCTATGACCAAACTGCAATCCTCAGTAGGTATGGCCTGAATGACAATTATGATCTTCTTTTTGAGGTTTGTAATTGTCCCGAGGTCATTTTTGTACACTTCATCTTTGCCATATCCCACAGGTAGAAGTCAGGTATGAAAGTTTTGGATGACAGGTGCAGGTTTGCCCACAGCGCAATATTGGCCTCTGGGGCTTGATGTTCAAAGTGCTGTAACATTACAACTATCAATCTGATGGCCTTTTATTTGACCACCCTGTAATATCCTAAAACATAACATAAATCATAAACAAATACTAAATTGTGACATCACGAAACGCAAAACAAAACATTAAATAATAAAAAGATACGAACAAGATGCAACTACATGTAATTCTACAATTAAAGCTTAATGCAAGGATAACTGCAAATACTTCAATAGCATCTAAAATGGTTCAAACGATTATGTAACTGTCACCTGTATCTGTTAACTGTTATAAACTAGAATATCCCTATTTCGGTTATAATAATATTATCTCAACTAGACTTTCCTCCTTCCTCTTTCCTTAGCAACTTCAAAGCACTAAGTGACATGAGAACCATTGTTACAATAAGCAAATATGCAAATGTATGATGTCTTTCAATTCAGACACTGTCATAGTCTTTTGTATCTTTAAATATTGCAATGAAATGCTACTGTTCTGAAATACTCAAAATGCGCCAAATAGCACTAAAATACTCAATATGCACAAAATAGCCTTGAAATATTCAATACGCATCAAATAGCACTGAAATACTCAATATGCACCTAATAGCACTGACATACTCAATTTGAACCAAATAGCACTGAAATGCTCAATATGTACCAAAATAACACTGAAATACTCAATATGCACCTAATAGCATTGAAATACTCAATTTGAACCAAATAGCACTGAAATACTCAATATGCACCAAAACAACACTGAAATACTCGATATGCACCTAATAGCATTGAAATACTCAATTTGAACCAAATAGCACTGAAATACTGAAAATACACCAAAATAATACTGAAATACTGAATATGCACCAAAATAACACTGAAATACACCAAAATCAATAGACACCAAATAGCATTGAAAAATCAATGTGGTCCAAATAGTCCTCAATATGCACCAACATAACTTGATACATACCCCGATCCCAAATGTTTTGATCTGCCAATAATTGAGGTTCCTTTGACACTGTATATTGATATCATATTTAGGTTTGCTGGTAAATGGAATTTGAAGAATTGCAACAGTAAGCATGATTCTTTGTGAAGCATTTCGGGTATAACATGGCCATAAACCTTTATATCATGTGTAACTGAACTTCTATGCAATACAGAACTAGACACATAAGTCCCCCTCCCCCTTAGCTGTTAACATACCTTGATTGTGGGGGTGCTAGTCTCTCAGATTCTCCATTTACCATTTCCTGAGGCACCTGGAGAATGACAATGCCATATTTAGAAAGTATATAACATAAATATTTGACAATTTAATAGACAACGATTTTAGATAAGACTCGACTGACTCATTTACTTATTTATTGTTACGCATTTAAATAGTGATAACACATATTAATAGATCATAATGACTGATTTGTTTTCACAGAATATCTGTTTTGATGCATCGCTACCAATGCATATGCATTTAAAATATTATTTAGTAATTTAACATAACAATATATCATTTATGTGTTGCCCAATACCAAACAACGCAGTTAAATTATATATGAATAAATGAATATGGCTTCACCTATGGTAAGCCTAGTTGTCATAATACCAAGGTTTACCATATGTATTTTGCAGTTTGGTTTTGAGTTAAATATTGTAACTGGACTTACCACCCATGCCTTGTGTTACCCTATACATAGTGCACATAGTAATGTTTCAATCATTTTAACCCAAAGTATTTGAGACAAAAATCTAGTGTCTGAAACATGGCTTTACTATCTCTGTTCCAAGTAAGAGTAGAGTTGTCTCAAACTGAGGTATTTCTTGGAGCAATATGTGAAACTGACATTTGAAATACAACTCAAATTTATTGTATTGCCAGATATCAATAATAAATAAATAAATTTTAGATTGGGTTGAAATCATAGAAACATGTCAGAACAAAGAATTTAGAGAAATGTACACTCTAGACTGCCACCACTTGAATCATCTAAGATAAAGTACAGAAAAATAAAATAATTGTACTTACCAGTTTAAAAGAGTTTGATTGATCAAGGATGGAATATGAGGTCTCGCCCTATAATTCTATTCCACTTGGCTAATCATATTGATGATTACATAGACTCAATATTTGATGACAATTATGTTATCTGATTAGAGCAATTTATTGAAGGTGCCACCACTTGAAGGATTATGTAATGTAAGCTTGCAAATATTCCAGATTTTCATGTTCCTTTGGCTATCTGCGCAATGAATCAATTTCAAAAATGAAGACATCGTCAAAAAGCACTAGACCAGCAATCCAATAGACCCAGGTTCAATTCTTGCAAAGTGTCACAATAGAAGTTCCATTGTTCATTTGGCAGATTGAAGAAGGAAACTGTTTCTCAGTATAACTTAAATTGCCAAAGAATTCAAATCAATCCGTTCATGTACATTGTCATATTTAGTATCAACGGCAAAAGCCTAAAAAATATACTCCTTTGAGTATGGTGTCCTAACTCTGTAAATTGATAGAGATTATGATAGAAAAACTGACAACAGATAGAATCTATAGAGAACGGGTGTCTACAAAACAAAGACCTAAGACCTAAGACCTACAAAACTAAGACCCCCCACGTTATAAAACTAAGACCCTGTTATAAAACTAAGACCACCCACGTTATAAAACTAAGACCCTGTTATAAAACTAAGACCCCCCACGTTATAAAACTAAGACCCTGTTATAAAACTAAGACCCCCCACGTTATAAAACTAAGACCCTGTTATAAAACTAAGACCCCCCACGTAATAAAACTAAGACCCTGTTATAAAACTAAGACCCCCCACATTATAAAACTAAGACCCTGTTATAAAACTAAGACCCCCCACGTTATAAAACTAAGACCCTGTTATAAAACTAAGACCCCCCACGTTATAAAACTAAGACCCTGTTATAAAACTAAGACCACCCACGTTATAAAACTAAGACCCTGTTATAAAACTAAGACCCCCCACGTTATAAAACTAAGACCCTGTTTTAAAACTAAGACCCCCCACGTTATAAAACTAAGACCCTGTTATAAAACTAAGACCCCCCACGTTATAAAACTAAGACCCTGTTATAAAACTAAGACCCCCCACGTTATAAAACTAAGACCCTGTTATAAAACTAAGACCCCCCACGTTATAAAACTAAGACCCTGTTATAAAACTAAGACCCCCCACGTAATAAAACTAAGACCCTGTTATAAAACTAAGACCCCCCACGTTATAAAACTAAGACCCCCCACGTTATTAAACTAAGACCCTGTTATAAAACTAAGACCCCCCACGTTATAAAACTAAGATCCTGTTATAAAACTAAGACCCCCCACGTAATAAAACTAAGACCCTGTTATAAAACTAAGACCCCCCACGTTATAAAACTAAGACCCTGTTATAAAACTAAGACCCCCCACGTTATAAAACTAAGACCCCCCACGTTATAAAACTAAGACCCCCCACGTTATAAAACTAAGACCCTGTTATAAAACTAAGACCCCCCACGTTATAAAACTAAGACCCTGTTATAAAACTAAGACCCCCCACGTTATAAAACTAAGACCCTGTTATAAAACTAAGACCCCCCACGTTATAAAACTAAGACCCTGTTATAAAACTAAGACCCCCCACGTTATAAAACTAAGACCCTGTTATAAAACTAAGACCTCCCACATTATAAAACTAAGACCCTGCTATAAGAATCAGTCACCGTGCCTTGCTCTGCTCGCCACAAGGTAGTCTTGCCTCTGGGCCTTGTGTTCCCCAGTAACATACAACAGCGGATTATATAAAAATGGACTGTAACAAATACCCGGATTTGTTGATTTTTAAAAAAAGTAATTTTTTTTTTATATCACTTTTAATGCCCGGCATAAAAAGTGATGTCCCATTTTATGCTGGCATAAAAAGTGATATCCCATTTTATGCTGGCATAAAAAGTGATGTCCCATTTTATGCTGAGCATAAAAAGAGATACTCCATTTTATGCTGGTATTGTTTTGGAAGTGATGTTTAATGGTAGTTCAAGATTTAAGACCCATCATTCTGGCACAGATTGCTGAACCGTTGTTAGTTAAGAATTCCTAATAGAATTAAGAATTATTAGCTGAAACTGAGTTGTTTTGCCCTAGCAAACAATTTTCCAACTTGTAGTTCAACTTCTCAACTTCTTCTGTCTATTTGTTGACAGTCTGTGATGTCATCATCAATCATCACAATAGAAATGAGGTAATTCACGATGACATCACAAAGTACTCTGATGACATCATCAATCATCACAATGGAAACGAGATAATTCATGATGACATCACAAAGCATCTCTGTCATAGATAGAACTCTGCCACATTTCTTAGAAATCAAACTACTATGTGACATCATAGATAATCTCACTGTCACAGATAGAATTCACCTAATTCCCATTGTGATGATTGATGATGACATCACAGACTGTCAACACATATAGACAAAAATGAATTTCAAATGCATATTGGGATATTGTTTGCTAGGACAAACAGAACAGTTTCAGCTATTAATTCTTAATTCTATTAGGAATTCTTAACTAAAATAAGTTCAGCAATCTATGTGAGAAAGATGGGTCTGAAATCTTGAACCACCATGTTACTAGGGAAAACAAGGGTCAGTGGCAAGACTACCATATGTGTATGTTACTAGGGTAAACAAGGGCCAGAGGCAAGACTACCATGTGTAGAATCTTTATGTTAGTGGGGAGAATCTGTATATTAGAAGGGAACACAAGGACCAGAAGCAAGACTACCTTTTGTAGAATATTTATGTTAGTGGGGAGAATCTGTACATTAGAAGGGAACACAAGGACCAGAAGCAAGACTACCTTTTGTAGAATCTTTATGTTAGTGGGGAGAATCTGTATATTAGAAGGGAACACAAGGACCAGAAGCAAGACTATCTTTTGTAGAATCTGTATGTTACTAGGGAACACAAGGCCCAGAGGCAAGACTACCTTGTGGCGAGCAGAGCAAGGCACGGTGACTGATTCTTATAACAGGGTCTTAGTTTTATAACGTGGGGGGTCTTAGTTTTATAACAGGGTCTTAGTTTTATAACGTGGGGGGTCTTAGTTTTATAACAGGGTCTTAGTTTTATAACGTGGTGGGTCTTAGTTTTATAACAGGGTCTTAGTTTTATAACGTGGGGGGTCTTAGTTTTATAACAGGGTCTTAGTTTTATAACGTGGGGGGTCTTAGTTTTATAACAGGGTCTTAGTTTTATTACGTGGGGGGTCTTAGTTTTATAACAGGGTCTTAGTTTTATAACGTGGGGGGTCTTAGTTTTATAACAGGGTCTTAGTTTTATAACGTGGGGGGTCTTAGTTTTATAACAGGGTCTTAGTTTTATAACGTGGGGGGTCTTAGTTTTATTACAGGGTCTTAGTTTTGTAACGTGGGGGGTCTTAGTTTTATAACAGGGTCTTAGTTTTATAACGTGGGGGGTCTTAGTTTTATAACAGGGTCTTAGTTTTATAACGTGGGGGGTCTTAGTTTTATAACGTGGGGGGTCTTAGTTTTATAACGTGGGGGGTCTTAGTTTTATAACAGGGTCTTAGTTTTATAACGTGGGGGGTCTTAGTTTTATAACAGGGTCTTAGTTTTATTACGTGGGGGGTCTTAGTTTTATAACAGGGTCTTAGTTTTATAACGTGGGGGGTCTTAGTTTTATAACAGGGTCTTAGTTTTATAACGTGGGGGGTCTTAGTTTTATAACGTGGGGGGTCTTAGTTTTATAACAGGGTCTTAGTTTTATAACGTGGGGGGTCTTAGTTTTATAACAGGGTCTTAGTTTTATAACGTGGGGGGTCTTAGTTTTATAACAGGGTCTTAGTTTTATAACGTGGGGGGTCTTAGTTTTATAACAGGGTCTTAGTTTTATAATGTGGGGGGTCTTAGTTTTATAACAGGGTCTTAGTTTTATAACGTGGGGGTCTTAGTTTTATAACAGGGTCTTAGTTTTATAACGTGGGGGGTCTTAGTTTTATAACAGGGTCTTAGTTTTATAACGTGGGGGGTCTTAGTTTTATAACAGGGTCTTAGTTTTATTACGTGGGGGGTCTTAGTTTTATAACAGGGTCTCAGTTTTATAACGTGGGGGTCTTAGTTTTATAACAGGGTCTTAGTTTTATAACGTGGGGGGTCTTAGTTTTATAACAGGGTCTTAGTTTTATAACGTGGGGGGTCTTAGTTTTATAACAGGGTCTTAGTTTTATAACGTGGGGGGTCTTAGTTTTATAACAGGGTCTTAGTTTTATAACGTGGGGGGTCTTAGTTTTATAACAGGGTCTTAGTTTTATTACATGGGGGGTCTTAGTTTTATAACAGGGTCTTAGTTTTATAACGTGGGGGGTCTTAGTTTTGTAGGTCTTAGGTCTTAGGTCTTTGTTTTGTAGACACCCTATAGAGAACTATTAATATCTTATCTCAATTGTCTGAAATCTCAAGGGTAGATTCAACAATGTAGAATAACATAGGAAAGATAAAGGGTGCATATTGTTGTGATATTTCTGACATAGTGACAATTCAATCGTTGATTTCAAAATAATAATATGACAGGAGCTATTTCCTTGCAATCGAATAATGGTCACACTTTTGCTCTCAAAATAAAAGACTAGTCTCAGTATGGAGAACAAAGTCTACTGCATGTTAATATTTTTACATCTTGTAGATCCTCCTCTTTTGAATATCCATGATTTAATTTGGGTGATATTTCTATATTTTTCATAGAAAAATTATTAGTGCAATACACTGATTAACTTCTTTCTCTAAATCGAGACTTGTTTTTTTATTGAATCGGTCTACTGCACGTTACGCCTGCTTCAGACAATTTTGATATTTATACATCTTGTAGATTTAAATGTCATCTTTTGAATATTCTTAATTTAATTTGAGTGATATTTCTTTATTTTTCATAACAAAATTATTAGCCCAGGAGACTGTTCTTCAAACTGAGACTTGTCCTTTCCAAGAGCTAACTTCTCATACTTTCTATTGTTCACCAACAGTGCCTTCTAATAAGTACCAAATCGGTACAACATGACACTAAATATAATAACTATAACATACATGTACTTTCTAATAGTTTCTTGTTTATTCTTACTGCTTGAGATGACAAATTATATTGTCTTTTAAAAGCATAATTGATAATTTTACACTTCAAAAAATTGACAAGTTTCAAACATCCAGCCATTTATAATATACAGCTCAGCGAAAGTTTATACAATAAGCAAAAGTAATATTGCTTCAATAAATAATATCATAGCTTAGTATTATGGCGCTATATATACAGTAAAACCTGCGAACAGGGAATGCTCTTGGGACTGAAGGAAAGTTTCCTTGTTCAGAGGTTTTCCCTATAGAGAGGGGCCGCACTTTCAGCAAACTCAAACTTGTCGAATAAGCATATTTGTATATATATTGATTAATTGTACAAATGCCGGCTCCATACTTGGTTACGTTCTCCCCATGTTGATTTTAGCTGCTTCTAGTGTCTGATGATGTCTAGTTGATGTAATTATTGATATGATGTGTAGAGATATATTGCTAAGAACTAAATTTCAAGTTTCATCACCCCCATTTTATATCATTGATAATCTAGAAGTTGGACCAGTAAAAGATTTAAAGAGATTTGGCTCAACATGACCATGTAGTTACTATCTGTTATCTCCATAAAACAATTGTGTCAGTCTCTAGATTATCACAACTGATTTGATACGGTTTATGAAGGTTTTTTGAAGGGAAGAATTAGTGTCATGATAATGAGTAACAAACAGATTAGTACTAGTTTTAAAATAAATCAGGGTAATTAACAGTGGGTGGGATGCTACATCATGTTAACAATTGGCTTATCTTAATCTCAATCATATTAATCCAAGCTTTCTATATTCAGATATTGGCTTAAAACTTTCACACCTCTGAAAAATAATGGAATATACAGTGTCACCAATATTCCATATTCCTTGTTCACAGGTGAATTTTCATAATTTGCCCCAAAATAGTGTTCCTTGTTCCCTGTTCACAGGTTTTCCCTACAGAGAGTGTCCGTTAACATGTAAGTCAATGAAAAAATATTCGGTTCTTTTGAAAATCATTCCTTGTTCATAGGTTTTCCCTACAGAGAGGTATTCCATCGGACAGGTTTTACTGTACAAAATAAATTTGAAAAATCTAAAACATGATATGTTCGAAAAGTTTTACCGAAAATTCCAAATATGCTCTGTTATTTGTCACCATTCACATATATACATTATATATGAACAAGTTTATACATGACAAGACAATTCGACGTATTAATTCATTTCTTGTAATGAACCCCACAGAGTACTAAGGTGTTTAAGGAATTTCCTAAACAGTTATATTTATAATACATTATTTTCATAGTCTGTATTTCCAAGGTGCATTTGACTTAACAACAGGAGGAGTCTTCCCACCAAACTTTATTGTAATCCCAGGAGAACCTGGTTGCAGAGGAGTACCCCCTGAAGTCAAAACTGTAGCCCCTGAAGATGATAAAACAACAGACCCTGATGATGAGAATTTAATCTCTCTGTTACTTTCCATGACAGACACTCCTCCACTTCCTATCTTTAATTTTATACCAACAGGGCCTTTCGCAGTGTCAACAATTTTAGCTGACCCTCCCTTTTTGCCTTGCATATGAAGCTCTACATTGACAGGTCCCCCAGATGCAGTAGCCTCTGTGTTAGACATTCCTCCAGTTGCCATTGACTGGGTATGCACATTAGTAGTGGGTGTGGAAGGTGGCTTTGACGTGCCACCAATTGCTGTAGAAGTTTGAATAACTGGACTGTCTTTGCTTAATGCTTTTACTAAAGGTATTTCCACAGTCTCCTGTGTTGCATGTACTGCTTTTGGTTTGGCACCTTTTAACTGGACTTTAACATCAGATTTTTGTTGAAATCTGTCCATAATTGAACTTATGCTTCCTCCTCCAGGTGATCTGGGAGAACCTGAAGCCTTAGGGGAAATTGGTTTAAGATCATTCCTATTATCCTTAGCTTTCTGAACGTCTAACGGTTTCAGATTCCATACTTTCGTTGCATCAATGGTTTCAATTTCAGCTTTTTCATCTTTAGACAAATCTGGTTTGTCAATCTTTATTTCAACAGTCTCAGATTTTGCTTTATCAAACTTTCCAGTCAGAAGCCCTAATGTTGACTTTTTACTGTCTTTCTGATTGTCTTCAACTTTCCCAAAATCAACTTCGGCTGATTTTAATTTTTTTGTAGGACTTGATGGTTGTTCAACCTTTTGTTGATCTGAAACCTTTTCAACATTAAGCTTTGTGTTTATGTCTCGTTTAATGCTAGATTTCTGCCATGGTTTGAGTTTTGCAGGTTCTGTTTGCTTCTCAAATCTGCCCATCAAAGAGCCCAATTTCTTAGTGTCTTTATTAACATTATCTGCTGAAGGGTTTACACTTTTCTTTTCTTCATCTTTTTTCAGTAATGTTGTCTTTATATTATCATGTTTTATTTCAGATACTTCCTTCAATGTTTCTACTGGTTTAGTTGATTTATCATTTTTATCTACTGCCATTGATTTACTGTCTTTTGACTTTGTATCAGTCACATTCAATTTACTGTCAATAGATGATACATCCAGGTCTTTTTTAGATGATTTCTCAGAAAAGGTTTTTACAGAGTCACTTGGCTCTTTTGTTTTTTGCTTAATTTCTGTTTTTGGATCTGTTTTCTTTTTAGCTTCAAACTTATCCGCTAATCCTCCAAATCTTTTTGAATCTTTCACATCTACTTTTTCTGTGGTTTTGGTTTCAAACCTACTAGCCAAACCTCCAAATTTCTTTTGTTTAGGCTCATCTTTCTTTTCACTTGTTTTCACATTGTCTGTCTTTTCAGGGACTGGAGTTTCAAACTTACTTGCCAAACCTCCAAATTTCTTTTGTTTAGGCTCATCTTTCTTTTCACTTGTTTTCACATTGTCTGTCTTTTCAGGGGCCTGAGTTTCAAACTTACTAGCCAAACCTCCAAATTTCTTTTGTTTAGGTTCATCTTTCTTCTCACTTGTTTTAGCATTATCTGCCTTTTCAAGAACGGGAGTTTCAAACTTACCAGCCAAACCTCCAAATTTCTTTTGTTTAGGCTCATCTTTCTTTTCAATTGTAGTTTTCATATTGTCTGCTTTTTTAGGGACTGGAGTTTCAAACTTACTTGCCAAACCTCCAAATTTCTTTTGTTTAGGTTCATCTTTCTTTTCAGCTGTAGTTTTAACATTGTCTGTCTTTTCAGTGGCTGAGATTTCAAACTTACTAGCCAAACCTCCAAATTTCTTTTGGTTAGGGTCATCTTTCTTTTCACTTGTTTTTACTGTGTCTGTTTTTTCAGGGGCTGGAGTTTCAAACTTACTAGCCAAACCTCCAAATTTCTTTTGTTTGGGTTCATCTTTCTTTTCACTTGTTTTAACATTATCTGTTTTTGCAGGGGTTGGAGTTTCAAACTTACTAGCCAAACCTCCAAATTTATTTTGTTTGGGTTCATCTTTCTTTTCACTTGTTTTAACATTGTCTGTTTTTGCAGGGGTTGGAGTTTCAAACTTACTAGCCAAACCTCCAAATTTCTTTTGTTTGAGGTCATCCTTCTTGTCACTTTCTGCTTTTATATTGTCTATTTTTTCAGGGGCTGGAGTTTCAAACTTACTAGCCAAACCTCCAAACTTCTTTTGTATAAAGTCATCTTTCTTTTTACTTGTTTTCACATTGTCTGTTTTGTCAGTGGCTGGACTTTCAAACCTGCTAGCTAATCCTCCAAATTTCTTTGGTTTAAGCTCTTCTTTACTTTCATTTTTTCCTACTGATTTGTCAAACTTAGAGCTGATTTCTCCTAACTTCTTAGCATCATCTTCTTTCTTTGGAATGACTTTATCCTTGATCTTATCAAGGGATTCAGCTGACACCCTCAAATCATCTTTGGGCTGAGATTTGTTAAACTTTTCAGCAATTCCTCCAAACTTTTTATTTGGTTCTGCTTTCTTATTCAGTTTTTCACTTTTGGATTTTGAAGTATCAATTTCAAATCGATTCATAAGTCCTCCTAATTTTGGTTTCTCTTTCTTTATATCTTCCAATTCTTTTGATAAATTCTCAATGCTTTCTCCCAATTGTTTATCTTTCTCCTTCATCACTTCATCTTCTTTTGATTTCATAGCAGTCATAGATTCTGCTTTTCTCTTAGGGGCTGGACTTGCATATGGAAGTTGCTTAGGCTCCCTTCTGTCAAGATTTCTCATCCAAGCTGGCCTTTTGTCCACAACCTCAATGATACCATCTTTATCAGGTTGCTTTTTGTCATCTACTTTTACTTGTTTAGTTTTGTCAATACTGGTCATTGGAGCTTCTGGTTGTTTCTTTTCACTTTGCTCAGATTTACTTCCCCAAGATCTCTTTTTGTCTTTTACTGAATCTTTAATCTTTTTCTCATCTGACTGAAACCTGTCCATTAAACCACTAAGTTTTTTAGGTGGTGGTTTACTAACGTCTTTTGTACCAGTAACTTCTTTTAAATCCATTCTTTTATCTGTATCTGATTTCTTTATGTTTTGCTCATTGTCAGTTGATTGTTTATCAAATTTATCAGTTATATTTCCAAGCTTTTTAGTTGGTGGTCCTTCTATGTTCTTCTTTGATACATCTGAAACTTCAATGGGTTCTTCTGTTTTTTTATTGTTCTTCCCAGTCCAGTCCATATTTTTCTTCACCATTTCTGGAGATTTGCTAACATCTTTCTCTGATTTGGGATCCTTATATTTATCTACCAAAGGGGCAGGAGCAACTTCATTTTTAGGTTTAAATCTGTCAGTCAGCCACCCAAGTTTTGCACTTGTTGGTGACTTTGGAGATTTTGGTTCAGCTACTTTGGAAACTTTATTTTCAGTTAATTCATCTGCTTTTGGTTGCTCCTTCTGAGATTTTTTATCTATCAATTCTTGGGATTCATCTTTAAGAGATTGTCTATCTTTCAAAGGAGTTTTAATGCTGTCTTTCTCGACTGACTTATCTTTTTGGAATCTACCAAATACAGAATCAAATAAACTATTTCTTTTCTTCCTGGAAGGGGACTCAGGATCATACAGGTCATTTTCACTATTTTCTATCAGACTTGTTGATCTACCAAATCCTTTCTTTGCAGTTGATGTGTCAATAAGGCTGGAGGTTCTGCCATAAGCTTTCTGTTTTCTTGGAGGAGTATCTGCCTTCCTCTCTGGCGAGGTATCTGGTTTTACATTGTCTGTTTTATTTACAGCTTCTTTAATATTTTCAGAAGATAAAGCTTTGGTTTGTGTTTTGTCTTCTATCCATGCAGGTTTTTTCCCTGCGGGTTCATTCGGTTTCTTATTATCCATTTTAGTCACTACATCTTTAATATTTTCACAAGATATAGATTTATCAAGGTTTTTATCTTTGATAGGTGTCTTGTTTTTCATCCAGGCTTTTCTCTCATCTGATATAAATTTTGGCTCAGGACTTACGCTTCTCCTGGATTGATCAAGTGGAAATTGTTTACACAAGTCTTCAAAATTCAATTTCTTCTTCTCTTTCTTAACCTCTGGTTCACCTCCAAACTTATCCAAGACATTACTTGTTCTTTTTCCTTTGCTTCTGTCACCCTTTTCAAGTTCTTCAATTTCTTTGAAAGCTGCTCTTATTGCAGACATAGTGTCCTTGGTCTCTTTTGCAGATGGTGGAGTGCTTGGTGGATTTTCTAATCCAATTTCACGTTTGAGTTCCTCTAGTTTAGTGAGGGGTCTACCACTAGTAGTCTTTGAAGATTCATCATCGACTTTAATACTAAGACCTTTTTTAGCAGCCTTATCCTTAAACCCAGGTTTTGGTACAGGGTCGTGAATTTTACCCAAGGGTTTTGAGACAGATTTCTTGGGTGCTTCGATCTTTTTCCGCTTTTTCTGAGGCTGTAAGAGTGCATAGCATTGTATCAAATGATGCATCATCTTATAACACCATTAGCTATGAGTATTATATGTATATAGTGTAGAAGTTATTGTGAAATTAATAGGTGTTTTAGGAACCACCATTTGTTTTAAACAGGAGCACAGAATTTGCATCTGATCAAAAATCATTAAACTTACTGGTAGAATGAAAAAACAGAAAAGTGCAGAAATCATTATGGGTGGTTGATATCAGATATTATTAGGAATGTGATAGAGTGCGGATTACAACACGCAGTTATTCAAAAATGTGAATTGGTAATTAGAACCTAATTCAGCCTTGGTTTAATGATTTCATAATCAGTATCTGAAGATAATGGTCAACAAAGTGCCTCTCTGAATGCTCCCTCTTTTGTATACATCGTACACTGTACATATATATTACTCAAAAACTAACAGTGTATGAAGATCATACCTCAATTATTAACCATCCAACCAATTTAAATAATCATTGTGGAACATAATTTGATGCAGTATGCAAAAATGCATTTCATTATTAATCTTGTTACATGTGATTAAACTCTATTTCAACATGTGCATTTCAAATATCATTTCTGAATTACTGCGAAATATTAAAACTACTTTTCAGTGTCCAACTACACATGCTTTGAAAAGAAAGAGTTTTTGGTTTGTGATTTTGGAAGTAATTTACATAAATTAATTAAGGATTCAAAGTTATTTACCCGTAAATTAATTAAGTTAATAAAATTCATAAAGAGAAAAAAAGAAACATAAATTAACAAAAATCTTGTATAAATTTTGCTTGAATATTCATGCTAATATTTAGATTCATAAACACATGCGTTTTAGTACTTGGTTATCATTTGTAGCATACATTCTTTAAAAAAATTCAATCCATGCTCAATTAATAAGTTAACATGTACTTTGGATTAGTACAGCTTTGATGAACTGCTTTATATACATGAATGAAATGTTAGGTATTCCTGTAGGTGAAGCTAGGGTCTGACTAGGGGCTTAGCAGGGTGGATGGTTGTTACTTGATACAATGCAATACACACTCTAAACAGCCAAATTAAGAACACAGGGATAACCTATCTGTGGTTAATCCATCATAAAACATGCTTTAAACTTGTAAGTAGAACTGTGTATGAATCATAAGCCTATTTGTCATTCTTTGATCTCTACAACTCAAAATCCTTAGGATTTTTGTAATGAGATGGTTGATCCTCTATGTTTGGAAGGATCACATTGGCAAATACAAAGCTTGATGAACCAAGCGTATCATTCTAACGGTACAGTAGTAGCTAATGACTGGTAGTAGCTAACTTAACAAATATGGTATTAAATCATGTGAGCCTACCTTGTCTGGTTCAGCCTTAGGGCAATGCAGAACTCCATGCATGTTTACGTAGTCATAATAGGAACAACTGTGGTTTATTAATATCATGCAAGTAACAAGTCATTATTGAAAAAACCTTGCAATAGTGTTTCAGCATCCATTGAATATATCAATATGCCTTGAAAATCAATTCTGCAAAATTCAAGATCAATGCAGAATGAATGATAGAACTGCCCAGGGTGCTATTTTTAACAGGCATTGTCTTCATGTGTTTGCCATTGAACCTTGAAAACTGTATAAGAAAACACTGTTGCTGAATAAGAAAACGCTGTTGCTGAATAAGAAAACACTTTTGCAAGGCTGAACTCATTTGTCTGGTAATTGGTAACTAGAAGTATATAACATGCAAAGAGTACCTCGACTAATTACTTCCACAAACCTTCTTTATAAAATTGATTTCAGATTTTGAAAAAACTTGATTTAAAAAAACCCAGACAAATGAGTTAAAGAATGTGAAACTCCCAACACTGTGAACAGACTGCAGACTTGCTGTTAAATTGCACTTCATCCCATACATGATATTACAGAATTAATAAGAACAAACATGCAAGGTGTGTCCCTTAAAGACCACTCACTAGATTTCAACCCTGAGGTGAACATTATACAATACAGTAAAACATGAGCATGTGAACACCTAACTAAGGTAAATTCCTTTAAGTCAAATACTTTTATGAAATAACATTTTTGGGATATTGCACTCATTCCCCTTTTGTCAGTACTCGTTAATACTTTTGGTGTGGATACTTTTAGTTGGTCAAATCTGTTCAATCAAGACATGTTTTACTGTATTTCATTTCTTTAAAGGTAATTCAGTTCTGACATCTATTGAGTGATTCTTGTACTAAGTGACAACCTAGCACCACCAACCTGCTTTACGAAGTTTGAACTGGTCTTCAGTATACAACGTGGATTCTCTGTGAAAATAAAGTACAACATACAGAACATGAATATCGTAATTATATTTGGTGTGACGCTGCTATCACGTCAAGTCATACAGAGTGATAAAAGCAAAATCTCAACTGAGCACTCACTGTACTTCAAAAGAAGTTGAAAGATGTACATATGAAGTGAAAAATCATGCAAATACCAGTATATTTTGTATATATACAGTGTATATATAATTCAGTATATCGTATATTTAATACAATAAGAGTGCCTGGAATTGCTTTTATGCCAGTATGACTTGTTGTGAGTACACATCTTCGACACCAGGTGACTCCGACTCACTTGTCCTGCCAACTTTGACGGAGGGCGTCGTGCCCCCATAGCCCCTGATGACGCAAGACGAGCCTTTGATTTATTTAATGATGTGTCTAATAACTTAGTGTCAGTTATTTCTGAAGGGAATGTTTCATTGTGGTTCTGAAGAGACTGGGAGACTGGTGGCTCAACCTTTTGCACCTCTATGTAAGTTTTGATAACTTCTAAAATTGTGAGAATAACGTTCACGCATGCATTAACAGTGGTGCAACATATATATCCATATGAAATTAATGAACATGTATAATTGCATTTTCTTTTAACCTCTTAATTTACATGTGCATTTCTAAAAGTATCTCTTAAAATGTGTATTATTTCTAGAAATGAAATCAAACCAGAACAACGGCAACGCCAAAGCGTAGCGAATCCCATCGAACAGAAATGGCTGGCATTTTTACAAACAAATAGCAAATATCATAAAACAACACACCAGAAAGGCCACCATTTTCAAAATGGTTGCTCACTAGCCAAGTTGCCATCAGAAGAAATAATATGCTTTTAAGTAGCCACCTCTAAAATTTTTGAAAAATCGCACACATACTTGTAAAGTAACACACATAAAAATGGTGGCCATTTTTCAAAATGGCTGACTACTCCCCAAAGTCTTATTAGACAATGTGCCATGCTTAAGGTGGGACCTGGTCCGTCAGCCAAAAAATATCCTCGATAGAATTTCCTGAAAATCGCACAGTGTATGTAAACAAGTGGTGTACATATGCTGTAGAAATTTTAAACAGAAAAAAATAAGTTGAGATATAGTAAGTAAGGTTCAAAGATCGTATTTTTGAGGAGCCTATGCTGCTTATATTGTCATATTTAACATGTAATCCTATGGGAAAACCATAAACTTACTTTACCCTCGGGAGATCTCAATTTACAGAAAAACGGCTCGATAGATTTTTTTAAAATTTCCACATTATTTTATCTGGAATATGATTATGCTTATGTTAGTTTTTGGTAAAAAGATTACAAAAATTGTAGTCACAGTATTCAGTCAAAGTACCTTGTATTTTGAGAAAAGACCGGCATCCAATTCCATCCGTTGGCGGAGAGAACAATTGAATTACGTCATAAATTTCTCACCTGAATGATCCGACAAAGATAAAGACGATTCCCAGGATAATGGGGTTTAGCCTTGCTAAATCAAATGTAGTTAGTTGATTTTGAATATAAGTCAATCGGTATGAATTACTTCCACTAAAATTAGCGTCCCACAGTCTTTTAGAATCAAGGACGTCTATAGGCGTAGTACAAAGACCGTAAATAACGTGCTAAATCAACCGCGGCCGATCGCAAAATAACTAATAACTATTAATTAAATCATCGCCTCATCTACCTGCCATTTTAAGTATTGATGTAAGTTAAAAGTAAACTTTTGTTTTTTTCATGTGCCGAGATTTAATTACGTATACGTTGTGTTAAATCATATCATTGAATCATATCGTCTTTTTTATCTTCATGTAGGCCTAAGATTGCCCATTATTATGGCCCTTCTTTATTTTGATTTTTCATGTATGCAAACAGAAGCTCCGCCGATCGCCGATCGCGCACTTTGGCAATTCACTCAAGTAAAGGTGATCATCAAACGTTTGTAATCACCGGTTAATATTAAAATCAGAAAGCCTTCTTTGTCGAATAAACTGTGCACGTCTGACTTGATTTAGTTAAAATACAATACGATAAGGCTCGAGTACTATTGATGTACGTACAAGTTAATAAACGTCGGTACGTTGTTCTCGCTTGTTGATGTGTAATATCGTTTTGTCAACTCACGTTTCATCAGCAAGAAGTCGGCACTCGCGTACATAAAAAAGTTAAGCATATCCATCGTCATTATTGACTGGCGAAATAAATAGCGCGATCGGGATGTACCCAATGTCTGCGGCAACAAGTACGATGGTTGAGTTCACTGAATGAGTACACAAGTTACATTGAAGTGTGTACAAAACATAAAGATCCTATGGAAAACCATATATTACTTTACTATTCAGACCGCTTCTCTAAAGAGAGCTTCGTCTAGTTCATAACTAGACTCTGAGTACAGGGAAACAGAAAAATGGCTTGATAGTTTTTTAACTCCAACATTTTTTATACGCCATGATGATGCCAATTTACCTCAGAGTTTTGTAAAAATCAAATAAAAATCGTAGTCTCAATATCTTGTTTTAAAGTACGTTATATTGTAAGCTATTGCATTTCATTCATTTCCTTCAATATTGGTGATAAGAAATATTTTGCAAAACAAAATTACCATATGGGCGTTAACATCAATTTACATTGATGAATTCTTCTACTAATTTTTCAACAACTCATCTAATTTGATAGAACATCTTTTCAAAAACTTTTCCTAAATATTTTGATTCTAGAAAAGTACAGTGGATACGAATACGATGAGGTGGATTGCCATACGCGAATATTTCATGTTAGGCACCTTTACCATAGCCAGACATGACCAGTTTTTCAGTCGGAATAATGCAGTCGAGCTGACCGAGATCTGTTTATATAGCGATATACGAGCGGCCTTGACAGAACTAACCTACTAACCTAGATATGCGACCTACTAACCCAGAGTGAACTAGATACTTTGCATAAAGTTTTTGCAGTCTGAATCCACTATTCTCAGTTTAAACTGGCTGTTTAAGAAATTGCATTTATCTTTTTATGGCTCCGCTGTTTATTGACTGATTTCTAAATAAATAATACCATGCTTTAGATAGGAAAGATAGCTTCAATGTGGTGCCATTTTTGTGGTGATGAACTGCGAGAAAACGGAGGAAACCGAGAGTAAAGCCGATTGCTTGAATTTCAAGTTTCACTTAAGAAATGCTGCGTTCTGATTGGTCGGGTTTCTTGCAGTTCGAATCCACTTTCAGGTTTTCAAACTCGACGTTTTAGAAATGGCACATATCGATCTTTTTCTTCTCTATTCTCGGTCGATTTCTAAAAGAATAATGTCATCGTGAAGCTGACCAAACACGTTTCTCGATGGTATCACTTTTAAAGCGATCCACTAGTGATAGATAGGGCCCTAGGTGAAATTCGAGCGTGGAGACGTTTCTCGAGAATCAAAGAGTATGCACTTATAGGACATAAGCTAAAGTTTACTGATAAATCAGGCATTCTGATTGTTCGGCTTTTCTGCAGTCTCAAGCCACTTTCCGCCTGTTGTGTAGGCACTTTATTGTCACAGGACTCACAGACGTAGCCTAACTTGCCTATGTTTTTCATTTTAATAATTATTCTAAGTACATACCTTCATAACGCCTTCATTAGCGACGATCAGTCGCCGTAAACCTATACAGCATTTGTCTCAACCCCGGGGACTCAACTGGCGACATATAACACGCCTGGGGACACGCCCCTTCGCACTCATTATTGCACACTTCCCGACATTGGGCATTGATTGTGTTGCCATTGGGCCAGTTGCACTCGGTTTAAAAATTCTCGGATGTTAAGATATATCTTATCAAACATTTTACCATGACGAATTAACAATTCATATAGAAAAAATGTAAAAAAGGCAAAGAAAATATAACTAGACGAAGCCCATACGCAAGCGAAAGTGATAACAACTAGGACGAAAGTCGCGCCAATAAAAAGCATAATCTAAAACGTTTTACATATAAGAGAATATACAATTTTACGAAGTAATAAAACGAACAAAAGTCATTTTTGAATTTATTAAACATAAATACAGAGTAATACGTATTTACAAATATAAATAGTGCGACGAGAAACATTATATTATTTTGAGCAACATTAAATGTGACGTGTCGGTAACCATGTACACAATGATCATGACTCAACTAGTGTTTATATCACATCATATTTTTCATATGCTGTAAATGTAGAACATGCTTCATATGTGTGTTTTAGATTAATTAGTTTTACTATATTTTGAAAGAATTATAACAATTTGACTTAGAAAAATTCAATCATTCATCGCCGTATACTTCATGATGCTGCGCGTAAAATTTGAGCGCCATTGTTTTCCCATGTCATAGAAACCATGACGTTACTAGCGCTCAAATATTTCAAATGCAATACGCTAAATCTCCCAACTATAAATGCCCGAAGATGCAAATATTTCTTCGTACATGAATGTTTAAATACATTCGTATTATTATTACATCATAATTATTCGTATGGATGGGTGTCTTTGAGTTTGAAAAACTACATTAATAATTAAGCAATAGTATCGTGCTGGGTATGCTGACGGACCGGGTCCCACCTTAAAGTATTCACATATCAAATATGTCATAGGACACTGTGCCATGCTTATAGTATTCACACCAAATATGAACAAAATCGCTCCACTACTTTTCGAGTTATAGTACAATACGTTAAAATGGCGGCCATTCTACCAAAAGTGTCTTTAGACAGTGTGCAATGCTTATAGTATTCACATACCAAATATGAGCAAAATCGCTCCACTATTATTTGAGTTACAGCAAAAATCGTAAAATGAAGAGTAAAGGCCGCCATTTTTCAAGATGGCTGCCATGTGCTTCTTTAATATCTACATTTGTAGCATTATTAATGTCCTTTATAATTTTTTTACGTTTAAAACATATTGCTATTACAGTTTTACATATTGCACCTAAATTACTGTAAAATCGGCACTAAAATGGCCGCCATTTTGAAATGAGAGGCCATTTTGAAAATCGGCTTTCGAGCAGAACTTCTACTTCCATAGGGTATATGTGTACAAAATATGAACAAAATCGGGCCAACGGTATTTGAGTTATTGCCCGGACGGACGGACGGACGGACGTACGTACGGACGGACGGACGGACGGACGTACGGACGGACGGACGTACGTACGGACGGACGGACGTACGTACGTACGGACGGACGGAGGCGTTCCCTATATCCCTCCGAACTTCGTTCGATGGGATAATTAAAGGCTTGTATTTGGAGACACAGTTTTTTACTCCCATCGATGGGAAGTGGTCACAAATGTTCTCTCTCTGTTTATGATTTCGTCAATATTTCAATATTTATAATGAGACAATGTATTCTATCTGTTTCTGGATTTGTCAATTTTTCTTTACATGACAAAGGGGATATCCTTTATTCACTGATTATCTACCCCAGTTAAAAAACCTGTGATCAAAACTGGCTTATGGTTGCTCACCTGGTGTGGAGACATCCTCATCATCTGAGGAGACATCTGATATGTCTGCTGGAGGTAGTGATGATGCCAAGGCAACTGAAATACAATGAAATAGATCAAGTTTATGACATAATACTGTCACATTACCAAGGCAATTGAAATACAATGAGTTAAATCAATAATATGAAATTATAGTGTCACATTATCAAGGCAACTGAAATATGAAATGAGTAACAATGCTATGTAATAAGTAACATTTTGGCGTGCCACTGGAGTATAAAACGTGTTTGTCAAAATAAATCAACTTACTTGGAGCGATAGGTTTGATGTGGGGCAGTGTCTTGGGGGTTTGGTCTGTGGGGATGAGGATAGGCAGGCCAGCTGCCCTCTGTGCCTCTGCTAAGTCCTTCTCCAGCTGTTGGATCTGCAATCACACATGAATACAACAATATTTCAAATGGTGGTTAGATTTACAGGTAATTCAAGAGTCAGTGTATGTGACAAAACTCAAATAAATAATTAGTGAATGTGTCTCGTGGATTCAGTCATTCAATAGGCAATGCATGTCACAAAACATGTGGAAAAATACATGAACAGTGCATGTGATTGGTGAATTTAAGTTGTTCAATGACAATGCTTCAAAATGCAAAACAATGAATATAGGTTGTGTGCTTTTAATTGCAATAGTCTTTATTATTTAAACAATGTGGTAACACCGATGATACATGTTCATGCATGTACTAGGGTTGGACTATATGAAATAAGGTACCAAATGGCAACAGCCCCCTGTAGGCATTATAATACATGTACGCAATGGAGCCTTTATATTTGAATATACTTCTCATGATGAGGAGCCTGCATGTTCAGTGAACCATATGCACAAAGGCTGTATATAAACCCACCCTATCTTTCAAGGAGTCAACAACTGTCTCATACTGTTGACCTGTCTCTGTTTGCTGTAAAGTTGCTTCACTCAGTTCTTTCTCCCTGCAACAGAATAAAATGAAAATATATCAATGGTTAGATAAGTTGTAAATATCAATCTAAACAACATGGTACAAAACAAAAGAATCAAAACATTTTCTTAAATGATACAAATATTGAAAATAAATGCTGAATTAAATACAACCTCGTTTAACTGAATTTTTATGCAGAGAAGTGTTCTGAATACCCAATACCCCACTATAATATGACAAGTACCTACCGTTTCTGGTATTCTTTGATTATTTTCTTTGCTTTTGTGTACTTCCTCTCCACAGTGCCATAGTCTGACTTCAGTTTGCGTTCTAGCTCAATGTATTCTCCCTGAGAGCCCTCCAGCAGATCCTAAATCCAATAATACATTGCATTTGCATTGTGCACAAGGTGTAAAGCGTGGACAAACAAAACAGGAACACACCATTGCTGGATTCATGTTAATGATTTGAGACCAAGTGGTGAAAATGATTTAATTTTCCGAAGTCTTATAACTCATGAAGATATTGATGAGGGCCATGATGTAACATTGCTTCAGATGTCAGAAAAAAAGGTTTTTGTAAAATCATTTAAAGAATATATTGCAACTTATTACGAACAAAATGAAAGCAAAATTTAGAAATTATATTTTGACAAATAGCAAACATTTATAAATATCATGGTTGTCAACAGAAAATGTATAAGTGTTATACTCCAGGACATCTACATTATTTTCTGATGTGCAGTACAAATAAACAAGTTTTATAAAATTCTTGATGTGACTAATAATGAGAAAACTTGAACAAGGTGTGCAGTGTGGCAAATAGAAAAAAATCTCTAACAATTTCATAAGACAGACACACAAAAAGACAATATTATAGGCACAAAACAATCAACATCAAATACTTGAATTTGTGAATACAGAATTAGAATCAACAGGTTGTAGAGCAACCAAAATACGTATACTAGAGTATCTGGTGAAAGAGCAACATTGTGAATTTTTTTCTCAAAAGACTACAGACATTAATTGTTAGGACGAACTAAAAGAATAATTTTTGTACAAGAAGATATTTGTGATTTTTGTATTATCAATATAACGGACACAAATTTGAAAAATAATTAAGTATATTTAGAATTCCACAAAAATGTATACAAGTGTTGAAGGCATAGACATTATTTATAAGTTATAAGTGATTGTGCGTGTTTACTTGACAACTTTACTCACACTATTCTGCAGGGATAATAAACAAAAAAAACATTATTAGTATTTGGTGCAGACTTTTTTCATGCCAGACCATGCAAAAAAGCAATTTAGATAAAACATTCCAAAAACTAGAAGATGCTCTTTTTTATGAGTAATAAAAATACATTTACAATGACATGTATTTGACTCTGTATAATCCTTGAGGAATGAGACAATCTCAGGGTTGGCAAAAATGAAGTTAAACCTCTAATATAAAACACTTCATCATGAACATAAATTGAATATCATGAACATAAATTGAACATATATTTAATACAAGGTTTCACTTTGAACAATAAGACATCTAAAAAAGGACGAGTGGAACCTAAATCTCAGAAATAAAAAAAAAAACAAAAAAACTAGACTTCATTATTTCTTCATGTTTCCTGCTTCAATGTGAGGATTTAATGCTCAAAAAATATTTTTCGTATAATCTCCCACAATTTTATTAGAGCATTCTGATATAATAGGCTGTAAATACATTGTACACATTCATACTATTTTCATAAAGATGCATATATGAATTCTTTACGGGACAAACCTGATATCCAGCTATTTCTTTCTGTGCCTGAGTTAGTTTTTCGTCAGTTTCCCGGAGCCTCTTAGCCATTTCCTCGCAACGTTTCTCATAGTGGCGTTTCTGCGCTTCCGAGTTCTCAAGGAGAATCATCTAATAGGGAACATGCCATGCAATATTAGTTCTACACTCATGGGGTGATATGTTATAAAACTAACGCATTAGTTAGTCATTTCAGGCCATTCGTTAACAGCTAATGATGTATCAGTTATCGTTACTTTGAATTTTATATGCTCAGGCATTATGAAAGGGAATACAGAATGTCACCATGGGATGGATTTTGACGAAATACCTTGCATTTTTGATAAAATTAGCAAAAGTGATAAACCTAGCTCTGGAATTTTTACTCTGAATATTTGAAATGGGACAGTTAATAGAATCTTCTTTTCAAATACAGAATAAAATAAGAATAAGTAAAAAATTCAATTTTCAACGAACTAATTGATGGCCATAAATTCGCATAACTTTAAGGCAGGTTGTAAAATCTGGCCAGTCCACTTACTTTGGCTCGTACTTTGGCTAATTCTGCCTCTGAGACAGCATTCTTGTACTGCGCCTGTATACCACAAAAGCACCACATGCAAGCAGTTAGTAGCCAACTTAATCATAACCCTCATGTTAGTCTTGAATCAAGTCTGTCCCCCCCCCCTATTCCAATCCTTATTTGGAGGTAAGAGGAGGAGATAAAAGTAGGGCAAGGAGTATTTCTCACTCTTCTAAGTTCTATCCCACTGGAGGTTGAACTATTTGATGGAGTGTGTGTGGAGGGATCAATGTTACTCCCTCACCAAAAGAGTAAGGGAGGAAATTACCCATACTACTATGCTCCTTGACAATTGGAGGAATAGAGAAGATGGGATTAAGACTTGATGCAAGACTAACCTCATGGTGAAGCAAATACAATGGGGTGTTTGCTTCACCTTTAAGACTGAAGGTCAATGAATGTAGGACATTGTTTGATTTCATTCTGTAAATGGGTTCTCTCATTCATTGATCATCAGTCCCATGCTTGATAATCACACAATTTTAGTAATAATATTGGCATAGCTCTTATTTATAAACTTATTCATTTCTTAAATATCACACTATAATTTAATCAATCTCTAAATAAAAACCTAAAATAATATCTTTGATTCAGGCATAAATCCTATAAGTGTTTGTATATAGATACAAACTAATCAGTTTTGTCAGAAATAAATAAAGGTCATGTGAATGGAGGTCATAAGAATAAGCATATACTGTAGTGAGTATAAGTATGAAACCCTGAAACCCTTGAGTTTAATCATTTTGGATTGAAAATTCTAAATTATCAAAATAGTTGATTGTGGAACTTTTTTGGTTTAGTTAAGTAACGCAGCAGGCATAACTGCTTCACTACGAAGCATTTTGACAAAAAAAACTCCAAAACGAAGCTATTAAGTGACCGGTACCATTGTCAATCCATCTTTTCTATTATGTGATGTGAATTGAATGAACCTTTCTCTTCTTAATAGAAATATATTAATTAAGACTTTTGATGCATTTATTTTTCAATTCTCATGCCAACCATCCACACGGCCTTTACGAAAAGAAGTTCTGCAACCTGGCACACCAGGGTGTAACCCAGCATGCTCAGTACCCCTACCTCCTTCAGTTTAATAAATAAAACCTGTGCATCCATCTCTGGGCTAACATCCTCACTACCACTGCTTTCTGGGAGATCAAAAGGCTCGGATATGTATGCATTATTTGTCCCCTCCTCTGGCGAAGAAAGATCAGCATATTCATTAGAAATCCTATATTTCTTTTTGACATCCTGTTCATCATGTAATAACTCGAGGTCCTCTTTAGCCTTAATGGGTTCACTAACTTCAGCCTGTATACCAGGCTTAGTGTGTTCAGTATGAATCTCAGGTATAGTCCTAGATTGGGATACAGCCTGGGGCTGTATGTCTTCAGTCAGAGTCTCTTGAACTGTCCTAGGCACATTTTCTACACTCTCTTCACTATTTACAGTTTCTGAAGGTGGTTCAACAGCAGTTGCATTGTTAGTTAAAGTTTCATGCGATTGTTCTTGTACTTCTTGCTCCATGGGAGCTGCATCGTTGCGTTGTTGTTTTGGTGGTAAGGCAGGGATGGGCTAAAATGCACAAAGCATGCATTCAACCCACTAACTAAAAGCTCTCACCAGTGTACAAAAATTGTACAGTATTTAGTAGTACAAATCAAACCATAGTATTACTTTCAATGAAGTTTCATTGGGTAAATAGAAATGAGTTTTGAATGAAAAATAATTGAATTTGATATGAAAATCAGCTAAATATAACCTGTTCCTTTGTATAGATGTAAAAATTCTATGAAATGCCAATGAACCTTCTAAGACAGTAATCATTTTAGTCCAAACTCATGCCTCTTATCATATTAGTATTGATCATTCAACTTAATTTCAATTTGCATATTTTAACAACACATACTGAGCTGTAGTTTTATTTCAGCTGAGCATAGTTAGTCTTAATTAACCCTTTCCCAACAGCATAGGCTTATTTTATAGCCTTGCTTACTTACATACTAAGGAAACCTGGCACAAGATGGTCCATGGGCAAGATAAGATGGACATGTCCTATTTGCCTCCTCTGATAACGCAATCTTCAAAATAAACTGGCACCAACACATTAGTCTATTACAATGAGCCAGGATAGTTTAAGAAATGTATGTTATCAGGGAGACAAAAATAATCTGTTCCTGCTGCTCATGCCCCATCTTGCCCCAAACTTTCCTACTTTCAAATAATATGTTTTATATTTAGCTCATTATTTGAGCATTAGGATCATGTCTAAGAATCATGCACAAGATTATCATCTGAAATCACTCAAAGCCTCAATGCAAGCTGGGTAATATTCAACTACTGACCTCCTCTGTAGAGGGACCCCCAGGATTCTGGGCCATAGCAGCCTCCTGTACTTCTTGTAAGCGAACAGCTTCTTGGTTTTTCCTGGACAACTCGGCCAACTCATCCTTTTCCCGCTCAGCCTAAAAAGGAACCCCATGCATGAGAACAATGAAGAACTAGAGCTTTCCAATTCGATTGTTTTTCAAAATATTACCATCAAAATATCATCTTGTCATCACACTTGAAGTACAAAAGTTTTAACCAGAACAACGGCAACGCCAAAGCGTAGCGAATCCCATCGAACAGATATGGCTGGCATTTTTACAAACGAGTCGCAAATATCATAAAACAACACAACAGAAAGGCCACCATTTTCAAAATGGTTGCTCACTAGCCAAGTTGTCATCAGAAGAAATAATATGCTTTTAAGTAGCCACCTCTAAAATTTTTTGAAAAATCGCACACATACTTGTAAAATAACACACGTAAAAATGGTGGCCATTTTTCAAAATGGCGGACTACTCCCCAAAGTTTTATTAGACAATGTGCCATGCTTAAAGTATTCACATATCAAATATGAACAAAATTGCTCCACTACTTTTCGAGTTATAGTAAAATACGTTAAAATGGCGGCTATTTTTCAAAATGTCCACCTTCTACCAAAAGCGTCATTAGAAATAGACGACTGTTTCATGCTTATAGTATTCACATACCAAATATGAACAAAATCGCTCCACTACTTTTCGAGTATTAGTAAAATACGTTAAAATGGCGGCCATTTTTCAAAATTGTTTTCAATATGGCCGCCTTCTACCAAAAGTGTCATAGGACAGTGTGCCATGCTTATAGTATTCACATACCAAATATGAACAAAATCGCTCCACTACTTTTCGAGTTATAGTAAAATACATTAAATTGGCGGCCATTTTTCAAAATTGTTTTCAAAATTGCCGCCTTCTACCAAAAGTGTCATAGGACAGTGTGCCATGCTTATAGTATTCACATACCAAATATGAACAAAATCGCTCCACTACTTTTCGAGTAAAATACGTTAAAATGGCGGCCATTTTCCAAAATGGCCGCCTTCTACCAAAAGTGTCTTTAGACAGTGTGCAATGCTTATAGTATTCACACACCAAATATGAACAAAATCGCTCCACTATTTTTAGAGTTACAGCAAAAATCGTAAAATGACGAGTAAAGGCCGCCATTTTTCAAGATGGCTGCCATGTGCTTTTTAATATCTACATTTGTAGCATTATTAATGTCCTTTATAATTTTTTTTACATTTAAAACATATTGCTATTACAGTTTTACATATTGCACCTAAATTACTGTAAAATCGTCACTAAAATGGCCGCCATTTTGAAATGAGCGGCCATTTTGAAAAACGGCTTTCGAGCAGAACTTCTACCCCCATAGGGTATATGTGTACAAAATATGAACAAAATCGGGCCAACGGTATTTGAGTTATTGCCCGGACGGACGGACGGACAGACGGACGGACGGACGTACGTACGTACGTACGGACGGACGGACGGACGGACGGAGGCGTTCCCTATATCCCTCCGAACTTAGTTCGATGGGATAATTAACTTAAGAACACTCCTCTCTACCATATATTCTTACTAGGTTCTCTCAGGATTTTTTTGAGTGGCAGAAAATTCTCTTTTGAACTGTTTTGACATGCATTCACACTGGTCCAAATAGCCTTTTTTCAAGTGGATACAAATACTATAGTTTTATAACTGTTAAACAAGTGGGTGCTATCCTATTTCAAATGAGAATCTCATATAGGTCAGCACCCACTTGTTTCAATGCCGGGGAGATCATAGGTACATAAACTGACCTGCTCCTGTAGTTTTCGCAGCTGCTCCTGTCTCTGTTGTTTCACAGTCTCTCTCTGTTTATCCTGGGCCAGTGATTGGCTAATGAGTCTCGCCACTTCACTCTGTTCCGGGTTCTTGTCTCGACCAATCATGAACTTGACTGTGCCGCTTGTGTTACGAAGTACAGATGCTGCGTAGGCTTGTGTCACACCCACCAGGCTCTTCCCATCAACCTCTATTATCTGGTCATTCACCTGGATCCTGTGACACAATTATGGAAATACATGTATAATAACTCGTCTCATAGTTTATGGCATCTCTTTTATTTTGATTTTAACATAAAATAGAAAATACAGATCACTTCTAATGCTTGTCTGTATGCATTGATAATGCCCGACTGTAATTTAATTCCAAGGTAGTTCTTACTATTAGAAATTTATGTGTACATTTACAGACTATATCATTGAATTTAGAATTGTAAAACAATTGATTTGTAGATTGAATGGGAAGCTTGTGCTTAATGACAACATACCTTCCATCCCTTTCAGCAGCGCCACCTGGTGTGAGTGTCTTGATGAAAATACCAAGTTTCTCCAATCCGGCTTCTGCTCCAACACCCATCCCTATGATACTGAGACCAAGGCCTTCGCCACCTAAATATGAGAGCAAGAGTGGTGGGATGTGACCACAATATTTAGATTTTTTACTCATTATACTTAAACTTTTATCATTTTAGTCTCAAGTATTCTTACAAAATTGGCCTTTGTGTCTGATGACAAGTAAAGCTCCATTGCAAGCAAACCATTGCATTGCAGTAGAAAAATATTCATCCTTCACTTGAATATCATTATTATTTGAGAGTTGATTTATGGTCAATAAATATGCCCAAAAACATATGTCATCTCATTGATATTAAGCACAATGAACAGGGTCCTTATTTATTTCTTGGGGGTAGGGACAGAGAGTGTGGCACAATTAAAACTTATGAACTACATACAAATTTAAGATCCATTTAGTATTAGAAATTACTGACTTGAAGTTGACATACCTTTCCTGAGGTCAACGGGGAAGACATCCATACGTTCAATACGTTTCTCCAGTTCATATTCTGCTGAGGCAGCCACAGGGTCAATGTCCTCATTACGCCTATCATATTCATCTGGAGAATGGGTGGTGGTCACCTGAAATAAAAGAGACAATATGATTTAGTGTAATCATTACATTATATAGCTAGTTAGTCACAATATCAATGTCTTATTGTATAACTGAAAAATTGATATGGGAAACCTGGGAACGGCTCAAATGGATAAAATCGATCAAAGTCTTAAATATGATCATTCTTTTCTGCAATTCCTGTGTAATATTGAATTAAAAAATGTTCATTATTAGCTATGTGAAGTGTACTGAAAATTATCTCAGTTAATTAAAACACCAAAGAAAATCCTGCACTGATCCTGGTTCTGTCCTGGGCTGATATGAAAAAGTCAAACACATGGCAGCTTGATTTCCAAACTAGTCTTTCCACATCAACATTGCATTTATTTAGCATTGCAGAGATATCCAGTGTCCTGGGCCCCTCAATATATTACGTTTCATATTTTATATACGTTTCATCAGTACCTGTCCTTCAAGGCTATCAATCATACTATTCATGCTGTCATATGAACCTTCCCATGGGTCATTTCCCCTAAGTAGACGATACCCTTAGTTATTCAAGAATAAGAACTATTTTGATAAAATGTGTCTGCTCTATTTCATTACAATGGTCCAGCTTGGGAATCATAATCTAGCCATGCGAATGTTCTCTTGTAGACAACAGCCTTAGATACAAAGCTATCAAGGGTCTCACAGCCAGTCTCATTAAGTCCATATTAATGCCCCACTTATACTGGTGAACATTAATATACTTTTCACAATGGAATTTTTACTTTTTCTCTCAATCAGGCACAAAACCTTAAAACGACCTACATGATATGCTTACATAAACAGTAAAACATGTTTATCTCAGATAAATTATCCGAACATCTAATCTGAACACCTTTCAAAGTGAATGCTATTTTGTGGTTCCATTTTTCTTTTAACCTCCCATATACTTCCATGTTAAAAACCTTGAATTGTGAACAACCGCCAATCTGAATACGTTTGGCCAGTCCAGTAGTGTTCGGGTAAGACAAGTTTTACTGTACCTTAACATAAGGAATACAGTCTTTATATGTGTGGTAATTTTGCACTTACAGGTAAATTGAAACTACCTGTAAGTATCAGCCCTCTGGGAAATATTCTGAATTATCTATCTCTTGATGTTGGACATCAGGAACTTGTCATTTTCAAGTATTATATCCATTCCTATATAAACACAAATCCTTGTATTTCCCTTTGTATTCAGTTTATAAGTCAAGGGGATTACTGAACAATATCTCAAAGTATTAGGCATTAGGTAATAAAACCTAACTTATTCTGGTTAATAAACAAGCTACAAAAGAGAATTAAATTGTGCTCTATTTCATCGTTGACACTGATGCAATACTAGAATCCATTTTACAAAAAGTTATCATTAAAATAAATAATGATCCTAAATCTGTCATTGCTTCTCTTCAACATCAATAAATATCTATTTTTATAGCATTTTCTCCATTTCTGATGGCTAACTAGGAAAATAACTCTGATTGAAGCTGTATTTTTCTGATAACATTTTCGCTCACTCTTCAGTCTTCATCTTTTATTGATTCCGCAACAAAAACATGCCCTTTAAGAAAATCCAGATTGATGTTTATATAATTGCTAGGTTGGCTGAAATGATTTTTCTGATTAACAAAACCATTGGTATATAAAATTAAATAATTGGTAATCACATCCGTCAGGTTTTTAGAATTCTGAAGGGCAAAATTATTGATATAAAGGAAGTATTTTGTGTTTGTGTTGTCGCAAGAGTGTGATTTTTCTTCATTATTACATACTCTGTCATCAAATACTTATTTCGAGAATAATCAAAATTGATAGAATTCTAAATTGCTTTCTCTTTTACACAGTTACATTGAATCATTTTATTACATTGCATTCTTTTGATGCCCTAGTCTAGGGCGAACTACAAGTTTTGCCTGAATATATGAAAATGGCACATATTTTATTCATTATATTTATATCTGAGCCCAAAGTTACTAATAAAGGTTAGGTGTTATATTAAGCCTGGCCTATGTATCAGTTTTACAGGAAAAGGAAATATCTGGAGCGATAAATCTGTCTATTTGGTATTTTAAGTTTCATTAAAATCATGGGCATACAACAACTGTCTGCCAGTAATGCCAGCTTATATTCCATGGTCTTGTGGTTCTAGATTGCAGCCATGACTTCTTTATTGGGAGGTGGGGGATCATATAAGACAATGTTTCTCAAAGGACAGGTGGCGGTAAACCCCTCTTTTAGCCCCCCTACAAAACAAGTATATATTGACATGAAATTGAAGAGGAAGTATGACTTATTACTTAAAATGTGATTTCTGAGAATTTTGACATTTGACCTTGACATTAGGGTGGTTTAAAGGTCAACTTTGAGAGTTGCTATTTTTGTCAAAATTTTGCTGTTATCTAATACAAGAAATGAAAGCAATTGGCTTAATTTGATTATGACTGATAATAAGACATGTGAATGGAAATAAAAATATTTTTAATAAATTCTTACGGGCAATTACATGAACATCTTGAGAATAAATCCCCATATGGGCATTTTTGGGGGACTAAATTTTCCTGTTTCAAAAATGAATGTTCTTGTTGCCTTTTGAAACTCCAACAGTATCCTAATATAAGCATGTTTTGAGAGTTGGGATGTGATTATTATTTTAAATGCCCATGGGCAATTAGGATAAAATGGCTGCAATTAAATGCACACAAGGGCACTTCCATGAGAATGGATTTTCTTATTTCAATTGCTTCTCGCTAGTTTTCTAAACATGTTTGCCATGTTCTAAATAGTTATGCCTATTGGCATTTGCATTGGAATTTGAAATTAAATGTCTGTATGGAGACTTAGTTTTAAAGTTATTTGCCAATTTGCAGTTCCCATATTTGAATTTCAATATATATCATAAAATCTAAGGCAGCAACATGTATAAATGGCATGACACTTAAAGGATTGCCTAAAATAATTTCTACTGATTCCCTAATATAGAAAAACACTTAGGCTAGGCCATTCAAAGATTTTTAATAATTAATGTCACTAAATTCCATGTTTTCAGAAAAAACAAAATGTTCCCATGTACTTGTTAATATATAAAACCCTTTAATATAAATAAAGGTTTTGTAGTTTTTAATATAAGGCCTTCATCAGAATGCAAACATATAATTAATTTTGAATGGCCTAATCTGTACATGCAGTTATGTAGTGTATATGTATGCCCAGGTTAGCAGCCATATTGAAAACAAACCAGTCAGCCTTATTTTCATTACAAAAGTTAAGTTTGAGTGGTGAGCCCAAACTCCCACAAAAATGATATTTGCAGAGAAGCTACTTTACTGTCTCTGCATTATACAGTTTCAATATCTTTTTTGTGGGGGTGTGGGCTGATGGCTAAATTTTCAACGAAAGGAAATGAGCACCATGCTAAAACTTTATAACAAAGTGAACAAAAAATGACAATGTTTTCCAGATTTGCATTAGTAAACTTCATACATAGCTAGATTTTGTTAATGTTCTACTCTGAATGCTTGTATGCCATATGTTCCATATAAAAAATTGTATGTAATGATAAGTTTTGATATTATTTTGATGGTAAACATAGTGTGTACCCATATTCAGACAGCCTTGTGATAGGGGTTCTTACTGCCAATTTTTCAAAGAAACTGAAAACTAATGCCACTTTTTGAAATCGCACATCTCAAGAAAAAAGGTTTATCTACAAATTGCAATCAGTTTTAAAGGTAAATGAAAGAACGGGTTTTTCGGAAAAAGTCTAAGTGGACCAATGGCCTGTTAAATGGACCTGTTCTTTCTGATTCTAAAAAAATATCAAGTAGTTAAAAAATGGTGTATAGAAAGTCAGATCAGCATATCAAGAGCTTGTAGTAATGATATTCATTCCGTAAGGATTGATGGATATTCTTGACAACTGCCTGACAACCAATATGTTTGCATTAATGAATGTTTGTTTACATGGTGGAGATTGCCAGGTTATCAACTCCTCTTCAAGTGTTTACATATTGTAATATATATCCAGCCTTACACTCACATACAACCACTTTGAGGTGATTGTAACCATGGATATGATGACTTCCCCCATATTCATTTCCAGATTAAAGAGCGAATGGGGGAGGTGAGAAGGAAAGGTGCCATGATGTAAAATTAGAGAATAGATGGTTGATATAAATTAATTCTTTCAAGAATTTTTTCTTTATAAGTCCCAGAAATTATTATCTTTGAAGCGATACTAATCACCGATGCAGAAATTAAGGCATTGGTTTTCATTAATTTTCTAGCTAGATACATGAACTTCAATCCAGGCATATAGGGGTAACCTTTCATTTCAACCTGCTAAGTTGAATTATGTCAGGCATGATGTTTTACAAAATCATAAATCACTTGAATCATTATTTTGAAAATACAGTGATTCTATCGTATGAATTAATCAAGCTGTCAAATTTACTTGACATATTTTTTGATAACATACAGCTTTGTTGATGAAACTAAACTGAAATGTTTTATGCAATCATGCACTTTTGCACTTATCATATGTAAAGTGGCAATACCCTTTTTTAGATCTTCATCTATACTCTTTTTATTTGATATAATTATTTCAATTTTGATTTGATTTTCTTCGGAACATTCATTTCATATTTAATCACCTGTAAATAGCATGATCATCAAGACCTTATTGGCATCAAAACTGAAAATCATAGGTAAAACATGTAGTCAGAGAGTAGTGAGACCAATAATTAGGATACAGGGGTCTGTTTTTGGCACAGTTTTAAGTTAAATTCTTAGAAAATCAATTGTCTACTTTAAGATGAACAGCGGCTTGGGACAAGTTGATGTTGATGGACCCAAAAACGGACCCCATGAGGACAATAACATCAGTTCACTCACCTTAATAGGATCATGTGAGAATTTGATGCGAGTTGCTTTATGTGCTGTGGGGAAGAACTCGGCATCTGGGTCAACTTCAGGGATACCTTCCACCTCCCATATAATGTTTCCATCTTCAGTCTCCTGGACTTGGTTGTTCACTGGAACACAATAAAATGTGTTAAAGGTACACACACAAAATACAGTTGTTCACACGAACAAAATAACATGTGTTTAAGATACACAAACAAAATACAGTTGTTTACACGAACAAAATAACATGTATTAAAGTGACATATACAAAATCCATAGTTGTTCATTAGAACACGATAACATGCATTAAATGGCATGTAGAAAATACACGGTTGTGCTCTGGAACATAATATCATGTGTTGTGTAATAGATAATGACATAAAACTGTACAATACAATACAAAAATTACATGTGCACATGGAGAAACTTCATGATTAATTCCTGGAACAGAAGAAATCCAATGCATTAATTTAGGAATGTCATTTACATGTATATGGTTTTAAAAGATAATTTTTATTAACTCCTATCAAATATATTTAACAGATTTAACAATAAGATTTTTGTTTGACTTGTGATACTTTGAAACATTCCCTAGAGCTACTTGCTAGGTATATGTCGTTTTATTTCCACAAAATAATCATGCATTTTCACTTAATTAAGCATGAACCAAAGCCAATCACAACCAAAGTCAATCACCATTCAGATAATATGTCTGGTTTATGTCATCAGAGAACAAAAATTAAGTAAACCTCTAAACTTATGAAGATTGAACTTGTTCTTTCCACACAAATTCTTTGACAAAAGGTCCCATGAAAATACTTCTAAAATCTCTTTTAAAATGAAAATAATAAAAAGAAAACCTCTCAAATCAACTAATATTAGACAGTCAAGAATGATTTGAAAGGTTAGTTCTTTTATAAATATGTCTTAACAGAGAAATATCAACATAGATTTGATCAGTTTTAGTCAAAATTCCATTTTTAAATTCTCTTAGAGAGTGACCAGATCAGCTTGACCTTGGAGTTTTAACACAGGACATCAATTTCACTTCTAAAAATAGAGCTGTCAATCAAATCTTCAACTGAATACAGAAAATGGTTAATTTTAGCTTGCTTGATATGGTGATCTTGATTTTCTACCAGATTCAGATAATCTGAAGTTTTATAACAATGTTCAACACTTATTTGTACTACTGATTTAAAAACTAATTTGATAATAAATATATAGGTCATTGTGACCCATTCTTCTATTTTTCACATTTTAAGAAATTAAATCCTTTAAATTGTCGAGTAATACAAAAGATAATTTTAAAACAAAGACTTTGTTAGATGGAGTTAAAGATTGATTAATCAAAAAATTGATTGAAGAATTGATTTAAACTGTTTCTATTTTTGTAACAGGTACAATAACAAGAGAGGTACATCTACAATGGGCGTAGGGCTATATTTTGAGTTGGTATGCCCACCTAGGTATGTCTGATTGCATGGCCGAAGGCCGCGCATCTTGTAGGGTCCGGGGGTATGCTTCCCCAGGAATTTTTTCTAAGACTTTATTTGAAGCTATCTGAGCATTTATTTCAATTTTAAATAGTTCTGTTCTGATAAAACTTAATGGTTAAATATACAAATACAGAATCCGATCAATAAATGTGCAAACAAATTAATGCATTTTGACACATTCTTAAACTTTTTTTAATTCATTTGGTATGCATGTGCGTACTGTGCCTAACAGGCGCTACGCCCATGTCTACAACATAACTGCCTCAATTCTATTGTCTATTAATGACTTGATCTTAGTGTATGTGGCACATAGTACAAAGTTATACATGCTTATATGTAGATAGAAGCTCTTCTAGTAAAAACTGGAATGTTACTCCTAAACATAACAGGGATTTCATTAGCAGCTTAGATTTTTCCAGTAATTGTTACACAAAATCAAATATAATGTTGATGAATTTACAATAGCCCCCCTGTGTTTAAATTATAATTCCTTATAATTTTGCCTATGATTTTAATTCATTTTTCCTGTTGTCAAATAAAATCCCTGTGTAACATACAATTTTCAGTGTCCGTAGGCTGATCTCCATTTTGCTGTTTGGATTCTTCCCCATCTCTGGCTGGAACCAAATACTCCAATGTTTGAACATTCCCTACGTTAAAGTCACTAAAGTCGACAATTATTTTCATCATTTGGATCCCTCTATTCCTGTTTCTCGTTTAGTTGACAAATTATTTCCTACATATGTCCGATATTCCATTTACTGTTGATTTATCTACGGATTTCTTTCTTTAACCATTGTTATAAGTGCTCGTTATTTTGTTTTAACTCAACACATTATGTTTCGAAATAACAACTTGAATTTGGGTTGTAATGAATTTGCCGTTGTTATCAGACATTATATGGAAACTATAAATTAAAAATAAACTTATCTGATATGTTACTAAATGGGCTACCACGCAATTTCAGTAAAGCCATACAACCTTTCACTGTACTTCATTTTTGAAACTCAAATTGCTCATACAAAAATATCTGTTGTTATGGAAATGTCTTATCAAAAGTGAATAAATATTCCTAGGATATACATACATACATAATGGTATTATATCATGATGTAGGATAATATCATTTTTAGAGTTTACTTATTTGTTTGGGAGCCCACCAATCCTACAGAGCATTAATAATTATTTTATCAGTACCATTCTGAATACAAGTGGATTGAATCACACAGCATTCAAACACTGAGTCAAAACTAATACCCCTTCTTCTGAGAGTACAAACAAAAATTGAACGATCTCTGATCATATAGTAAATATGAGAGGTACCTGGACACAAACACAGGAAATGAATAGTCAGGAAGTACCTTCAATCCGTATTTTATGATCTATCAGTCTTTGGTGAAATGTTTACAAAGTCAAGTACCACAGCTGAATAACATATACATTATGTGATATGGCTTATCATTGGGTGTGAATAATTTCAAGTTAAAATATCTGCTTTTTGTAAAGAAAAATAATGAAAAAGTCCTAATAGGCAATGAAGCACAAGGCAAGAAAAAACAAGAAAAAAGAATGATTCCACCTTGCATAACCTCAAACTTATCTATCAATGTCACAGATTTTATGAAACCTAAATCGGAGCAGAAATTATTTTGATTTCTTACACTGATCGTAGTTTGATTTTGTGTCTTTGAAAGAGAGCTTCGCCTATCCTAATAACTACTGGCTTCTAGGCTTCTGGGTATAATACTCTTAACAGCAAAAGCACAAGTAAAATCTACTATTGATTATAAGATCACCAATGAATGTAAGAGTTGTGTTATCTCAAGTAGAAATACCTGTAATGTTTGTTTCAGCAAAAGTATCAGCTTCATCATTGATTTATACTCTTAAACAAGTGTATTCCTTCAGTTATAATATATTGATGAATCAAGATGCCATTGATTTGCGATTGAAAAGGCACTTGAGAATTTACTTAGAAAACATAGTAAGTATGTCTAATACTTATATCATATGTCTATAATACTTGTAGCTGAAGAATATAAAGCTATTGTACAGAATTGCTATGGCGTATGAATTATCTTGATAAGGGAGAGATCTAAGCAAGGCGTGCAAAATGTTACCTGTCATTTGTTACAGATACTGTGGAGACATAAAAGCTAGAAGTTTTCTTATTCTACCAAATATGAAATATTTTCCTTCCCTGTTCAAGATCGCAAGGTTTTCTTTTGTTGTACCTACTGGCTAGCAACAAATATGAAGAGTATCTTCTCTATCCCTCGTTGCTCTAAGTGGTATGGAATTATGATTTATGAAAAATAGGTCGTCCTCATGGAACAGATTTGAATCTAATTATAGAGTATGGAGGCAGACACAATCTGAAGGATTGCATATTTTAAGAATGGTCTACACCATGTCTAGTCTCAGTGTGAGCTTTGCATCTAAATGATAACATAACATTCAAATGTGGGTTCCAAAGCGTCATCGCGTCTGCTATTGCTCGAAAAGATCTCACAAACTTCGATTAAGAGAGGCTGGTAAATCTGAATATAACATTCTGATACTCATCACTTTTCTGTCTTATAAGGGAACTTGAGAAAGATGGAGATAGCATGGTACGTGTATGTTGGTAACACTGAGTTCACAAAAGGTGTAAAAGAGCAGGAAACACACACTGAATAATAGTGAGAAAAAATTGATATTTGTTTGCATCAATTATATCAATATGGTGGTCAAGATACGACTGTAGCTTAAGAATCATTTTCAACTGTTCAAATTCTTATTTCACTTAACCCACAAGGGAAATAGCTTAGTTGCATACTGACAATCAATGAAGTAAAACATGGTCCTTTAAGAATAATCATCCCATGGCTGGTCAATAGAACTACGAACTAAATATGATAAATGTTTCATTTGCACGAGTTGAACTATGGAAGGACAACAATGTTAGCATTTGAATAGGTTATCTTATCAAGAAATAAGTTTGCAAATAAATAAAACTTTGAACAAATTGCAGGAAATACTTGTTCTTCAAAAACATACTTCTTTTCGAGCAATAAACACTAAGCATCAAAGGGAAATATCGCAAAATATTTCATGTCATGTGATACAAGTTCAACCAATTACAGAATAAATTCCTGAATGCTCTAAACCAATGCTGAGAACTGAACTGAACTGAGAAAATCCCAATTTAAATTTCTGGGCTTATTTCGCAGATCAAAGATTATGGATCTTGTGGATCGAACAATCTGATGTGACAGCCGCAATGTCATTAGATCAAGCAATTCCGTGTTACGGACAGATTCAGTAGACAAACCGAAGGTACAAATTGATTTTCTGTCTGCCATTAACTGTATTTCCTGATAGGAAACCTTAAAAATACATTGCAGTTCGAAGCACAGCCAGCTCATGTACATTTTCAGAGTGAAAATCATTATATCAGCTTCTAGCTTGCTATTTTACAATTAGTCAAATCAAATTCACATATTACATACTCGTATTACATACTTTTCATAAATATACATGGAACTTTCACTTGCCAATTATGCTCTGGAAACCACACTAGAGCAAACCAGATATTCTCCTCAAAAAGAATGGAGAATATGAAGTGAAAATTTGAGACTCTAGGAGAG